AAAAGGCTTTTTTGGACTTTCAGTTGTTTACTAAATTAGTGTAACTAAGAAACAATTATCATGAGGCACTATTGAAAATAAAATAAAAAAATTACTGTGATTCCCTCAATTAGCATTAGAAAGATATATAATATAGATAGTAAATAAGCCACTGATTTGGTACCCTTTATTATGGCAATCCCACGTAATGATACCAAATTAGGGAGCCATCTACTAAACAGCTGAAAGAGCTAAATTTTAAAAAGTCCTCTAAACTGGATCTCATTAACAAATGAGTTTGTTAAAGTTATGTTTTTAAATATTTGCTGAGAAATGCAATTCCATTTGTTGATATTTTCCTAGCATCTATGTTTGTTTGGCTATAGAATCCTATTCTTTGCTTCACTATTTTGAGTCTTACCCATTGAAGCCTCCTGGATGAGTTGTTTGTGGTATTTCGAACATTCTTACAGCATGCTACGGAGCTCAGCCATACTGTGTTGTGAAAGATTCCTTAAAAAAGCATCGGTGCATTTCTTGGTATAAAATGAGGCTGATCGGATGGTCTCGGTGCGGCCATGTTTGAAAGCTGCTGTACTGCAGACCTCATGTGTGGTCCTGGTCTGCCCGTATTGTCTGAAGAATGCCATCTGAGAGGAAAGTTGGGCTACTGCATCTGGGCTGATCTTCTGGGTCTGCAAGAACTCCTTCCCACATCCTCTGTACTCCATGGGTACAATGGTGAATGAGCTCACAGTTGCACCAAACTTTTTTTTGGCGGTTGAGATTGCAGATTTCAAAGAGTCACCAAGGTGGAAGACAAGTTTCTGTACAGCTTGGCTGGAGTCCACCTTAGCTGGGAGGGTTTGAGGTGATATTGCTGGTTTCTGCGTGCTATCCCTGAACACCTCATTCTGGAACCGTATGATAGTCATTCCTTCTCTCCATGAGTGCTCAAGGTTCACAGCTGCTGTCCCATCTTGCGTCATGATGATGCTGAAGGACTTGTCGTACCACCGGTTCATACCTGATCCATGGAGCATATTGTGGGACAGGTGGACATCATCCTTAATGGGAAAGTCATCGAGACACAAGCAAAACACAGCAGAATCCACTTTTTTCAGGGCCTCTTCATTTCCGTTTTCAAGAAGCTTCTGTCTTAAAACAGCCCACGTGTTTCTTTCTTCACTTGTGAGATATCCCAAAGGAAACTCCGGAGCAGGGGTGGCGTCCGATAGGATATACTGCAAGTGGGCCTGGATCTCTGAAGCCTTCACTATGTTCCCATCTTTGTCAATGACATCGAACACATAGAAATTCCCATTTCTTAACACCAACAAGTGCTTTCCGCTCTCATCTGTGACCAGTTCATCACGGTTAAGTTTCGGCAAACAAGTGGAATTAAAAAAACGAAAGTACTGTGACATATCTAATGGATAAGCATTCGCCATGTATGCTGGATATCCAGGCAACAAGGTTGGCGCAAACCTGATACATTTATTAAATCCCTGTGTGTCACGTTTGTCTGGATTAAGGTGTAAAATCTTAGGCTCAAGATAACGTGCTCGAATAGTTTTCAGGAATCGCATGGCAGACACAATCATGTTAGTGGATCTGATCAGCTGGTTGTTATATTCTGGCTGTGGGTCAGGGGTGAAGGGATTAAAATTCAGCACAATGGGATCACGAGCACATAGATACCTATGAAGCCAGTAACCTGTAAATAGAAATGAGAAATTAATCATTAATATAGTAGAAAAAATGCAGTATAAAGTGGAACACAAATGGTATTATTGAAGATACTTATACAGATGACTCTATTGCTAGTCAGGGTAATCCCATGAACATGTGGACATAGAAACAAGGAACCAATAGTGTAATTCTGGCACAATATTAGCAAACACTTATAGATCGCATTTCTAAAATAATAATATCTTCAAAATGCCCATTTATATTGCAGAGATGTAGAAAAATGTAACAAAATGTATTTCACAAATACTTTTAAAAACAATAGTATATAAAAAAGTATATTGCACGTTTTACAATTGGAAGGGAGATGAGAATAGCCTCTTACTGGGGATAGTCTAGTAATTAATATACTTAGCTACAGCTAGGTACAAATACTTCATAAATATTAATTTGTACAAAGAAAACTCTTTAGATCTGAGTTATATAGCCAAGACAGATCTACATTAAATTAAAGGGCAACAATGGGGTAAAAATAACCTTTTCTATTTAATTAATTGCATAGATAATACCATAAAAATTCTCCTCCTCCAAAAAAAAAAAAAACCCTATTAATTGTAGATTATGCTAACGTAGTGTATCTTAATTTTAATAATGACAGCAGGCGAGTATTTTGCATAACTTTCTTTACTTTATGCCTCCAGCAGCACAAGTCAATCAATAAACTTTAAACCAATCAGTAACAGGCATCACATCCAGTTAATATACTGAAACATTAAACAACCATAGTATACTTAAACGTAGTCTGGACCAGTACTATAGCTGTCTAATCTTGACTCGAGTACTCAATGTTTTATTGTTCTTTTATTTTCTTTATAACAAAAAAATGGTGCCGACTGCATGACATAAAACAGTCTTGCAATATTGTATAAATCAAATTGCTGATATCTTACTTGTTGATCATGCTTCTACAAAGCACCTCCAAAAATAAAGAATATAATTTTTTTTTTTTTCAAATCCAAAATTTAGACAAAAAAAATTATCAATCTGCTAATACAGCTCAGTTGGAGAATGCTTCCAGATTATCTACTTTGGTTTAAAAGGTTACTGCAAGCACCATGACCACTTCAGTGATTTGAAGTAGTCATGGTGCCTGGAGTCTGAACGTACACCAACAGTAGGGTATAGTAGTAACTATAAGATAAGGCCAGGGACTAATTAAAGTATTTAGAAAATTGGGCAGACTAGATGGGCCAAATGGTTCTTATCTGCTGTCACATTCTATGTTTCTATGTTTAACAGAGTTGAACCCCTTCAGTTTAACTCCACCTCCAGCATCATCACTGGGCTGTCATCACACAGCCTGGAACTGACTAATGTCAATTCTGTGCCAAAAGCCAGAAGCAGATCACCAGACCAACAGGGAACATTAGAGCCTGGTGTGGACCAAGGTAAGGGGGAAAACTCTTGCTTAATGGTTTATTGCATTACTGGGGAACCAAGCCAAGGTACTCCTGGCTTCATATGCATTACAGCAGGCTATAGTTGTTATGATGATTGGAGTAAAACTTTATTATTCAACATTCACTGTATCCATAGTATTGACTAAAATCTTTTGCATAAACCCCATATTGTCTTTTTGGTAAAGATTTGTGATCGATTTAGGGAAAACATGAATAGAGATTGCTTTTCAACTGGCCTATATTTTGCAAATGAATTGCCACATTTGTAGCATATGAAGCCATGCAATATAATTTTCTGTTTGGAAACAGAGAATCAGGAGATATTAAAGGGACACTCCAAACCCCTAAACACTTTAGCTTGTTTAGAGGAATACTGGAGTGACAGGGTCGGTAGCAGGGGCGACCCCTGTGACTGTGGTAGGTACGTCACTGCCTGTCACCTTAACCCTGCAGCTGCAAGCACTGCATTTTTTGCAAAACTGCAATGTTTACATTGCAGCGTTTAGACTGCACTAGTGGCTGTCAGACCGCCACTAGAAGCGATTCCTGTTTCACGGAGTTTGACTCTATGAAATTAAGGTGGGCTTCCTCACACTGTGCATGAAGACGTCCAGTGTCTTGAAAATCCCCATAGAAAACCATTGAGTCAATTATTGTTTTTATGGGGAAGGTCTAATGCATGCACAGCACTGGCCACGCATGCACACTAGGTCCCCCTCACTTTACCTGCCAGGGTGGGGGGAGGGGAGGTGTGGAGGCTACTATGTTAGGAATACGGTTTAGCTTTCCTAACCCTAGTTTTCCTTTAAGTGCTTTATGTGTAAAGAATGTGTCCTATTTTTATATTTTACAAAAAAGTGCAGATTTGAATTGAAATTGGAACTTTCATAAATTCACCTTGTTATACCTCCCCATCATGGATAGTTAGATGCATGCATGTTTTCATTGAGGGTATATCCAGTGGCGTACTAAGCGGGGGGGGGTGGTCTGCCCCGGGTGCCACTCACTAGGGGGGGGTGCCTGGGGCAGACTGCAATGCCCCTCCTACGCCCATCGCCGAGACCAGTCTGCAGCTCCGCAGTGTGCAGAGCTGCAGACCATGTGTCTTGCGAGCACTGCCCAATCAGAGCATTGCCGCGGGTTTCCACGGCAACGCTCTGATTGGGTCTCGCGAGATCCATGGTCTGCAACTCTGCGGAGCTGCAGACCGGAAATGATGGCCACCGGACCACCAGGCAGCCCCCACTGGACCACCAGGGATTTAAGGTAATTTTTTAGTCACCCCTGCCTCACCCCCCCCCTCTCCTCATTACACCCCCTCATTTCCCCCTCTCCTCATCACCCCCTGCTCCCTCTCACAATCACCCCCCTCCCTCACACCATTATCCACTATACAAGAACACACACTGCATTCACTATACAAACACACACAGACACACTTATACATGCGTCTGTGTATCTGTATGTGTGTTGGTGTGTGTGTGCCTGTTTTTGTATCAATGTGTCTGTATGTGTGTCTGTGCCTGTGTGTCTCTCTCTGTGTCTGTATGTGTGTGTTTTTATCTATAATTGTGTTTGTATCTGTGTGTGTATCTGTATGTGCCAGTGTTTGTCTGTGTATGACTGTTTCCATGTAACTGCATGTGTGTACCTCTGTGTGTGTGTATATGTAAGTATATGTATGTATGTATGTATATGTGCATACATCTCAGCATTTTGCCTACACTACACACAAATACAACCCTGCATCCAAATGTCAACATTACATAAAAACACACCACCATATTCAAAAACCACACTACAGAAAAATGCACTCCTGCATTCAAATGCCAATACGTGCAAACCCACCCGTACATTCACTCACACATTCTCCATACAAAAACATGCTTACATTCAAACACACAAACAGTGCTTGGTACTAAATACATAAAAATAAAAACACTGCTCAGTGCTAAAGATATTAAAAAAAATTTGCGAGTTTTTTTTTTTTTTTTACATTTTGTTTTGGGGGGGAGGGTGCCAAATGCTCCAGGTACGCCCCTGGGTATATCCACTAAACATTGATATATATATATATATATATATATATATATAAAACAGAAATGCTTGGCACTCACCCTTTCTCCAATACAAAGTTTTTTGATGCCTTGGTGCAATCCCACGTTGAAAAATATATGCAGAGAATAAGAGATGCACTCTAAGGACTTGTATAAGCAAAAGTTGCAGTATTTATTAAAAAGAAGGTTTACATAGTATGATCGACGTTTCGACCCCTCAGGGTCTTCCTCAAGATCAATATGTCAAAGTCTGTGAAATCAATAAATAGTGAAATAAGAAAAGTACTCACCAATGGTGAATTGCCTCCCTCATCCTCTCCGTGCGAACCCGGAAGTGAACGCGCGATCACGTGGTGCGGCGTACTGCCGTCGTGATGACGTGTTGCTAAGATACCAGTGTAACAAGTGCTGGATAGGAGCGTGTATGATACACGCTGAATATAGCAATATGTAACAATGTGCCCATACTAAAAAGTGACCAGAGTATTGTGTGTAAACGATACACTAATAAAGTGACAAGTGCTGATGAATAAGTGCCAATACATGCATAAAAAATGTGATAACACATTGCAACAATGTGATTGCAAAGATCCAGGTGACTATTGTGTTACTACCTTCTTAAGTAGATCAAAGCAATACAAGGAAGAATCACACATATAATTATCATAATAATAAACATAACCTAAAGCTAAGGCAGAGGGTCATATTGACAAGATGAAGTAAAAAAGATTATAGCAAAATAATAATAGACTTCCTCTTTTTGTGTACAATGGAAGATTTTTTAGCTAAAGCAGGAGCATTATCAGAATCCGCTGAAACATTGTCTATCACAGACGCACAAGCAAATGCCATCTTGTGGCCACAAACCTCTCAAGAATTACTACATACCAATACTATACAAGATTTATATAATGATCTTTTGAAATTGAAAAAACGGGAAATTGATCTTGATCTTCACAGAGTATTTATTTCTGACTACTACCGTGCAAAAAGGATCCCCAGGGGTTTAAGGATTAGAAATGCTCCCACAATAGGTAGGCAAAATCCAGAATTCTGCAAGAAATGGATGCTGATATCCAACAAATGCTCATTGGACTGGATGGTGATTGTTGTTGAGGAGGTTGGGAAAGAGTTAATGTTTGTTAAACAATCAATACAGAATATGGAAATGACTAATAGCTCAACACTGCATGCATCAACTGCCACTGTCCAAATGTTAAAGCTACAAGATGAAATTAACAAATATAAAAATGACCTGATCCGTTTTAAGAAACAAAAATTGGAAAAGGTGAATAATGATTATAAATATCATCAGGTATACAGATGGTTGGGAGGAGCACAAGATAATTATAGACCGTATAGCAAGTTGAGGACAAAAATACGAAAGCCAACATTTCAAACTATTGACGCCAGCTCAGGAGACTCTACTTCTGATCTTGAAACCAGCGAAGACTCAAAGAGACAGACTTCAGAGCCTTTTTTAGAAAAGGACAGATATCCAGACGAACCACCAGGGACATCACGCATCAACACTCGAGGTACAAAAAGAACCGACCCACGCGGCGAGGACAGAGGCACTGTCAAAAATACAAATCTCACCTCAAAACCACCCAGAATGAGGAGATGATTACTGTGTTTAATTTATCGGACAAAATTCTTAATTCAGACCATTATTCTTTACTAAATAAAGGACTTTCATTCGTACCTGTTGCCAAACCAGACTCTTTTCGAACTGAGGTGGAGCTATATAAAATACAAAGAACATTATATAGCAATGAATTAAAAAATTTTTTTTCATCAGATACAACTAATTGTCTGTACACAAAAAGTAAGAAAGATATTCGTACTGCCAACACCTCTATTAAAACATTCATGCAAATGGTTAAGACTGATACTGATAAAATAATTAAAAACTCATCGAGACAACATCATAATTTGACACCCGGAGAAAAGATAGCACTCATGGATCTTAGACAAGATCAGAGTATTATAATTCGAGCAGCGGATAAGGGGGGCGCTACAGTCATCCAGTCATATGACAATTACCGTACTGAAGCATATAGGCAACTAAATGACATATCAACATATGCCAAACTTACCTTTGATCCCACCAAGAAATTTCAAACGAGAATACAAAACCATATTGAATTGGGAAAACAAATGGAATACTTGGATATAAAAACTGCACAATTTTTATTTGTGGAATATCCTAGGCACCCTGTGCTATATACGTTGCCCAAGATCCATAAAGATCCTATACGACCTCCGGGGAGACCTATAGTCTCTGCTAATGACAGTCTATTAGAACCTATTGCAAAATACATTGATCTTTTTATCAAAGGCAGTGTGCTGGCTTTATCTACATGTCTTCGTGACACACAAGACTTTATGTCAAGGATCAATCGGGATCCCTTTGTTAATACAACAGCACTACTGGTAACGATGGATGTCCAAAGCCTGTATACCATAATACCTCATGATGATGGTATACAGGCACTCAGAGATGTTCTCATACAGTCTTCCGTATATGAGGGACCCCCTATTGAATTCCTGATGGAATTTCTATCTATAGCACTCTCGTGCAACTATTTCAAATTTGAAAATCAATTTTTTCTTCAATTGACCGGCACCGCCATGGGGGCGGCAATGGCACCATCATATGCCAACGCCTACATGTACATGTTCGAACAAACTTATATTTTGCAAAGATATGGACAGTATATTAGACATTACTACCGTTTTGTGGATGATCTTTTTCTTATTTGGACTGGAACATCGGACCAGCTGGAGAATATGATTATGGAAGTTAATCAATTACCGACACCAGTTAGATTAACCGTTCAACATGATGACAAATCAATTCAATTTTTGGATGTGACATTGTATAAGAAAAATGACAAACTAGAATTCACACTGCATCGGAAAAAGACTGACCGCAATACGTTACTCATGGCCTCCAGTTTCCATCCTCAACAGTTTAAACGGTCATTACCCATATCACAATTTTTAAGAGTCTTCAGATATAATACTGAATCAGAGAGATGTAACATTCAAATTGAAGAAATGTGGGAAAGATTTAGAGAACGAGGATATTCGACACGTGTACTTACATTGGCCAAAACGAGAGCATTGGAAATTTGGAACAAGGAGAGAAATGATCTAACAAGGAGAAATACAGCAGGAAAATCTTCCAAACCTAGGATTTACCTTCCACTGACATTTCACACTGGCACGCTTAAAATTAGACAATCTATCCTTAAGCATTGGGGAATACTTCAATCTGATAAAACTTTACCAGATTCGTTCCAGGAGATGCCAGTCTTAAGCTATAAAAGGAGTAAAAATCTTAAAGATCTCCTGGTGAAGAATGATCCAGTGACATGCTACCGTAAAATTACCACCATTTCCAAAAAGGGATGCTTCAAATGCAGCGGATGTGTGACGTGTGGTCACATGGCCAGTGGTACGACTTTTGCACACCCACATTCGGGTCAAAAAAATAAAATATCACAATTTATTACTTGTACCACTGACCATGTGATATACATGATCACATGTCCCTGTGGACTCTCATATGTGGGGAAGACTGACTTAACAGTACGAGACCGGATAAGAGGACATCGATCTACCATTATGACGGCATACAGAGACCAACGGAGTGATAAGCCTGTAGCCAAACATTTTCTGACCATGGGACACAGATTACCTTCTTTAAGATTCATCGCCATCGATCATATCCCCCCTATGCCGAGGGGGGGGTGACAGATCTAGGATGTTGTTACAGCGTGAGGCTCAATGGATACATCGACTGGATACGGTTGCCCCGAAAGGGTTAAATGAAAATATTACCTTTTCTGTGTTCCTTTGACTGCTCGCATACATTATTACACACACTATATAGATCATATGATATGGTGTGTGAGCACTATTATCAATGGCTAACAGTTCTGTAACTGTATAGAAATAATCTTCTCATTTCAATAATAGTCAACTATGCTTCTATATTACAGTGCTCCATGAGAATGAGCATTAATGGCTTTATTTAGTGATCTAGTTTATGTTCTCTTACTTAGGTATGCTTATAGATCTTTATGATCATATATACAAGTTCTATTATTATTTTGCTATAATCTTTTTTACTTCATCTTGTCAATATGACCCTCTGCCTTAGCTTTAGGTTATGTTTATTATTATGATAATTATATGTGTGATTCTTCCTTGTATTGCTTTGATCTACTTAAGAAGGTAGTAGCACAATAGTCACCTGGATCTTTGCAATCACATTGTTGCAATGTGTTATCACATTTTTTATGCATGTATTGGCACTTATTCATCAGCACTTGTCACTTTATTAGTGTATCGTTTACACACAATACTCTGGTCACTTTTTAGTATGGGCACATTGTTACATATTGCTATATTCAGCGTGTATCATACACGCTCCTATCCAGCACTTGTTACACTGGTATCTTAGCAACACGTCATCACGACGGCAGTACGCCGCACCACGTGATCGCGCGTTCACTTCCGGGTTCGCACGGAGAGGATGAGGGAGGCAATTCACCATTGGTGAGTACTTTTCTTATTTCACTATTTATTGATTTCACAGACTTTGACATATTGATCTTGAGGAAGACCCTGAGGGGTCGAAACGTCGATCATACTATGTAAACCTTCTTTTTAATAAATACTGCAACTTGTGCTTATACAAGTCCTTAGAGTGCATCTCTTATTCTCTGCATATATATATATATATATATATATACAAACATGTATTTTTTTTAAAAAATTTTTTTTATCTAGGCTGTGCAGTGTCCCTTTAAAAAGGGAAAAATATGAGAGGCTGTCACACCATGTCACCTTACTTTACAAAGGATTACAAAGAGCAGAACTGCAGGATAATCACAGCTGCATGGAGAATTTCGAGTACCCCTGAAATAGCAAACGTGTTGATGAAAAGAAATTCAATCCCATTTGGTTGTATAAATTATCAGTAAGTCACCTAAAATTTCTTAGAACAGCCCGAAACCTGACCAAAACATCTATAAAATTAAAGTACTCCTCTTTGTCCATTTCAGATGTTAGAATATATGGTTTGCTGTATTTATCTAAAAGAAACACAAATAAAAATGTGGTCAGATTAAGTATGGTCAAACAAAATGGTCATCCTTCCAGTTGAACCATTACTGATTTCTCTGTAAGGTCTGCAAACTGTAATTGTCTAAACTGACTTGTTGGGCCTTGATCAGAGTCTAGCGGTGACTGTTCCAGACTTTAATAAATGATTGTGCAACTCTAGGAACCTCTCAGAATGTGGTGCATACACTCAGCTGCCACGGGCTCCTTCAAGCAACTGACCGAGGGTCAGTAGGTAAAGATATATCTATGGTTTCCTGCTTGCAGTGTCCTTCTGCTGAAATAGGGTAAGATTTAGAAGGCTAAATTCCCCAATACAACTGACCATATCACTACATAGGACCTGTAGGAAGAATTAGCTGACACTGGAGTAGTTGTGCGCCTGAATACGGTGAAGTGAGAGGTGCACAAACATGATTTCCATGGAAGAGTCAGCTGAAGGATGTCAACATAGAAAGTAAAACCCTTAAAAAAGATATGTGATAGGTGTAACTTAGATAAAATTTTTAGGAGGTATATATAATAAATAATTAATTGTATGGCAGACATAATATTCAAGAAACTCTATTTTCTATTCCACAACAGCAAAAACAAACAAAAAACAAACAGAACGTCACAAGCAAACTTAAAGCTGCCCTGTTATGTTAACTTTTTCCTTTTGCCTCTTGTATGTTAACGAATATAACCTCCTCCCTAGCCACTTGCCTTTATTTAAATGTATTATCTTATTCACCCTGAGCCCAAACTCAATAACTGGGTGCAGCAATTTTGTTCTCCTCTACCCATGTTGTCTGCAGTTTGCCCTCCTGTGGGATTCTTTTGACTGTGCCCATGTTGTCTGCGGTTTGCCCTCCTGTGGGATTCTTTTGACTGTGTCCATGTTGTCTGCAGTTTGCCCTCCTGTGGGATTCTTTTGACTGCTGGATTGTGGGTAGATTTGATTGGCAACTTGCTTCGATCTCCATCCATTGTTCAAGTTTTGCTAACCTGACTGCCATTCCCAAGAAAAAGTTGTGCCTACATTTCGTTATGTATCTTAGGGAAACTGGAGCGCACAAAAAAATGAAATAAAAAGAGATTCAGACACAGGAAGCTATATAACAGCAGATTTGGTGACCAATCAAAGAGAATGACTTTACAAATAACCTCCATAGTTGTTATAACTGCTGCCCTTGAAATATCTTTCCTCTTTTTTTGCTTGTTATTCCCTTAAGGACACAGGACGGAAATTTTCCGTCATCCTGGCCTTTTACTTCTGAGGCCTTAACGGGTAATTAATTATAATTATTATGACTATAAACTATCATTTATAATTGTGTTGTATGTCTGTTATTTATGTAACAATGTTTTTAAATTTTCATCTATGTGCCTTCCGATTATATGTGTAACAATATACTTGTATGTATTCTCCAGCACGTACATGAAAATGAGCTGTATCTTCCAAATAAATTATCATATGGCTCAGTTAGCAAGACGTATACGATATTATTATTTTATAATAGCTGTTATAATAATGTTATAGTTTTTACAATTAGTTAAATACTTTGTCTACTTCTTTACTTAGTTTGTTAATTTATTGATGTGTTATTTTTATTTTAGAATTAAATATCTTTATTGCATTTTAGATTACAAATTTCCTTTCATACCAAAACATAGACCAATATAAATTTAAAATAATAATAATAATAATCAAAAACTGGATTGGAGAGGTTTGGTTTTGTTCTTTAGTTCAGTGATTTTGTTCTGGATTTTGCCAGGAAGTAGAAATGTCACTGTTTAGTGAACAAACCCCTAAAACTCATACATTGCTTTTTTTTTATTGCCGAAAAAATCTAAAAATATTACTCCCTCCCCACCCCTCCTTCTTCCTTGTCTTACATCCTCTATTCTAGTGCAGTCATATACTTTTCAAATTATCCCGAGCTCCCTAATCTCTTCCCAGGCTCCTAATGATGAAGTCAGTAATAGGATTGGGGGTATTAATTTGGTACGGTAATGCCAGCTGTATGCTGCGTCTGGTGGGTGAGGGGTGACCTTGTGCTGTGGGCAGCCTGTGCTCGCTTTGATCTGATCTCTGGAGAATGTCAGTTGCTTTGTCATAGAGCGGCGCAGTCCCTCTATGGGATGCTGATACCCTCCTGCGCACTTTTGGGGTTACCATGGCGGGATCAGTGGATGCAATGTTGGCCAGGGCAAAAGACGTTTGCAAGAGGAATGGTCTGCTTATCCTGTCCGTGCTGTCAGTCATTGTGGGATGTCTTCTGGGATTTTTCCTTAGGACCCGGCGTCTCACTGAGCAGGTAAAAGAGCTACTCAAATTAACCACAGCCTGACATTGTTATTTGATATTAAATAAAATCACCAACACATTATGTAGCACAGTATAACGTGATTTATCTGCTTTATTTGTATGGTGTCAACAAACAGCTTGGAATACAGTATGGAACAGTGCAGCTAAATATAACATAGACGAGTTATTGATTTGTTCTGTAATATCGTTTCCCCTAAGCATCTTATTTGTGAACAGCCCAGCACTGAAATGGTTAAAATACATTTTCTTCCCTTTTTTGGAAATATGAAGTGTGACAGTTATTATGTGGTGCATAACACGCTTATTACATAGTATGTATAGTTAGGATAGAAGCGCAATTTTGTGTTTGGGCCTAATTTCATGGATACTTAAAATTTGATTTTGCCAATTTACCTAAATTTGTTTGGTATTATTTTCACCAAATTTCTGAAATCTTGGTGGGTTAATAATTATTTCAGATTATGTGGTATCCTTTAGCATAAAACACATCAGATGGATTTAGAAAAAGTAGCACAAAAAAACAAACAACAATTTTATAGTACACCACAGGTGAAGGCAAAACTAAAATACACATGTTCAGATACCCAGGTATTAGAATTTCTAAGAAACCTACTGTCTCGTGGGGAATGTACTTCCCAAAACGCCCTCAAAATGTAAACATTTACATGTGGCCTAATTCCCATATACAGTAAATACAGATGCCTGGTTAAAACCAGGTAAGTGTATTTCAAAGGGCACTGCAGCCACCTAATACACCAAGAGGCTTTCTTAATGTCTCTTCTCCTGGGTTGCCATTCAGCAGCACTGTACAGACTGAGCTGTAATTAAACTTTAAAGTTGAGCAGGGTTGGTTTTCCAGCCATGTTATGAAGATCTCAATGGTTGCAGCTTTTTCTGTAGAAACAAGCGAAAACAGGAGAAAAGATTTAATACAACTCATACAGGAAATTGCTCATTGTTTTGGATCAAATTAGACATAATCACAAGTATCCTACAATTTCTGAACTTCTTGTAACTAGCGTAATTTATACATTGCCGAGCCAAATAATGTCTCAGCTCCAAAGGAATCTGCTTATTAAATCAATGCCTCATGGACAACCTAGCGATGCCGAATTTAACTATTTCCCTGCTGGAATGTAGGTGGAGCACACAAGAACACGCAGAGCTAATGTTACATCTTTTCCTGCTAGAATCACAAAAATCTTACATATGAAGCGGTAGGTCTAGAAAAGGATTTGCAGGTTTATTCGCTAAAGTGTGAATTTCTAGGAATTCAAAGTGAATTTCAAATTTTGGGCAAACTTGCTAAACTGAAAACACAGCTGGCTGGGAGATTTTTTGATCCCATTAAGCCATTTGTGGTTTAAAATTTGACATTTACTACAATTCACACTTAAGAGAGACACTCTGGGAACCACCACCACTACAGCTTAATGTAATGGGTCTAGGCATGTGTAGGCAACCTTCGGCACTCGGATGTTGTGGACTACATCTCCCATAATGCTGGCAAAGCTTCAGAAGAGATATACTCCACAACAACAATCACTGCCTTTTCTGTATTCTAATGCTAAATGCCATAGTGAACTGTGCCCATAGTCTTAGGCCCAAAACCCCCATGCACAGTAAAAAACGGAAAAATAATTTTTGTTACCTTTTTTTCCAGTATGCTGCCTGCTCTTCCTCCTACAATGCTAATCTGGGAGGTGTCTCCGCAAGGGTTATGGGCTAATCTACTGTTCCTCACAGAGACGCACTGGGGACAAGATGCACATGCGCAACAGTTGCTGTGCCTGTATCCAATCAAATGCTCCTCCTTGGAAAGCATTGAATTCAATGCTTTTCCACAAGCAGTATTTGATAACATTCGGTGTCCTCATGAACATCGAACGTCAGATGATCGGGTTTCAGTCGGTTGCTGCAAAGGAGCGCCTCTAGTGGCTGGAAGACAACTGCTATGTTTTAGATTGCAGTGTTAAAACTACAAGGCCAATACACCCAGACTACTTAATTGGAATGAAGTGGTCTGAGTGACTTTAGTGGTCCTTAATGAAGCCACGACTAGCTGATAGTCTTCCTCTACCGCATTTTCCACTGCTCTCCACTGTTTACGCAATACTTGTAATAATGTTTATGTAATTTTGCGGTATATGTAACTGAGTGCACCAGGGAGTTTACATTGGGTTGTGTTTGGTTTTGTCATTCATTGGCAATCTCTCCCAGGTAATAACCGCTTGTTGTACAGGTGACATATCTTCCTCTCCATGGTATTAATTAAGTCATAGGTGTGTCTAGATTTAGAGGTCACACCTAGAGCTTTCTTTTCAATAATCAATATTACTTGCGGTAATATATTGCCCATTCACATGCTTGTTTCTCATGAAATGTTATAGTGCATTTTTATTTAATTAAAACATAGTAATATGCTGGCATTATACAATATATATAGCTACTCTGCCTATAGCCCTTCCTCTTAATTTCACAAATGAATTTGTTTAAGGAACAATGAAACAAAGGTACGTGTCTAATTAGAATACACAATGTCTAACTACTATCAGTGTATGTTCACATATACGTGCATTTGTTGCTGTTGTGAATCTCTCTAGGTTGTTTGTCGTTACAGTGCTTATTTGTATATTATTTGCTCAATTTGATTATCAAGGCATCTGAAATATAACTTTAGTGACATTGCTTCCCACTCATCACAGCAGGGGAGTTGTTTTTCCTGTATTTTCTGCTCATGTGCGAGCACCTACATTAATTTTTAGGCATTGGTAACAAATGGAAAAACAATTTCAGTGGTTTACTAAGCCATGTTTTGCTACTGAATTTAATGAGTGTAGATTACGTCTTCAGGAGAATTGTTTGAGTCTTTAATGTAACCTATGGGGCATTCTTTCACCGAACTGAAGAACAGAGAGATTGTGATTGCTTTGCCATTGCAATCATCATCATCATCTGTTAATTTTTCACTAAATTTCAAAATAAATAATTTTAATGTACTCTAACCTGTACAAGAAGGGTAACACTCGCTTGTGTTGTCTGAATAGTGGACCTCAGACAGGAAGACAAAAGCATACCTTCCAACACTGGGTGGTATGGAATCTGGGTGGGTGGGAGGGACCATTGCGTCCCTGACAAACATGGACATACTTAGAGTGCTCTCTGCATGGTCCTATTACTCTTTGGACAGCACAAGCACTTCTAATAATGCGCTCGCACTGTACTGCCCATGTACTGTCCCTGGTGTCCCCAGTTACAGGAAACCAGAAAACTAATTCAGGACAGTAGAACAGGAACTTAAAATCAGGACTGTTGGGACATCTGAAAAAGACAGGTCAAGAAAGGCAATTCTATGATGTCATATTTTTCTCTCCATGAAAATATCATGTACATATATTTACACAATACAGGGTCTATAAGCTTGGCTTGTTGTATAAAGTCTGATTTCACCCAACACCGACCCCTTTTCTTCCAGTAGTGGTATGTTAACCTTGAGATTGGGGACAAAGCTGAGAATGTCGGTTCTAACATAATGTTATAAGTATGTCTGAAAGGATGGGGGGACAGTGGACACTGTGAATGTTAGTTGTAACACAATGTTATTATATAAGTATGACTGGACACTGTGAATGTTGGTTCTAACACAATGTTATAATGTGAGTATGATTGAAAGGATGGTGGAACAGTGGACATTGTGAAGGTTGGTTCTAACACAATCCTATAATATGAGTGTGTCTGAACGGATGGGGGGACAGTGGATACTGTGAATGTTGGTTCCAACACAATGTTATAATATAAGTATGACTGAAAGGATACGGGGACAGTGGACACTGTGAATGTTTCTTCTAACACAATGTTATAAAATGAGTATGTCTGAAAGGACGGGGGTGTGGGGGCAGTGGGCACTGTGAATGTTAGTTCTAACACAATGTTATACTATCAGTATGTCTGAAAGGATGGGGGGGCAGTGGACACTGTAAATGTTAGTTCTAACACGATCTTATAATATGAGTATGTCTGAAAGGATGGGGGGACAGTGGAGACTGTGAATGTTGAATCTAACACATGTTCTATTTCTGCGTTCTGCAGGAGATCAGTTACTTCCAGTTTCCCGGAGAGCTCCTTATGCGAATGCTGAAGATGCTCATTCTACCTCTTGTGGTGTCAAGGTAAAAAAATAAAACTCTGGTGAATCCTCATATAAAAAAAATCATTTAGATCTGAGTAATACTCCATTGCCAGATCTCTAATTAAAGGGGCACTCTAAGCACCATAACCACTTATGCTCATTTCAGAAGTTACCGTTTGAGGTGTTCCCCTATTGTTTATAAATGGTCACAACAAATCAATAAAGCTGTAAAACATCTCTGACATCAATTGGTGAATTCATCTTTCCTCTATTCCTAGCCAAACTTATAGGTTGAAATGTGTACACTTTGTGAGCTTTCTGTCACTTACAGGGTTATTCACTAAGGTGAGAATTCAAAGTGAATTTCAAATTTAAGGTTAAAATAGTGGTAAAAATGATCTACGGCAGCCATGCTTTTATATCCGCTTCCGGACCATAAATCGATACTTCAAACCCTTTTAAAAACATTTTTAGAATGCCCTTTTGGGGATTACTCTTTAGGTCCCCCCATAAACGCTAATTAATATAAAAAATGAAGCTATAACTCACCAGAAATCGAGCACTGCACAAAGGTCCCCATCTGACATCACAGCAGCCGCCATGTAGTCCAATGAAATGTGGCTGCTGCCGTGCATGTGCTCTGGGTCTTTAATTGGGAGGGAGATGGGGAAGGAATATAAAAAAAGCTAACAGAGAATTTAGGGAAGAAGGGAAGGTTTCAAAGAAAGAAGTAGGGGAGATAAGCGCCTAGTTACAGATGTAAATTGGGCAGACTAGATGGGCCGAATGGTTCTTATCTGCCGTCACATTCTATGTTTCTATGTTAAATTTTGCACAGAGCAGACGCTGGGTTTGTGGGATTTATTTGTACTGTTCAGGAACCGAACAAACTCACGAACTGGGAACTTGTTAACCCCTATTTTGCCTTCCCAGGAACCATTCTCTTCCTCAGTTCGGCAATCCGTTTAAACTTCGTTTTTATGTTACCAAGGTTGACCAACCAATTTCATGGAACTGTTTTGGGCATAGGACCACGTGTGCGGTTGGTCAAAAAAATTGTGACTTCCGTGGAAATCTTGAACCCCTGAACCAATCTCTGTTTTGTGTGGGAGTGTCATGGGCGTGTTTTCTGTGTCCTTGTACTGCATAAAAGCAGGCCATTGAGCCTAGACTAAACAGATAATCTTCCCCCTTCATGAAGTCTAGGCTCATGGTTGGGGGATTGGGAGATATATTCACACGTATAATCACTACAGCACTTGGGACTTGGGAGATTCATCATGGATGTACTCAGCTGGAGTACTGGGGTCCGGTACACTTTTTACTTCCTTGTTAATTATTGGCTGTGCTATATCCCCATTGAGATATATAAAGAACATGTTGGAGCTATATAAAATGATAAAAAAAAAAAAAAATAAGAATTATGGAATAATGTCTGAACCTGTAGAACTGAATAAGGAGCTCCTGATTCCTTCTCGGTCTGCGTACGTTCAGCAGCCTTAAGAACATTAAAGATAAATATATTTCTTAAAATAAATTTTTGTGCATTTTTCTTTTGTTGTTTTTTTTTTTCTTTTTTGCTGTGCCGAAGAATAATACAAAGACGCCTGCAATACTACAACAGGAGAAATAGATACATGTCAGATATAGTAAAACAGAGGCATGGCATTCGACAATGATCGCAGTTTTGTAAAAATAATAATAATAAAGAGCACAAGCATGTCTAAGCAATAAACTTGAAATATGAGAGGCAAACAAGACATGAGATTTCCATAATGAGAAATGAGAAACCACTGGGCAAGGTCGGCCTTAGGGTTGTGTGCCCGCACAGGGCACTATGGCAGCAGGGGCACCTGGCATTTTGGCAAAGCTTACACACGCAGGGGCTGGAAGTGAAACACAGAGACTGGCAGCAATTATAAATCAAAACTGGCAGTGAGTAAGGGGGCAGAGCTAAACATGCAGCTATGGCGGAACTAAATGGGTGGCGGACGGAGCTAAATGTAGACCAGCTTCCCAGCACACTGAACCATCAGAAATTAGTGATACTTTACATGCTAAAGGTACATAGCTAGTTTAGGTGTAAAAGTAACTAAATGGGTATTGAAATCTCTTAAGTGTCAACAAGACATTTGAGTCCCACAATGTGCGCGATAGGATTACTGCCCAGGTGAGCAAGCTTTCAGTTAGCCTATTCCCAAGTCCTGAAAACACCTTTTATAAGAGCTGAGGGCCCCAGGCCGGTACACAGGCAAGCATTACCAAACCACGGACCCGGATACTCATATAGTCCTGTTTCTCCCTTTCGGGGATGGATGTGAAGGACCTGGTGTTATACTGCTGCTGGCTACAGACCGTTTTCTGTCCGTGTGGACTATGTAGTGGGGTTTTACCCCTGTTTGTCCTCGGCCCATGTGGGCTGATAGTAGAGAGGACTTGCACTTGGATAAGATGAAGGCCCAAGGGAGACCCACTCACCACCCAGCTCTCACTCTTCCAGACTCTGGTCTGAGTCTGAGGCTTCTTTGCTGCTTGATGAGCTTCTAATGAGGCCCAGAAAAATATCTCATCCAGGTGCCTCAGTGACTGCTCAATGTGGACATATTAAACCTTTTCAGGTTGCATAGACTCGATATTCTGAGACATCGCCTCCATCTTGGCAGAAAGTGTTGCGTTCCGCACTGGAGGAGGTTAATATCAAATATCCACGCTATTGCATGTTACAAGCCAGTGGGGACCAGGATAACCCCCACCGGTCCAAATGGTGGGGTAAGATGGGTCTGCAAGGCCTCCCCGCAGAATGCAGTGGTATACTGGCAATTCCATCAGGCCCCACTGGAACCTCCAGAGAATTCAAGGCAGGTGAGACTCAGGTTGCAGCTCTTTAGGAAGCTGATGGTCGATTAAGCCCCTGATACTGATAAACAGGCTTGGAGCTCAAACAAGGTATTTACAGCAGCCATGACACTCAGGCCCAGACACCCTTTTGTGCATTTTTAATGCATCAGCTATATAGTATGTTAATTGGGGTTTCTTCCAGCCTAAAGTGTCCATTTACGTTTCTTTTTTATGACAATGTATTGGATGTAGCAGTTTTTTTAAAGGAGTACTACTCTTTACTGAGAGGGTAGTGGACGCATGCAATAGCTTTTCAGCTGAAGTCGTGAAGGTTAAAACAGTGAGGGAGTTTAAGCATGCGTGGGATAGGCATAAGGCTATCCTAAACTTAAGATAAGGCCATAGACAAATTCAAGTATTTAGAAAATTGGGCAGACTATATGGGCCGAATGGTTCTTATCTGCCGTCACATTTTATGTTTCTATGTTTAATTTGCTTGTTTTTCTTCTTAATATATTTGAAGACATTATACTTTATAAAGTGACACTGAGCAAAAGTGGAAAATAAAATTCACTTCACTGGTGAATGCCACCAACAAGAATCCAGAATTTTCTCCATATTTGATACTCTACCCTAAATATAGGAGATAGTCAGGAGAGTTTAACCAGTTTGACTGGGAGAGTTTATCCAGTTTGACTAGGAGAGTTTATCCAGTTTGACTAGGAGAGTTTAACCAGTTTGACTAGGAGAGTTTAACCAGTTTGACTAGGAGAGTTTAAGCAGTTTGACTCGGAGAGTTTAACCAGTTTGATTAGGAGAGCTTAACCAGTTTGATTAGGAGAGTTTAACCAGTTTGGACTATGACAGTTTAACCAGTTTGGACTAGGAGAGTTTAACCAGTTTGGACAGAAGAGTTTAACCAGTTTGGACAGAAGAGTTTAACCAGTTTGACTAGAATAGTTTAACCAGTTTGACTAAGAGTTTAACCAGTTTGACTAGGAGAGTTTATCCAGTTTGACTAGGAGAGTTTAACCAGTTTGGACTAGGAGAGTTTAACCAGTTTGGACTAGGAGAGTTTAACCAGTTTGGACAGAAGAGTTTAACCAGTTTGACTAGAAGAGTTTAACCAGTTTGACTAGAATAGTTTAACCAGTTTGACTAAGAGTTTAACCAGTTTGACTAGGAGAGTTTATCCAGTTTGACTAGGAGAGTTTAACCAGTTTGACTGGGAGAGTTTAACCAGTTTGACTGGGAGAGTTTATCCAGTTTGACTGGGAGAGTTTATCCAGTTTGACTAGAATAGTTTAACGAGTTTGACAGGGAGAGTTTAACCAGTTTGACTAGGAGAGTTTAACCAGTTTGACTAGGAGAGTTTATCCAGTTTGACTAGGAGAGTTTAACCAGTTTGACTGGGAGAGTTTATCCAGTTTGACTAGAATAGTTTAACGAGTTTGACAGGGAGAGTTTAACCAGTTTGACTGGGAGAGTTTAACCAGTTTGACTAGGAGAGTTTAACCAATTTGACTGGGAGAGTTTAACCAGTTTGACTAAGAGAGTGTGTCCAGTTTGGACTAGGAGAGTTTAACCAGTTTGGACTAGGAGAGTTTATCCAGATTTACTGGGAAAGTTTAACCAGTTTGACTAGGAGAGTTTAACGAGTTTGACAGGGAGAGTTTAACCAGTTTGACTAGGAGAGTTTAACCAGTTTGACTGGGAGAGTTTAACCAGTTTGACTAGAATAGTTTAACGAGTTTGACTAAGAGTTTAACCAGTTTGACTAGGAGAGTTTATCCAGTTTGACTAGGAGAGTTTAACCAGTTTGACTAGGAGAGTTTATCCAGTTTGACTCGTAGAGTTTAACCAGTTTGACTCGTAGAGTTTAACCAGTTTGGACTCAGAGAGTTTATCCAGTTTGACTAGGAGGGTTTAACCAGTTTGGCTAGGAGAGTTTAACCAGTTTGGCTAGGAGAGTTTATCCAGTTTGACTAGGAGAGTTTAACCAGTTTGACTAGGAGAGTTTAACCAATTTTACTGGGAGAGTTTATCCAGCTTGACTAGGAGAGTGTGTCCAGTTTGGACTAGGAGAGTTTATCCAGATTTACTGGGAAAGTTTAACCAGTTTGACAGGGAGAGTTTAACCAGTTTGACTGGGAGAGTTTAACCAGTTTGGCTAGGAGAGTTTAACCAGTTTGACTAGGAGAGTTTAACCAGTTTGACTAGGAGAGTTTAACCAGTTTGACTGGGAGAGTTTAACCAGTTTGACTAGAATAGTTTAACGAGTTTGACTAAGAGTTTAACCAGTTTGACTAGGAGAGTTTATCCAGTTTGACTAGGAGAGTTTAACCAGTTTGACTCGTAGAGTTTAACCAGTTTGGACTCAGAGAGTTTATCCAGTTTGACTAGGAGGGTTTAACCAGTTTGGCTAGGAGAGTTTAACCAGTTTGGCTAGGAGAGTTTATCCAGTTTGACTAGGAGAGTTTAACCAGTTTGACTAGGAGAGTTTAACCAATTTTACTGGGAGAGTTTATCCAGCTTGACTAGGAGAGTGTGTCCAGTTTGGACTAGGAGAGTTTATCCAGATTTACTGGGAAAGTTTAACCAGTTTGACAGGGAGAGTTTAACCAGTTTGACTGGGAGAGTTTAACCAGTTTGGCTAGGAGAGTTTAACCAGTTTGACTAGGAGAGTTTAACCAGTTTGACTAGAATAGTTTAACCAGTTTGACTAGGAGAGTTTAACCAGTTCGACTGGGAGAGTTTAACCAGTTTGACTGGGAGAGTTTAACCAGTTTGACTAGGAGAGTTTAACTAGTTTGACTAGGAGAGTTTATCCAGTTTGACTGGGAGAGTTTAACCAGTTTGGCTGGGAAATTTTAACCAGTTTGACTAGAAGAGTTTATCCATTTTGACCAACAGAGCTTAACCAGTTTGATTAGGAGAGCTTAACCAGTTTGGACTATTAGAGTTTAACCAGTTTGACTAAGAGAGTTTATCCAGTTTGGATTATGAGAGTTTAACCAGTTTGACTAGGAGAGTTTATCCAGTTTGACTAGGAGAGTTTATCCAGTTTGACTAGGAGAGTTTAACCAGTTTGGCTATTTTGATGTTAATGAGAACACTACGGACGCTCTTGATATCTAATAGTTAATCCGTGTGTCAGCATTTTTCAATAATATTTTGCACATGGGACAGTATGTATAAAAAAAAGAAAAAAAACAAAAAAAAAAAACAAAACTCCAACAAATACCACAGATATTTTTCCAGTGCCGATTAAAATCCAAAAAGCAGCAATGGGATGTCTGAAGCCACGCAGAATCCTGATTCACATTCTCTAAAACTGCAGCATATGGGAAAATGTGATTCATGTGGGACAACTTGGTAATGAAAACCAATTGTATGGTTCCTCTGAGTCTGGCAAGGAACCCACAATTTATGGACATATCGCAGAATAAATATATTTGTTTTATTGCTGGAAAACTGCGAGGACGTTAGATTTAATAACTTACTTTCCTGACCTGTATTTTAATAATCACTATATATCTGTGGTACTGTAAGCAGATACTATGTGATTGATTGATTATTGCTTCATACACCAAGAGATGGTTTAAATGCATTTGATAAAGGGGATCATAATTAGGAGTTACAAATTTAGGCCAAAACAGGTCGAGAGATAGCTGAATTTGAGATATATTTCCACCTTAGCTATTTTAAACTTCAATTTTCCTTGTTAATTCACTGAACTTCACATTTTCCTAAATAAACCCCTTGGTGTTGTACAATGTACAGGAAAATAATCAGCAAGCGTGTTAGACAAAGTGAGCATTCCGTAATTTAGCTGAAATAGAGTGAGGTCATAATCTTTTTCCACAAAGCTGGGACGAAGTTCTAGGTGTCTGTTTGGGTCTCTCCCTTGTACCCCAGTCCTTTAGTTGTGTCCTTCTCCTTTATCATAGCCCCCAGTTGGATCTATCCTCTTTAGCTAGTTCCTCAGTTCTCATTAGCCCATTTTCTCATTTTTGTCTCTCTCCCCTTTATTCATGCCCCCCACTGTGTGTCTCCCCTTTACATAACTCCCGACATTTCAAATGGACAATGAGGGACACTTGAATTCTTAGAAATTTTAGGTGCCTTACTACTAAAAATGTATGAACCTAAAATGTAATTTATAACAAGAACAATGTATCTTATTTACACAGACTGATTTCTAAACATCAAAGAACAAAAAGTGTAAAAATAGGAATCTCCTAAAAAGACTTTCTAAACAAATTTATTGTAGTTAAAAGACACATTACTGGCAGTATTATTGCTCTGACACACCAACAATATGGAACTCCAAGAAAATAGAGGCATTAGGATAGAAAAGAGGGACAGAGGGATTTAGGCCCAAAATAAGGACTGTCCTTGTATATAGGGACACTTGGGAGGTGTGACTTTATACCATTCAAAAAGAAAGGAATGCACACCAACTGATACAATAGTATCTATCTATATATATTTATTATAATACAAATCCAAATCATACATACAAAAATGTAACAATGTAACAGTGACCAAATAGGCAAAAAAAGCTAAACCATATATTTACCAAATTCCACAAGCCTATATGGGCAGAAACACGAGTCACAAACAGTCCCCCAATGTTTCGGCTCCTCCTGGTAGCCTTTATCAAGGGTAGCTATATCATAGCATCATCCAGGAACCCATTATATACACATATACAAATTACCAATTACTTACAGCTGATGGCCATCAGTGATGTCACAGAGAGCCAAAACCGGAAGTGACATCATCACTTCAGATCATAGCCCTATGTAAAGAGTATAACAGCAACAAATACATTATATATTCCCAATGTTATTCTTAAACAAGTTCTATCATTGGTATAAAGATATCCTATTATTGTATAATCCATAAATATTCACATTAGCATGAATGTAACGCGCATGCGCAATATAAATATGAGCGGTCGCCATACCATCTATTGGCATTATAAACATCCATCTATTGGCACACTCCATATAACCCAATAGATATACTAGGCACAAAAATGATGTATATACAATAACCAAACGAAAAAAACCAAAGACGCATTCACCTTACAACGGCCGGCCGATTACACCGGAGCTCCCCTCTTATGGAAGCCTCCGTGATCCACACCTAATAGAAAGTCGCGTCAAAAAAAGCGCCGCTCCGCCCGCGCATGCGCACACCCCAAACTAAAAGAATACATGCAAAATATTAACAACAGACCAAATCTTAAAGGGGAAATATCATAAGTGTATACATTACCTATAATATGGTATAATAAGTGTACAAATGGTCCTATAGTATAGCAAAAAAGATATATAATAATAATGACTATTAATAGTGAAAACTACCTCCACCATAATAACAAAATAATAACACCAAAACAATGTGCAATACTATACTAAACTAGTGTTTATTCATCTATTATACTATATCATAGATACAAAACATGCATCCAGCAACCTGCTGAACGATCAGGTCATTCCCCAAAAGGGAAACTCAGTACAAGAAAATCCATATATCATGCAAAGCAGACAGACATATATATTTTTTACTCAAGCCTTATATATGCGACTACTAAATTTTTTATTATATTATCTTATATCCTTATATCAATACCAACTCATCATATTAGTTATACAGCTTTTTAATAACATAGACATACAAAGCTTCTCCTTAAATGGTAAAAAAATATATATATTCGTTTACAATCATATACATATCAAAATCAATCAAAGTTATAAAGATATCCAGTAGATCACATCGTCGTCGTCCAATCGCAGATCTAATAAATGAATCCAAATACAGGCTATATCCATCCATATTACTGAACGTACTTAAAGGGACCCAATGCCCACAAGAGAAAATGTACTCCATTCTTGATCTGATATACGCTGTCGTCCAGGTACCCATTGTATTAAGTATCCAAATGGAAATCAATACGCGATCTAGATGAAATAAACACCAATTAAAAACAATATCAATGATATAAACACTACTCAGGCAGGGTGGATTAACCAGCCTCTCCAAACGAGGCTACAACAGAGGAGAGAGATCACGTTCTTCATTAAGACCCTTAGGGAATAAAACCTGCAATTCATAAATCCAAAATAATTCACGCTGCTTCAATAACATTTCCCTAGATCCACCTCTTCTCAGAGGTTTCACTACCTCTAGAATCGAATATCTCAATTGTGACACCATATGTCGCATTTCCACAAAATGCCTAGCCACTGGATATTGGATCTTGCCAGTCCGAATGCTACTCTTATGTTCTCCTATCCTAATGGTGAATTTCCTCGTGGTCTCCCCAACATAGGCTAAGCCACAAGGGCATTTTAACATGTAAACTACAAATTCTGTTTGACAATTGCAAAAATCCCGAATAGGATATTTCTTCCCGGATCTAGGATGAAAAAAGGAATCGCCCAGAATTACCCCATTACAATTCACACAATGTCCACATTTGTACATACCAACAGGCATTCTAAGCCACGATTCCTTAGTCCCAATCTTTCCTTGGACTTCCACATTCCGCATTAAATGATCGCGAAGGTTTCTGTGTCTTTTAAAAGAAAACAAAGGTTTCTCGTTAAAACAAATCCTAACTTTGGGATCCGATTGTAGTATATTCCAATGCTGATTCACAATATGTTTAATCTCCTTTGAATGTTCAGAATAGGTGGTAACACATGAATCCTCATGTTCCTATCCTTAGCTTTTTTAGTTAAAAGTTGTTCCCTGGCCAACAATCTAGCCTGATCCTTACATTCCATCAAAATCTCCTTCTCATAACCTCTTGAGGTAAACGCCTGCACTAATTCATCTGCACGTCTATTATAATCTGTATCCCGTGATGTAATTCGTCGAGTTCTAATAAATTGCCCATATGGTAATTTTTGCAAAAATTGTGGTGGATGGAAGCTATCAGCATGAAAATATGACGCGCGATCAGTGGGCTTCTGATAGAGATCAAAGCTCAATTGTCCTTCACTTACCTCCATAGATACGTCCAAAAAGTGCATTTGATGCACATCATATTCTATAGTGAAAGATATCGTATCCAATTTATTATCCAATCTTTCCTTAAAGCAAAGTAACTCTTCAACCGTACCTGTCCAAAAAAAGAAGATGTCATCTATGTAGCGCACCCAATTCAACACAAATTTTGCAAAAAATGGATCAGGATATACAAATGCATCCTCAAACGCAGCCATAAATAAATTGGCATTTATACCATTCACAGGCTTATGGGAAAGCATTGTGATTGGCTGAGATCATCACTTCTGATGATGTCAGCCAAGGAGGCCTACCCATGCTGCACTTGGAATAAGGTGAGTTTTTCTAGCTTTAAGGGAGGCAAGGTGGGACAGCGGGGGTAAATCGTTAGTTTAACACTACAGGGTCAGGAATACAGGTTTGTGTTATTTACCCTATAACTGTTCCCTTAACTATTGTCTGTGAACTACAATTCCCATGATGCTCAGTCACTCATTTGTCAATGTGGTCCGCTTAGCAGTAAAGTTCAGATAACTGTAATTCTAATCTTGGTCCATGTTTCCATTAATGTATACGTTCTGTTAATTTTATTCTATATTATATTCCAGTTTATTGCAAACTCGCTGTTTCTTTTCAATACTCCTAATTATATGTTAATTAGATGCAGGATGTAATTAACATTAGGGATGTAATCCCCAGCAGTAAATTCCTGCAGGATTCACTAAGGGTCTATAGTGCACAGGCCCCGTAAGAAGATTAAGTATATTATCAGTTTTAAGAACACAGTATTTCTAACCAAGGTTTCCAGGTCAGAGGACATTGTCAGTGACTCTACTCGCCTTACCCAGAGAGGGGATATAAGGACATGACCAGTGCTGATTAAGTGTTCAGTAAGTTCCCCTGAAGGCTGGCCATACAAGGCCTGAGATGAGTCCCATTACTATGCAGGCTTCTTGTCACTTATTTATAGCGAGAGAATCCCAGCCACATGGAGGCAGGCATGAACCCCTGGGTCCTTTGGGATTTCTCTGCTCATAGACATCAGATATTTTATATGAGAAGGGAATTAAGACATGGCTCTATGGTAGACAGATACCTAATCCGTTCCCTTCTACAGCCCAATTCCTTCAATATCTCCTGGTCTTGCCGTTGTTTGCTTTTATACTCTCCATCCATGCAGAGCGTACAGATACAGTATTTACAAATACAGCCTTTGGACAGTTTACGCATCATATGAGTCAACAGACTGACAGACACCCCTGATAGAGGGATCTGTCTACAAAAATCTAAACACATGAAAGGATCCTACATATCAGTATGTCAGCATCTTAGGGTGGCGTTTTGATGATTTTTTTTTATACTTTTGGCAATAATACTATAGCTATTTGACTTTAATCTCTTAATGATTGCATTTGTCTAATTCTGTCTGTTAAATAGAAGAACCAACTTAAGGGAACAATCTAAGTACCTTGATAACTTACATCTTATTTCTTAAGGGAAAACCTTGCCTTGTTTAAAGGAACATTATAGTGTTAGTAAGACAAAGCTGTAACACTGTAGTGTCCCTCTGTCCCATTGCTGCCACCCCCGGTCCCACCTTTAAACGCTTAACTGATTCCAGCACCGATGTGCCTTGGTGCTTGGTCGGACCCCCCCCCCCACCCATCCTCCGATGTCAGCCAATGAGGGGGAAGCCTAATACTTGTTTGCACTTTATAAATATTAATAATAATAAAAATAACAATTAGGCCTTCACCGTAGCAAAAAAAGCATTGACTCAATGCTTTCCTATGGGGTTCTTCAACATGCTGGTCATCCTCATGTACAGCGTGGTGGACAGCCACTAGGTTTCACTAAAACTGCAATGTGTGCCTACAATATCCCTTTTTATTTATTTTTTATAATTCTTTATTTATGTCAAGGTTCGACACCACAGCAAGGTATACAACACAATTCAGATGCTTCCATTAACACATATACATATAATCGGTAGCTAGTGTCAGTAAAGTTGTGTATTTTCATAAAAAAACAGCCTGTAACAATTAAACAACCCGTGTCTTGTGAACTCGAAAAGTCCTTAAATAGTGGCGTCGCCCCCGTTTTTAATTTTTATTTTATATATGTGTGTCCCTTTTAGCCACTATGCGTGTATAACCTGAATAGCGAGTACAAGCCATTCAAAACACTCTCACTTATGCTAACTGATACAGCACATTTTATAAACAGAGTACAAAATAGCTTGAAAGTAACAAAGTCACTCTTCGTAGTTCGACACCGTACCCTTCCAGTAAGGGTCCCGGCGGCGAACCACAGTAGAATGTAAGGACAAGAGTAAAGGAAAGTAAAGAGAAGAGTAAAGAAAGAAGTCAGACGGGGCAATAAGGCGGGCTCTCATCCCATGGTCCCCAGACCTTCCGAAACGTTCCCAAGGATCCTCGTATTCTAGCTGTCAAGTCATCCATAAGTCTCACCTCTCTTATCCATGAGTATACACTAGCCATTGGTGGTGCTTCCGGTTTTAACCAGGTGTATGCTATTGCTCTCCGTGCTGCCAAGGTGAGTTTATGAAGTAGAATCTGTTCCTGTCTCGTCCAGCCGTCGACTGACCTGCTGAGGAGATACACGCAGGGATCTAAATCTGGGGCCCTAGAGAAAACCCGGGTCAGGAGAGCAATATCCCTTTTTAAAGGGACACTGCCAGCACCATAACTACTACAGCTCATTACAGTGGTTATGGTGATATGATTCTATGAGCACATTCACCCAATTGTGAAGATCCAAGGTTGGATGAATTTACACTCGATAATGCGGAAGTGTAATTTCCATATTGTCAGTGTACCTGCAGAAAGGCTTTGCGTTTTTAGGAAGAGAATTTGGCAGTCGGTTCCAGAATGGTTTGACAGAAAACCTAGGGCCAGCGTGCATTAGACATATAGTAACATAATCATAACTAAAGCTACAGTGAGTATGGAGCTTAGAAATCTCCTTTCACACGCATGCCGTTATTTGCCCGATTTGAGCAATAAATAAATTATATTACAGGTAGAACTCGAATGTAACTCCACCTTTGGCTTCTGTTTCCAATGTAAACTGGACTGTTACATGTAATTACAAGTTCCCAAATTGGACTTGGCATTGACGGGCTGAGCTACTGTGCTTGACTAAATGTTTCCCATAGAAAATACATCTTTGTGCGTGTGCCTGCTTATAATATAGCTCAAATGTTTCATCACCCTAGCATGGTTGCAGAGAGAGGCTGCAAATTAGAATTCTTTTTTTCATAATTGCTAATTCATGATCTACAAAATACATTAAACAATATGGGATGTCAACTCCAAGTTGAACAGCCCTTTAAAAATACTTGTTCTGGAAAATGAAACAGAAGAAATGGATTTCGTAACTGTATTTCTGTTTGCCTTGGAGTCAAACCCAAGCTGGCACTGAGATACGTGACATGTCAGAAGCACGTAAACAAATCCATCCAAACAAGATGTGTGCACTAAATCCAGCTCTCTGCTGTCCATGAGTGAGCCGGATTATGTTGTATCACCTCTCCAGCTGGTGTCAAGCACAATGACAGCTCTTCTATCATTGTGTCTAGATTACGTGGTTTCCCCAGGGTTTGTGAATGGAAATAACATAATACAGATCTAGTTTTGAGTTGCATTACAGAACACTTACATAGGGGCAGATACAAAGTATATCAGTGATGTTAGGCAAAGGAAATCTGGCCATGTCAATGGTACAGGTGATATATCTAACGTTTGACACAACTAGCCACAAAATTAGAAATCTGAGGTTAAGATTGACCAGAATGATCACTTTTGATATTTCGAGAGTCTAACTTTGGTTGTGGTATAACATTTTCTTCTAAACCATATAATGGCAAGTCCTCTGAAAGTGTAGAGAGGGTCCTGGTGCAAGTGAGTATTTGGGCTCTCATTTAGCACAAGGGTGGACAAAATGTAAACCCCCCTCTGTCATACAATTCCCACAGTGCTATGCCAGCTGGGGATCTACCATTTGTCCATCCTCGCAGGGTTGTATTTGTGAGCAGTGTTTGAATGTAAGCATGTTATTTGTTTGGAGTGTTTGGGCATGTAGAGGTCTATTGGTATGTACTGTTACCATATGAATGCAGTGGTGTATTTCTATTTAATGTTTGTGTTTGAATGCAGGGGTGTGTTTATATGCAGTGTTGGATTTAGCGTAGGATAAATGCAGGCATACCTTTGTGGTTTCATGAAGAGGTGTGTTTGAACATAATTTTGGCATTTGACTGCATGGGTGTGTATGTAGCTAATGTTTGCGTTTGATTGCAAGGGTGTGTTAGAATGTAGTGTTGGTGTTTGCTAGGATGCTTGCACATATGCATTAACACTACAGCATACATACATACATACTCAGATACACATACACATTGACACACACTGACACATACACACTCAGAAGCTCACATATACACACATGCTGACACATACACACATAGTGACATACAGATACACACATTGACACACAGATACATATATATATATACACACTAACACACACTGACACACTTATATACACATATGTATGTCTTGTTTTTTTTATATTTTTAGCTACCCTCCTGTTATAATTTTATGTGTGCAGTAGGGTGACATCCCTGTGGTCCTGCTGCTGAATGAGACTGATAGGAGTGTGTGGCTGGAGCAGGTTCTCTCCTTGTCGTCGTACCCCCCGCCATCTGTGCCTCCTTGTCCTATATGACTCCTGTGCGGACTCTCCCCGTAGCTGGGAGGAAGTGACCAGCACTCACTTTCCCCCAGCGCTGCTGAGATTACAGGTGCCCAGACACACTGTTGAAGGTCCCGACAGAGTCTCGGTTCATAAATACCCAATGGATGTCCTTAAGTACATGGGCCCCTCCTGTGTGCTAGAATAGTTCCTCCAACTGGGCACCAATTTATGCCAAAAAAAGTAGTGGCCAGTGGAGGTATCCCTAGGCCGAAATATAAACACTACCATTTCTCCAAAAAGACAGTGTTTACTGCAAAAAGCCTGAAGGGAGTAATTATACTCACCAGAACAAATACAATAAGCACCTTTTTTTGGCACAGCACGTACACTCCAACGTCATGACGTCGATGACGTCAAGGCCCGTCAAAACGTTCAAGGCCCGCAAAAGTGGCTATAGACTAAAGGCATAGTATATAAAAATGGCACTTAGGGTATGGATCATTGCCCTATTGTGGTTTCTGCTCACAGTTCCCAAGAGTGCGTTATAATTCTGTGTCTATTTTGGTATTTTGATATCGGCTTTCCTCTGACTATTCTCCATTCTGTTCTCCTGTGACTCGGCTATCGGTTTTTCGCTTCCCTGATATCTGGCTTCCCTGACTCTGCTTGTCCCTGACCATTCTTTATTTAACAACATATAACCTGGCCGTTCTAAGGACCGGTAAAAGTTGTCTAATCTAGTAACATATACACACTGAGTGTTGGGTCACTAGGTGTTGTGACAGTGTAAAACTCAGTGCTGTCCCAGCTCCTCCAGTGCCTGTGTGTGATGCTGGACAGGAAGTGGTAGGAATCACTTCCCGTCTGCCCATGAAAAGCCTCTCACAAAGGAAATGCCTTGCAGGAGGAGCGGAGACAACATTGAGTGATACACACTGTATAACAGCTTCTGTAGTTATAATCTTAATCATAGGAGGCTGACTGGACTACAGGAGACATAGAAGGGTGAATGATTTGCAAATAATGTTTCAAACTCCACCCCAAAACCTAAACAAATTATCCTTAATACCACATTTAAATGGACACTATAGTCACCAGAACAACTACAGCTTATTGTATTTGTTCTGGTGAGTATAATCAGTCCCTCCAGGATTTTTGCAGTAAACACCGTCTTTTCAGAGAAATGGCAGTGTTTACATTACAGCCTAGTGATAACTCCAATGGCCACTCCTTGGATGGTTACTACAGGTGTTGCATGGAGACACTGAACTTTCCTCATAGAGATGCATTTATTCAATGCATATCTATGACGAGATGCTGATTGGCCAAGGCTGTGTTTGGCCTGTGCAGGCTCTGCCCCTGTTCTGCCTGCTTAGCAATCTCAGACAATCTAATACTTTCCTATGGTTTTCTATGATTTGCTGAGATCACCACTTCTGATGATGTCAGCCAAGGAGGCAGATCAGGGGCAGAGCAAGCAGCAGCAGACTGTAATAAAGGTAATATTTACTATATTTAGAGTGGCAACGAGGGCCAGGGGAGCTTTTAACACTATAGGGTCAGGAACACATGTTTGTGATCCACACCCTATTGTGTTCCTTTAAGCACTCAAATCCTTTAATTCCTCTTAAACACTAAACGCACCATTTACCCCAAAACTAAACTTAACCCAACTCTAACCCTAAACTAAATAATTCTAAACACTCCTTGTACCACAGCTATACCTCATCTCAAGCTTTTAATCCTTTAAACACTAATCATCCTTTGTATTCTAACTCTGACATCTAACCCCTTTCAAACCCCTTTTATCGTATCACATACCTCCCAACATATTAATGGACAAAGAAGGACACTTTTTATTTTAGGAGTGTGAGGAAGTGAGTGTGTGGCCAGGGGTGGAGCTGTTCTGGGAAGTTTTAAGTGACTTTAGTGACTTGTAAACAAGAATAAGTACCAATACAAACACCAGAAGTGTAACACACAAGGTAAAACAATAAAAATACTTATGTAAATAAATGGTAGGGGTCTTAGAATTAATCATAAACCTACATATCGTAAAACTGTTTGCTATATACAGTGGTGTGTGCAAATGGAACCACACTCACATGATGCAGAGCTGTCTAAGGCTCTGTATGTACAGCCCAAGGGTGCCTATCCACGCTAAGCGAGATTCCGGAGTAACACAATGATCCAGTAGATTTAAAAAATTATATTTATTATAAACTTTGAAGTAAAAACAAACAGTAGATAATTAAGGAGATATGCCAGATATGCTTAACTTATCAGTGTAGCTGATACTAAAAAGCAATTTCACAGAATAAAAAGCTCACCACAGGCAATATCAAACCTTAAAAAAAAATCAGTCTCTTAGCAGACGCGTTTCGACCTGTTGAGTACTTCTTCCAAGTACGTTAAAAGGACCTGAGCTCAAAAACAATGTCAGTAAATATATAATGTCATATATGCATATTTTATCTACACTTTCCTTGTCCAGATGGATACTGGCTGGATGTATGTGGCATGGTGAGATCCCATGGATTATATTACTTCATCATCTTTGGTAGCATCCAATCCATGCTCGACTCAACCGCCATTGAAAAGTTGAACAATCAGCTGTACAAAGCTAGAGTGGAGTACTTAACATGAATGTATATAATACAATATAATATAATATGGCATGATTGAATTTAAAGTAAATACAGATTTGACCCTAATTCAGCAGCACTCCAATAAAAAACATGAGTAGTGTGAGCCTGTGAGTTGACTGTGGTATGTGATAAATTTATTATCCAAACTCCAGATGTTGCAGGACTACAACTCCCATGATTCTTTGAATGAAATAGATAGAGATCCAGGGGAGTTGTATTTCAGCAACACGTGGAGGGCCAAAGTTTGGAGAACCTATCTATCAAATGGAACAAGCTGATATATTGAGCTTATGCTAACAGGAGGGAAGCTATAGAGCAGGGGTCAGCAACCTATGGCACATGTGGCTAGTGCAAACTAAGTGGTGATTGCAGGTAATGAGGGACAATCCTCAATTTTAGGCATTGCAGCACTTAGAGGAGGTGATCTCAGATCACTTCCTCCCAGCACTTATGAATAGGAATCCGCATTAGAATAGAGCACAGCACTCTCCTGCCATTAAAATGCAGCTAGTCAGGTCCCCACTGGACTCCAGGGAAGTCACCCACACTGGTAGATATTCACAAAGATGCAGAATAAGCCACCCCTTTATACATTAAAAATTAAACAAACACCCCTCCACACGCATTCAGTCCCCACAAACACAACACCATAGACAGTCCACATACAGTGAGGGAAAAAAGTATTTGATCCCCTGCTAATCTTGAACATTTGTCCACTGACCATCTCCGCTCATTACCTGTATAAAATACACCTGGTAGCCAGAAATCTTGCTGTTTGATAGGGGATCAAATACTTTTTTCACTCATTGACATGCAAATCAATTTATAACTTTTGGACATTGTTTTTTCTGTATTTTTTTTCTTTTATTCTAACTGTTAAAATACACCTACCATTAAAATTATAGACTGATCATTTCTTTGTCAGTGGGCAAACATTCAAAATCAGCAGGGGATCAAATACTTTTTTCCCCTCGCTGTACATGCACACTACCCCACAAGCAGCCTCTCACATGCAATACCACAATCAGACCCACTAAAAGGTTGCCTACCCGTGCTATAGACCAATAATGGTTTAGTCAATAAATCCCATTTACACAATGATAGTATTTATATAAGTGAATATGGATCCCTGTATTTTTGATAGTCCTCTGTCAGTCTCTACATTGGCTTCTTGTTTCATTTAGGAATTTGTTTTTGTGCATACTTTCAAAGCTCTCCATAACTGTGCCCCTGCTTACATCTCCTCCCTCATTAGCAGATATGCTACAAACCGATTTCTTTCTATACTATTCCAGTATGTCAAACACATTTTGCCAGAATTAAATTTTGTCTTGTTTAGCTATTGTACAGCGCTGCGGTATAAATAATTGTAATTGAGCTACTCTAATATTGCTTATCAAAACATGAATAGCCAGGGTTATGCACTAAAATAATAAATTATTTTTACAATAATATAACTGAAAACGTAAATGACTTTGAAAAATATTTCTAATTCAGCTATTTTGGATTAAAATGTGATTCACTTTATTGAATAACCCTGAAAGTGGTGGGGGAATCGTGAAAGATATGCATTTAATCATCAATTTAGACATGACATAAGTCTCCCTGTAGTTTCAGAACTACAAGTCCATTGATGCTTTGCCAGGGTAACCTCATTTCTTGAGCCCATTGCCACAGAAACTACCCTGCGGCTACAAACACAAGCTGTAAATTAGATATATTCTCTGTATGCTATTTGTTTTCCAATAAGCACTTGGGCACAAGAAGCCATTTATAAGCCAGTGATAATTCGTATAATTCCATCATATGTTGTTTTCAAAGCTTGTGTTCATTGAATTGCTCTTTTGATTGAGTGGCTGTATCCTTGGATGCAGGTGAACCTTCGACCTATGTGTGCCCGTTGTGCCACATGTGCCATGGGTTCGACATCGTTGCCATAGAAAGTAGCAAAGTATTTATAAGAGCAATTTGTTTCGAAACACTGAATCACTTGGTAGGTGTTAAGAGAATTGTTTCTACTTAAAGGGACCATATTAAGAACCAAAACCGTTATATGTTAATGTAGTGATTTTGGTGCACAGATCCTGTCTCTTTTCTATTGCAATGTAAAACACTGCCATTTCTGAGAATTCCTATATTTTGTCAAGAACATGCCTTGAGTGGCTGTCTCTGAAACCGCTATGTTTGCAGAGTTAACACTAGATGGACCTGGCACCCAGACCACTTCATTGAGCTGAAGTGGTCTGGGTGCCTATAGTGGTCCTTTAAAGGGACTCTATAGTCACCAAAACAACTTTCGCTGCTCAATTCTCTCCCATTTAGGAGTTAAATCGCATTGTTTATGCAGCTCTAGTCACACCTCCCTGCATGTGACTTACACAGCCTTCCTAACACTTCCTGTAAAGAGTCATCTAATGTTTACACTTCCCTTATTGCAAATTCTGTTTAATTTAGAATTTCTTATATCCTGCTTTGTTAATAGCTTCTTAAACTCTTCTTTTACACAATGTAGGAAGGACCCTGCTTCTAAACTAACATAGAAATGCTGTAATGATTATGTGTGTATATATATATATATATATATATATATATATATATATATATATACAGTGAGGGGAAAAAAGTATTTGATCCCCTTCTGATTTTGAACGTTTTCCAACTGACAAAAAAATGATAAGTCTATAATTTTAATGGTAGGTGTCAGTGAGAGACAGAGTAACAAAAATAAATCCAGAAAAATGCATGTCAAAAATGTTATAAATTGATTTGCATGTCAATGAGTGAAACAGGTATTTGACCCCTTCGACTTAGTAATTGGTGGCAAAATCACAGAGGTCAGACGTATCTTGTAGTTGGCCACCAGGTTTGCACACATCTCAGGAGGGATTTTGTCCCACTCCTCTTTGCAGATCCTCGCCAAGTCATTAAAGGACCACTTTCCTGGCACTATAGTGCCCTGAGGGTGCCCCCACCCTCAGGGACCCCCTCCCGCCGGGCTCAGGGGAGAGGAAGGGGTTAAACTTACCTCTTTCTCCAGCACCGGGCGGGGAGCTCTCCTCCTCCTCTCCTCCCTCTTCTCCTCCTCTAAGGCTGAATGCGCATGCGCAGCAGGAGCCGCGCGCGCATTCAGCTAGTCCATAGGAAAGCTTACAAAATGCTTTCCTATGGACGCTGGCGTCTTCTCACTGTGATTTTCACAGTGAGAAGCACGCAAGCGCCTCTAGCGGCTGTCAAGAGACAGCCACTGGAGGCTGGATTAACCCATTTATAAACATAGCAGTTTCAGTTTCAGTTTTTTTTTTATAAAAAAATAGGGTTAACCCTAGCTGGACCTGGCACCCAGACCACCTCATTAAGCTGAAGTGGTCTGTGTGCCTATAGTGGTCCTTTAAGGTTTCGAGATTGATATTTGGGAACTCAAACCTTCAGCTCCCTCCATATATTTTCTATGGGATTTGGCCACTCCAGGACCTTAGTGTGTTTCTTCTTGAGCCACCCCTATGTTGCCTTGGCTGTGTGTTTTTAGTCATTGTCATGCTGGAATACCTGTCCACAACCCATTTTCAATGCCTTTGCTGAGGGAAGGAGGTTCTCACCCAAGATTTGATGGTACATGGCCCTGTCCATCATCCCTTTGATGCGGTGCAGTTGTCCTGTCCCCTTAGCAGAAAAAAAACCCCAAAGCATAATGTTTCCACCTCCATGTTTGGTGGGAATAGTGTCCTTGGATTCATAGGCAGCATTCCTCCTCCTCCTCCAAACACGGCAAGTTGAGTTGATGCCAAAGAGCTCGATTTTAGTCTCATCTGACCACAGCACTTTCACCCAGTTCTCCTCTGAATCATTCAGATGTTTATTGGCAAACTTCAGACGGGCCTGTACATGTGCTTAAGTGTGTTACTAATTGTTTTCTTGATGACTATGGCCGCAGCTGCCTTGAGATCATTAACAACATGATCATTGAAACTCCACAAGGTGAGATCTTTCATGGAGCACCAGACCAAGGGAGACTGACTGTTATTTTGTGTTTCTTCCATTTTCAAATAATCGCACCAACTGTTGTCACCTTCTCTACAAGCTGCTTGACGATGGTCTTGTAGCCCATTCCAGCCTTGTGTAGGTCTACAATCTTGTCCCTGACATCCTTGGACAGCTCTTTGGTCTTGGCCATGGTGGAGAGTTTGGAATCAAATTGATTGATTGATTGCTTCTGTGGACAGGTATCTTTTATACAGGTAACAAGCTGAGATTAGGAGCACTCCCTTTAACAGAGTGCTCCTAATCTCAGCTTGTTACCTGTATAAAAGACACCTGGGAGCCAGATCTGGGAGTCACTCATTGACATGCAAATCAATTTATAACTTTTTTGACATCCGTTTTTCTGGATTTTTTGTTTTGTTATTCTGTCTCTCACTGTTAAAATATACCTACCATTAAAATTATAGACTGATCATTTATTTGTCAGTGGGCAAACGTTCAAAATCAGCAGGGGATCAAATACTTTTTACCCTCATTGTGTGTGTGTATATATATTATAGGGTGCTGCTGGGGCCAAAAAAATATACAAAATACACCCTATAATGTAGGCATGTTCGAGTGAGTGCAGTCCTCTTGGTTTCTCCTTGGATTTGCACCCCTTCCTGTCACAGGTGCCTCATTCCAGGACCCTTTTTAGCGTTGACTTGCAGAGAGTCCCAGTAAGGAAGTATTTCCCAAGTAAGTATATTAATCTCATAAGAGCAGGCATTAGGCTGCTAGAGTAGGACCTGCCAAGAATGGGGTACATTGACGTTGTGGCAGGTTTATGCAATATATGATCATATAATGTAACTAAACCCCCATTATTTTTTTGCCTAGGGGAGGCGTTTTTAAATAAAACTATTACAATCTCTAAGATTTGTAATCATTGTTTAGTGAATAAGCGAGTGCTCTGGTTTTAGTATTTTGTATATATATATATATATATATATTTATATATATATGGCAATCTATAGACAGATAGCACTCCAAGGACTTATTAATAAGATGAAAAAAATATCAACTTAGCTTTTATTCAGCAGTATGCCATAGTGAAACAACGTTTCAGTTCCCAGTCGGAACTTTCGTGTAGGGTGGCATTTCTTTGGGGGGCCGCACAGCCCTCCATGTGCTCGCCAGAGGTAGCCTGACTGCCATTAGGTACCGAGATGAGATTAGGTACAGACTGTCCAGGAGTTGGCAGATGCTTTAGTCCAGGTCTGGGAGGAGATCCCTCAGGAGACCATCTGCCACCTCATCAGGAGCATGCACAGGCGTTGTAGGGAGGTCATACAGGCACGTGGAGGCCACACACACTACTGAGCCTCATTTTGACTTGTTTTAAGGACATTACATCAAAGTTGGATCAGCCTGTAGTGTGTTTTTCCACTTTAATTTTGAGTGTGACTCCAAATCCAGACCTCCATGGGTTGAAAAATTTGATTTCCATTTTTTAATTTTTGTGTGATTTTGTTGTCAGCACATTCAACTATGTAAAGAACAAAGTATTTCAGAAGAATATTTAATTCATTCAGATCTAGGATGTGTTATTTTTGTGTTCCCTTTATTTTTTTGAGCAGTGTATATCATTATTTATTTAGAGAATACTTCAGGCTAAAAGTAACACCTATTTTTAGTGTTTCAAAAAAAAAAAAAAAATAATAAAGACAAGACGATACTTATATGAAACTGCAGCTGTTGCACATGCAGACCGAGGCAGCAGACAAAACAGTAAATGTAATTTAATTGAATGATCTACTTTCAGGCTTATGCATACGTTAGCTTAGCATCAGTTTGTGTACGAGATGAAAAACAGAGTGAACTTCAAATTCATGGTCAAAATATACAAAATGACCATCATGACGGAAAATCAGTAGTCATAGAATGCTTATCGACTTTCGCCTCCTATAGAGTGCAATTAAACTGTACTGTCCATAGCAGAGTACTTTTTCATTTTACAGTGCCTAGTTTTTCTTATTTCAGTTTCATTGGTTTCTATTTCTGTTATGGAAATGCAAGTACCGTATGTACCACTACCACTGTCTTTGGTGCTTGAAAATTTAAGAATTACAAAAAAAAAAAAAAATAGTTGAACTGGAAAAATTCTCTACGTCAGCTATGCATTAAGTTTAGCTATCGTGTCCTTAAATTTAAAAATCACCTTAAATTCCTGTCACTTCTCACTAACCCTAATAGCCTGTTTAGATCCATGATGGGTAATCTTGGGATCCCTAGAAGTTTGTCATCCGGGGGAGGATTGGCAAACCTGAGGAACAAGTACAATCAAATTTCCTTTTTGCAACCAAATCAAGTCTTTTCACCCCAATTCCATCCTTATTTATTTATTACTGGAATTTATAAAGAGCCACCATATTCCTAATTAAAGAACACTTTTATGGTCATATTCACTAAACTCCAGAACACTAAAATCTGAATGATGTGGGAATATGTGAATTTATCTACACTTAGCAAAATTAAACAGCACAAATAGAAAGACTCACTGATAGTATTCCGTTATAACATTTTCTTTATACAGTCCTGACGAAGATTCCACTCTTTCCAGGGGCACCATGTTTCATGCAATTACCAGCAATAAACAGGCAGTATGTAGAAATACTATCCACTGCGTTGGTAACGCTTTTTATTTATACAGTGAGTGTTACATTCCATTGGAGGTGAAACAGACAATGCCGAGTAATAAGTGGACAGGACAGCATATTTATAGATATACATTATGTATCACCTTCATAGAATTTTCCATTTTATCTGTTTATTGAAACCTGCGTTTCCTAATGCCCCATAGCAGTAACCATTCCAAACTAACATTTTGCATATTAGGTTATTACTGTATTACTATCCATGTCATGTGGTGGAATGTAATCTACTCATATCTCTCCTTTAATACCACCCCCTACTCATTTCTCTCCCTCTATCCCACATCTTAATTACATAGTTACATAGGCTGAAACGAGAAATGTGTCCATCAAGTTCAGCATTCCTCACATCTGTTTTTTGCTGTTGATCCAATAGAAGGCATCCCCCCCAGTTTGAAGCACTTCCAATTTTGAAACAAACTAGGAAAAAAATTCCTAGTTCTTGCCCCAAAATGGCAGTCAGATTTATCCTCGGATCAAGACACTATTACCCTACATTTAAATTTTTTTATCATTGAATATTATGTTTTTGCAAGTATGCATTAAGTTGCTGTTTAAACATCTGTACAGACTCTGATAAAACTACTTCTTCAGGCAGCAAATTCCACATCCTGATTGTTCTTATGGTAAAAAAAATTCTTCCTTTGCCTTAGACTAAATCTTCTTTCTTCCAGTCTAAATGCATGGCCTCGTGTCCTATGTAAAGTCCTGTTTGTGAATAGATTTCCACACAATAGTTTGTATTGGCCCGAATATATTTGTAAAATGTTATCATAACCTCTCTGAGGCAACGTTTTTCTAAATTAAAGAGGTTTACATTTTTAACCTTTCTTCATAGCTATGTTCCATTCCTTTTATTCATTTTGTAGCCTGCCTCTGCACTTTTTCTAGTGCCATAATATCCTGCTTTAGAACAGGTGTCAAAAATTGCACAGCATATTCAATATGTGGTTTTACCAGTGATTTCTAAAGAGGCAAAATGATATTCTCATCCCGAGAATGAATGCCCTTTTTTATGCATGGCAATACCTTACTGGCATTAGCCACTGCTGATTGACATTGCACATTGTTGCCTAATTTGTTGTCTATAACAATTCCCGAATCCTTCTTGTGTGTTGTTATCCCTAATTCACTGCCATTTAGGGTATAAGTTGCTTGTGCATTCTTTGCCCCAAAGTGCATAACTTTGCATTTTTCAAATTAAATGTAATCTGCCATTTGAGTGCCCAGTCTATCTAAATCCTTTTGCAGCTTGGTAATATCTTGCTCACATTGTATTACTTTACAGTTTTGTGTCCTCTGCAAACACTGAAACATGGCTTTCAATGCCTATTTCAAGATCATTTATAAATATGTTAAATAGAAGTGGTCCCAAAACAGAACCCTGAGGGACACCACTTACCACCTCTGTCCAGCTTGAAAATTTACCATTAGTGACAACTCGTTGTACTCTATTTTTAAACCAATGTTCTACCCAAGAACTAAAATTTTCATCTAGACCAATTTGTTTGAGTTTGAACACTAACATATTGTGTGGAACTGTATCAAATGCCTTGGCAAAATCCAAATAGATCATGTCCACTGCAACACCCTGATCTATACTTCTACTTACTTCTTCGTAGAATGCAATTAGGTTAGTGTGACATGACCTGTGCTTCATAAAACCATGCTGATTTTTGCTGATAACCATGTTCTTCTCAATGAATCCCTGAATATTATCCCTTAATAACCTTTAAAATACTTTCCCAGCCACATAAGTTAAAGTCATAGGTCTATAATTTCCAGGCAAGGATTTTGAACCCTTTTTGAATGTAGGAACCACATTTGCCTTCTTCTACTCATCATGTACAATTCCTGAAAGAAAAGAATCTTGAAAGATTAAAAACAGAGGTTCACTTATTTCCACACTTATCTCCTTAAGTACTTGTGGATGAATGCCGTCAGTCCCTTGAGCTTTGTTTATATTACTAACACTTTCATATTTAATTTTATTTTTTTTTAGAATTTATGTACTTAAAAAATGCATTGGTGTTGGTTTTGCTCTCTTTGGCTACCACTTTCTCATTTTGTAGTTTAGCGAATCTAATCGCCTTTTAGCACGCATTATTGGCTTCCTTACATCTTTTATGGTATGCCTCTGATTTGTCCGATATAAAGGCTTTAAATTACCTTTTCTTATTTTTAATTTCTTGAATCACTGTCCCACAAAGTTACATTAGTTTCAGTTTGTTTCTTTTACATTTATTATCCAATGGTACACACTGGAAATGTACCTTTTATATATTTGTTTGAAGATATTCCATTTACCCTCATTTTTTTTTTCACTAAGCAGTTTATGCCAGTCAATATATTGTAAAACTGCCCTTATTGAAATTGAAATTGATATGTTTTAGTATACCCCATATACCTTATTTTTTTGAGTTTATTTCAAAGGACACTATATTGTGATCACTATTTCCCAAGTGCTGACCTACTTGAATGTTGATCAAAAGATCATAATTGTTTGTTAAAACCAGGTCCAGACAAGCGTCCTTTCTAGTTGGTGCTTGTACAAGTTGTGACAAGAAGGTGTAATTTAACAAGTTCAAAAAACTAATTCCCTTTGCTGAGCTACTAGTTTCTCTGTCCCAATTTATGTCCGGGTAATTAAAATCTCCAATAATTAACTTGTTACCCAGATTTGCAGCTATCTCAATTTGCTCAAACAGCTATTCTTCCTCATCAATCTTAACATTAGGCGGTTTAAAACATATCTCAACCAATAATTGATTTCCCTTCTTTTGCCCCAAGCAGATATTTACCCATAAAGCTTCCACATCTTCCTCATAACATTCCACTTGCTTAAGATTTGGCTTTAACTCATGGTTGACGTACAAACATACCCCACCACCTTTCCTGTTTTTTCTGTCCTTCCTAAATAGTGTGTAACCATTTAAGTTCACTGCCCAGTCATGTGTCCAACCCCTACCTCATTTTTCTCCCTCTATTCCACTCGGTTCTCATATCTCTCCCTCTGTCCAACCCCTACTCATATCTCTTCCTCTATCCCACCCCTTAATCATACCTCTCCCTCTATCCCACCACAACTCATATCTCTCCCTCTAACCCATCCCCTACTCATATCTCTCCCTCTAACCCACCAACCTACTCATATCTCTCCCTCTAACCCACCCCCTACTCATATCTCTCCCTCTAACCCACCCCTACTCATGTCTGTCCTTAAATCCCACCCCTACTTATATCTCTCCCACTATCCCATCCTTACTCATATCTCTCCATCCATCCCGCCCCACTCATATCTCTCCCTTTATCCCACCTCTACACATTTCTCTTCCTCTCTCCAACCCCTACTCATATCTCTCCCTAAATCCCATCCCTTACTCATATCTCTCTCTCTAATGCACACCCTACTCATATATCTCCTTAAATCCCACACCTTCTCATATCTCTCTCGCCATCCAACCCCCTATTCATCTCTCTCACTTTATCCAACCCCTACTCACATCTCTCCCTCTCCTACTCATATATCTCCCTCTGTCCCACCCCATACTCATATCCTGTCCTCTATCCCATCCCTACTCATTTTTCTGCCTGTATCCAAGCCCCTACTCATATCTTTCCCACTATTTAACCCTGTACTCATATCTTTCCTTCTACCTCTCACCATACCCTTTTACTTCTTTTAACCCATCTTTACTTGTGCCTCTCCCTCTAACCTACCTTTTGTATTTCCCTTTTCAAAACCCTGATTTCTACCCTTTTATTGCCCCTATATGTCGCTCCGTATTTTACTTTCTATAAGCTTGTCTCTCCTGCCCAATCCAATCGTTTGTCTTTCTTTCTACCCCCTACTTGTGTCTTGCCCTCCTCCCATACACTTTTCCTTCTCCAACTCACACTTGCCTTAAACAGGCTGGCATGCTGGCTGGTCTCATTCTGTCTAGTGAGTGTTTAGGGTGGAGATATGAAGTATGTTCCTCTACCCACCTTTATAGTTCCCACGTCATTGTTTATGTGAATGGATAGGGTGGAGATAATATGTATGTTCCTATCTCCACCTCTATCCTCACGCTGCTCTTGTGCTGAAACTAGTCCTGAGGTCCTGAAAATAACAATCAGTTAATAAGTTCCCCTCTCTCCACTCCCTTCAGTAGTCCTTTAATGACTGGCTGTGTTATGAGATATAAAATAGTATAAACTACAGTGTGAAGCCCATCACACCATCCTGACCTGCAAGATAGTTATAAAATACATGACACTAGAGCTGTGTGGGAGTGCTGATCTTCCCAACCTGCTATGATATGAGTATTATTTATAAATCACCAGCAAATTCCATAGCGCTGTACAATAGGCGGAACAACAGACCTGTATTTGCAACAAGACTAGTTGGACACACAGAGACAGAGGGTGTTGAGGGCCCTGCTCAATGAGCTTACATTCTAGAGGGAGTGGGGTAAAGTGACACAAGAGGTAAGGGAAGGGTGCATTTCATGTATGGAAAAAAGTAGGTTGCTAGAATAGTAGAATATGTTGTCCATGTGTTTAAATAAAGGCTAATATGTTATACATATGCTTCATTGCCATCCAGATATGGGCAAGATCGATAATTGATATATCTGGAACAGTTACGAAGCCTCAGAGTTGACAATGAATTTTTTTTTATGAACCATTTGCTTGCTTTTAGTGTTTCGTGGACACTATAGAGTTAACTTGTGCATACATTCTACTAACTCGTGGACTCAAGATAGTTATATAGTTGGCAGCATGGCCGGCCCTTCACTAAGCACCTTCCTCTCTGACTGCTGCCTCGGGCTGTTCCGGTCACTCGGTGGCCATCAACATGGTGGTGGGGTCGGCCGACCCCTTCAATTGGAGCACACATTATCTATCTTGTGGGCACTATCAGCTAAAATGTGCTCATGAAATAGGAAGACAGTCACCAGAGGTATGTTTAACTCTGCAATGTAAAACATTGCAGCTTTGTAGAATGTTAAAATAAACCTTTTCACCTGTGTAATTTGTGATGTAACTATTCCATTTGAAAATTGAGCTACCGAAAAAAATAGCTCCAACACCAAAATGGGAACTGGGGTGGGGTTGGGATAACCAAAAATGATAAACCATTACAAAATAAATAATTATTGGTGTTGTTCCTTTGTCTCATTTTAAGCAAGACCTTATTAATGCTATGCAATAATGGTTAGGTGCTACCTTCAGTGAACCTTAACAGTTCTGATATTGCACCATGTGGACATATAGTGACTGCCTGATCATTAGCTGACATACTCTGCATACTCCTGTCTTATTTGTTCTGACTTTGTACAGCTTGGACAGTATAGCACAGTAGCATCTTAATGTTTCTATTGGTGTTATTAATGTTCCACCTATATTATCTTGCATACATTAGACGGGTGCGAATATATCTGCCACTGTACGACCTGTATATACCGAAGCAAGCTGCAGCAGCGCAAGTCCCTAGCAATTCTATCATGTGCCAGACCTAGCACCAGGCTACCATATAAGGAATGCTTACCTACTTATAGTCGTGTAACCTAATTTTCAACTAGTGTAGCACTAAATCGAGACAAAATTCAAACTACGTTCAACCAAGGCTACAAGCTTAAACTTGATGTTGCCATGGAAAACGTACAGTTAGTCAAACCAAAACCTAGTCCGTATACTCTAGACCTCTCAGTCAGTAATTGTATGTTTTAAATTGTAACTCTTACCCTGACGTAACCTCACGAGATTTAACTTGTTTATATAATATAAAATTGTGCCGAATACCCGCATGCCATGTCAAATCTATTGTTCTCCTTAAGCTTGCTAATGCCGTTGTGGCACCGCAGGAATAAATGTTACATGTTTTCACATGCAAAAATAAATATTGGTGTTGTTCAATAGATATAACTTTTTTTATAAGCATAAAATTAAAACATACTATTAGTTAGAACCTTAGATCCTTATATCCATCATGATTGATTAGAACTATGTTAAGCAATGACCTGTTTTAATCAATCATGGGGAATTTAAAAATGTAAGGTTCTAACTAATAGCAATTTTTTCTTTTATAGAAAGAGTTAAGTTGTATTTCCCAACACCAATCTTTCCTTGTTTTGTAATGATTAATCTGTGATGCAAGTAATAATCTTGTCAACCATTAATTTGAGTAAATACAAAAAAAGTTTAATCTTTAATTTAAATTCTGGCAAACTATTTCTCCGTGTTTTATGTACTGTAATTTTAAAACACTGTGCAAACGGCTGTTTAAGCGGTGTTATATGGCGTGAAAATTAGCATGCAATTATGTTGACGGTATTTTTGGGGGAGTAGAGAAGGACACGATCAGGACTCTTTAGACAACAAAAAACATAATGTGAGTAAACCAAAGGTGCACTCAATCTCAATCCATGTCCTCCAGTGAGCTCTACTGCATGCCCGTCTGCTGGACGTGGATCCACAGTGGCAGATATGAACCATCAGACCTTCTGTGTCATATACAAAAAAAGCATGCACATATAGTTATTTCCTTTAATATGGACGAGTGAACCCCGAGACTTTCCTCTCGTCTCAAAAAACATATATACAAATACACAGTAGGGATAATAACTCCAATATAGATATCCCTTCTCCAGCCAACATCTCAAATTCCTTACAAATACCACCTGACTCCATTACAAATCTCCCTTCCCATCCGTCCCTCTCCAGGCATCACTCTCCCTTCTCCTATAGATATCTGTAGCTCTCTCTCCATGTATCTACCCGTCTTTCTATCTAATATAACCTATATACTTGGAGATCAGGTGCATTTAGTTACCATGTCTGGTTGTTATTGAGATATACTATTACTGTAGATGAATGGGGACTATCCATGACTTCCAGAATTAAACTGTAGCCAATTTGCAATATGACTGCTGTGTTTCTGCTTCCAGATAGGAACCCTGTGAAAAGGGTCACGTTTAGTTTTTAGAGGTACATCAATAGATGTTACTATGTGCATTAAAGGGCAAGTCTAGCCACCAAAACCATTACATGTAAATGTATGTTCCTCTGCTGTCTGTGGAACATGTTTGACACTGATTGCGTTGTATCGGAAACCTCCTTCCTTTCCTGTGGATTATTTTCCCTGTGATCAACGTAAGCTTTCCGGACAGCTCTTTCCATAATCCATGAGTTTTGAGCTCAATGTACAGATGGCGTCTTGCAAGACAACTTCCACATGATTTATCTCTCCCTTCCATCCCCCCCACCACTAAGAGCATAAGACACAGGTTAAAAAAACTAGCTGTTAGATTCCATTATGATACCATGTCAGAGAGCTTTTACTGTAATTCAGTACAGGCTGAAACATTTTAAATCATTTTATTCAGTATTTCTACGCAATATCTGGTGTTTTGTTTTGTTTTTTATTTAAAGCAGCTCTGTCCCTTCTGGGGTATTTGCAAACTTCACAAAGTCCCCAGGTGGTGACTGCTTTAATTGCAGTGCAGTGGCCGTGGGGTGCAGTTTTTAATAACCTAAACCTTACGTTGTGGCCACCACCGTCTTCTTCGAAGAGGTCTTCTTCAGCTCCCGTTGCTTCATCTGCATGGAGCTGGTGTCAGTGATGTACTCTTGCTCATGCATGAGAGTTCAACACTGATGTCTATGGAGGATCCTTTCGAGACTGCAGAGCCATCCATAAAGAGAGCATTTTCCCCCTTAACTCTGCCTGTCAAGCTTTATCAAGCGTACTAAAAATACAAAGTAGCCCCTGTGAAAGGTGGGGCCGGAGATGACAGAGCTGCTTTAATGAGGACCTGTCTTTCTGTTTTTAGCATAATATATTCTTTACCAAACTCTGATTGTGGGCTGCATTGTATCTTAATAATTTCTATTACAAGAGATCATTCTGAATAGCATTTCTCCTATTGACATCTGTGGAAAACAGCTATAGAGATATGCTTATCTCTTATAAAATATCCTTATTTGTTTATTTGTGTTTTTTTAAAACAATTCTCTTTTAAAAGTTATTGTGTAAAAGAGGGACATTTTTTAAAAACTTTTTTTATATCCTGGTAGTATTGTCAACATGTTAATTGGTCAGCCAGTGAGGTTTGTCCACTGAACAGTGAACTGCAGAGAATTGACACGTGAAATGCAAAACTTAGGAAAACATATAACATTTTGCAATCCAATTTTCATATCACTACTATTTAGTGTGTAATGTGTAAAGCCCACTGAGTTGTGTAAAAATGATGAAGGTTTAAGGAAAACTGAAACCTGTATTCCTAATGCTCTCGTGCCCTATTTGTTGTGTTACGGTCCCTTCCTCCCCCCGTTTGCCATAAACATAGATTGGATAATTGTTTTACTTACCGTACCTTTTTCCAGTGCAGAGATTACCTCAGAGCTGCTCACCTGTCCTCTGACGCAACATTATCTAGGAGGCTTGGCATCCTGACCGATAGTCCAATCCAGTGTTCCTTATTGGAGATCTAATGCACATGCGTCACACACACATCCAAACTTCTCCATAGGGAAAAAGCATTGAATTCAATGCTTTCTCCCCTGGGATTTCCTATCAGCTTCTGCAGCATGTGACTGTGGCCTCTAGGGTCCTCTAAAGGTGAATTTAACCCTGCAACGTAAACATTGCAGTTTCAAAAAAACTGTAATGTTTTACATTGCTGGGATAAAAAGACAGGAAAAGACAGGAACACTACGCCCAGACCCCTTCATTGAGATAAATCTGGGTGACTGTAGTCTCCCTTTAAATAATGAACGTGGGGGGCGACTGTGCAGCAAGCAAGACGTGCTTGAGAGGAGCTCCGAACCAGAAGTCCAAATAAAGGGGGATTAACCTACCTAAACGGCTCACACGAGCACCGAGACACCCACCCCCAAACAGTTGACCAAACGGGGCAAAAAAAACAAAAAACGGAGACCCATACAATGCCTGATATCAGGATTTCATTTAACAGGCCAGCCCGGCGGGAAGCCCCCAAGATGGCGCCGGAGAGGCAGAGTGAGGATGAGGCCTCAGAGGCCTCGCAAGAGGTGGAACAACCCAAGGGGAATACCCTAGCAAGCGGCACTACCAGTGAGTCTGACTCCGATGCAGACTCAGCTCCAGCAACAAAGAGGGACATTAAATGCCTCCTGACTGAAATGAGGCAAATATGGAGGGCGAACCTACGGGTGACACAGGTGGAAATTGGCAACCTGGGTAATAGACTCACGGCGGTGGAGTCCAAAAATGGAGAGAGGGAGACACAGCTGTGGACTGCCCAGCAGGAGATCCAAGGCCTGGCCCAACAGGTCCAACACCTGTCCAAGACTGTGACAGTACTAGAGGCCAGACACAGGAGGAAAAACGTCCCCCTCAGAGGAGTACCGGAGCGGATCACAGGGGATGGCCCTTCCTGCACCGCATGCTGGCCCACATGGGGGCCAAAACTGGAGTAGATGGTGACTACCGCATTCCGGATCAGAAAAGCCGCCTCAGCCCCAGCGGAGGCACACAGAGACATAACTGCAGTTACCAAGAACGTTGTGGCCAGATCCGCCATTATGGCACGCTCGAGAGAACTGAAAACTGTGAACTTTGAAGGCTGCACGGTAGATATATACATAGTTACATAGTTACATAGCTGAAAAGAGACTTGCGTCCATCAAGTTCAGCCTTCCTCACAAATGTTGTTGCTGTTGATCTAAAAGAAGGCAAAAAACCTGGTCTGAAGCGCTTCCAATTTTGCCACAAACTAGGAAAAAATACGGGGATCTCCCATTTGCTGTATTGGCAACGAAAAGGCAGTTAGGCCCAACTGCTAGTAGACTGCGGGAGGCAGGGGTGAGGTACAGATGGGGGGCGGACGGGTCATTAGTTATCCAGACGGGTGAGGAAACACTAACATTGCCCCCTGATGGAGACCAGGAGACGTTCCTACAGCGACTACAGGTGACAAACACAACCCCGAAAAAAGCCCTTAAGGCCAAGCCACGTACCCACCAGCGACTCCCAGGTACACCACACACATAGTCGAGACACAGATCTCCAGGCCAGCAGGCAGCTGACCATCACAAAGGTCCCCGAGCGAGCAAGCAAGTAAGGGAGGACCAGTACTTGTAAGATACAAGCAAGTTAGACACGTTGGACACTATATAGTTCCGCACACATATCTCAGAGGCCATGACCCACAATAGACTCTCAGCCCGAATATAGAGAGACATCGCCCAGTCATAGCCCGTACAAATAGACAGGACAACAGGACAGAGGTCCCAAGGATAAGTTAACCCTTCACTGTATGGTACTGAGACACACAGCATGTTATTATATTATGACCACGCAGATGAAGATAATGTATCACAGGTGGACCAATGTTGGTACCCTCTGTCACGTTTTATATTACGACACAGTTTTATTTCTGTGAATGGTAATTCAATAAAATACAAATTTTAAAAAAAATTGTGAACCTTAGGAGTCCGATTTTTATGAAAAATGTTTAGTGGACTAGAAATAGTCCATTTTCTAATTAAGAGAGATATACTCTATTCTAAAATCTTGGCTTTATTTTGTTATTTTTATTTATTTGTATTGTAACTGTGAGAGAATAAGAGAATTTGAAGAAAATTAATTTAGAAAATTTGTTTCACTTTACCACTCGCTCTTAAGCGAACGTACCCCGTTAGAATTCTATTTCTAAATAATTGTTTGAACTCCAGGTCGAAACTCACTACATTTTGCACGGAAATCACACAGTGACACGGAAATGCAGGCGGTGTAATACGCATCTGAGAACAAATTGGCATTTAAGGGGAAAAATGTTTTGCCCTTAAGCCAAAAACAAAATTTAGACAAACGTTGAGAATAGGCAAAATATCGATATAGGTTGTCCTTTGGTTAGTCCTGGTCTTGTCTCAAACAAGTTATATAACCCCATTGCATGTGTACATTAGCATTTTGGACTAATTTTACCACAAGGAAAGTTTAGAACCAAAATTCTGTCAGTTTCGCTCAGAAGTTCAGCATCCCATGATAACTGATTCAGCCCAAGTATCAGTACGGTCTATTTACACCTAGTGATATCTGGATAGGCACAGTGATCAGGGAGACCCTTTTTGACTGGGGTATATCCTAATGATTTAAAAATAATAATTAAAAAATCATAAGAACATTGAAAACAATGAAAATGATTCTGTATGTACCACGTGTTAATAAGGTCTGCTTAAAGTGACACTATAGTCACCAAAACATCTCATCTTGAAAGTCCAAGCTCACCAGAACTCAATCTCCACTCTCCACAGGCAAGAGGGCGAGTGGAGATTTTGACAGAAATTCTGTATATGATTCTCGCAGTTACTTTGTTCCGAATGAGTTGCTAAACTTTGTTTTGTTTCTTTTTATGCTCCCAGTTTGATGTCCGGGCTGGCCGCGCTAGATGCGAAGACATCCAGTCGCCTGGGGATTTTCACAATTGCCTATTATCTGTGGACCACTTTCGTAGCCGTGATTGTGGGGATCATCATGGTATCCATCATTCACCCGGGGGGAGCGGCACAGAAGGAAAACACGGAGCACAGCGGGAAGCCAGTCATGAGCTCTGCAGATGCTCTGCTGGACCTGATCCGGTAACTGCGCAGCACACGGCTGAGTTATAATGTAACACTCAGCAGATTCATCAAATGGAAGAGGTTTGTCAGAGGTTATCAGAGGAGGAGTATGTAGCACTGATCAATAAGAAGATTATGTCAGTAACAGATAATAACCTCACATGTCCTATTGCTCTCCTCCTAACCCTTGCAGTCAGGTCTCGGGGGCCTCCTGTTTTAAATCATCCTACTCTACCAGTTATGTATCTCTCTAGATGCAAATTAATGAGCAAAGTTCTCAAAGTGGAGCAGTCGGCGTGGAAACCAGTAGAAAGTAACTGCTGACTGGTCCACTTTCAGAAATTTACACTTTTAAAAACACATTTATACACGTTTCCCCCATTACCTTTTTTTGTTTTAATTTTTTTTATTTAAGAAGAAAATCGTTATACAGTGCACGCGGACGCCATAGGTGCCTCACATGAAAAAAAGTTTGACAATAAGAAACAACGAGCATCATAAGGTTTGACAATATGACAGATCTTCACAGAATATTGGTGTAACGGACCGTTTTGCTCACCAGAGGTTAAAAACCGTTTAGGCGATATTCCCCTTTCAAGATACACCGACAGCTACTGCAAGCACCAATCTCCCGAACTGCAAACCCACGAATTCACCAACTCCCGAACTGCAACCAAGGGAATACTTGAAACTCCCGAACTGCATACCAAGTAGCACTCCAAACTCCCGAACTGGAGACACACGAATAGCTGTTAGCAGACGAACAGGAAAAGCACCCAAGCGGCTTACACTCCTGGCAATCAGTCTCTAACAGCATACAGAAAATCCCCCCCAAAGACGAGATGACACTTCGTTTTGAGGGTCAAGCAGAATCTGGTTTACGGGGGCTAACTGCCCGGCTTTTATGCAGGTCTCCCACCTGGTGGACACTCCCCTAGGGGACCAAATGGGAAACTGGGAAACATATTGGCTCTTAGCCAATCACATACATACACCTTTAAACACTCCCACAATTACATCACAATCCCTCCTCTCTGTCCTGGAGATAATTGGGAAGTAATCCAATTATCTCCCAGGACAGAGGCAAAACTCCATTAACCACCTGGCAGTAACAATACAGTAAAAGACAAAATTACATACAGCCACATTTATTACCTAAAACATATACATTCTACATATCCCCAGATAGCTTAGATCTGAGCGCACATTACTACCGAATGGCGCTCAGGTCACATACATACAGTTCAATCGCCATGGAGCCAAAGTCTTTCCCATAGTCTTTCATTACACGAATAGGCTCCATGGCTTAGCTATCTGGGGGATGCTGTTCATCCGGCGAAACTACCGAATGAACAGTCATTCGGTTCTGCTTACCGAATGGGAAGGTAAGGAGGCTGGCGGCTCAGCGGTGTTTGCGCCAATAAGTGTCCGTTTTCAGTTCCATAGTTTGGGCGCTGAACCCCGCTGGCCGTTCGGGAGGTAAAATGGCCGCTGCCACGTGTTCGGCAGACGAACAAAGGCCACCCAGCGTTCATCAATTAAGCTGCGGTTAACCGCAGCTTCTGGGCGGTCAATTGACGGCACACTCCAGCTCCCAGGTGGTCCATCGTTCGGTAGTTTGTTTGGCAGATGGAATCTACTGAACATCCTGGCAAAAGGCACGAATAAACCTTTCAGCAGGGAAAATAACAGCTCTGAACTGCTGGGCCATAATCTAAAGGGAGCAGGCGAGCAACCAGGCTTCTCCAGTGCACAGTGGCGAGGTTGGTTCCGCCACAATTGGTCTTTCTGGTGCTTCCCTTCGTCCTCTAAGTTTTTAGTAAACCAATATTCAAAAAAAAGTGAAAGGGGTAGGAATCAACACGGAAAAGAGAGGGGAGGGAAATACCACCATTCGCAATCCCCAATTAATAACCTAATTACCCCTTTAATACATATTAGACTTACATCTTTTATCCTATGAAAGCTCTTTTATACTTTATTTCTGTTTTTTTGCTTTTTAGAAACACTGTAGAAAGACTATTGGCGTGGGTGATATCTCACACATTTGTAAATGCTTACACTCAAAGAACCTCGCCAATAGAAAACCTCAAACTAAACAAAAATAAAAGTGCATATAGAAAAATAGCCACATACACCAGAGGGCGCCAGACACCAGAATGCTTGGTAATCACAGTATATACCAATTCAGATAGAAATACCAATGGCACATAAATAGTAGAGGTCAGGTTCACAGCTGTAAATAAATCTCCAACTTTGGAATAAAAAAAAAAAAGAGAGAGATTATAGTGAAATACAATTTATTAAATAACTTAAAATTGGTTAGAAATACACTCACAAACAGTATTGCCCAATTGCAAGGACATGTTCAAGATAGTCCTTTTGCTTTTTATAAAATTACATTGTATCCTCTCTTTGTTGCATTCGTGAGACATTCCCTACAGCAAAGATGTTCACAATGTAAAGTTTAAATATGTAGAAATTAACAACAGTACAGAGTTATTGAGTTGGACAGAGTTGAAGCATTATCTGGTACCACCAGGTATTTTCCTCCTTCAATCAAAAGCACAAAACAAGGAGAAGAGAAAGCGCTTGCTTTTCACTGTTGGTCTTATTGAGCCTGCTAAGGGGGTAGATGGTTGTTAAAAGGAGGGTTTCTTCCCGACCTACATACATTAGAGGATTGCACGCAGGCCCACAAAGCGGCCAACCAGTTCTGTGCACGGATTGTTGCCAATATTTGATGGTAGAGGTGGAAATGGCCTGGAATAATTTGAGCCAGTGCAAATATATACCGTTTTGCATTCACCTTGCTTTTTTGTGTGAATTTTTTCTCTGGTGTACCCAACAACTATGACTATGAGAAAGAAGACAAAAACTGTGAATATTTCACCAGATTTAAGATTGTTTAAAAAAGCAGGTAAATTGAAATCTGCTGCCGAATGGTCAGTCAAAATGAGTTTCGATGCAATTTGTTCTTGATAAATGTACGAATTCCTTTGCTTTTCATGGAATTAAGATGTTTTTTGGGGTTCTATTTTAGCAGTCACTGAATCCATTAGAAGTGAATTCCGAGGTCACTCCTGAATATTTTTGACTACACGTTTAGAGCTCAGTAAATAATTATTGTTACAATATCCTGGAAATACCGCTTGGGTAAATTCGCTGTCATGTAGCGAGTTGTAGGAGACAAAATTCGTTAATCCATCTCAAACCTGGATACCAATTAATTTGCCGTTGATCATGTGACTTTGTGTTTTCTGAGCAATCTGAAACTGACCTGAATTCGGCTAATCATGGCTTCCAGTTAATAGAAACTGTGTTATTGTCATGCAGTCAGAGCTTCTCAGTGACTTCAAACCACCAATATCGTTTTATTAATTTAAGTTATTCAGTTATTGGATTTTTTTTAAATCAATTTTGCAATTTTTGATTAGTTTATGCAAATTGTTAATGTTCCATAATTTGCTGTTTAGTGAATAACCCATTTTTTTACTACAAACATTCCTTCTGTTGTGTTTATGTCTGTTTTGTATTAGTCAGTGAAGTCATTGCAGACTGCCATAAGCACACCCAACTAATCACGTTCATGAGATTCTGCAGAAACTCACGTCACGCAAGGAAAGTGATACGAAGTTTTCTTTTTGGTTACATTTTTGTTTCTCTTACTTAAGCAAACCTAAAACAAAGATGTTATAGGGTAGGAAAATTATATGTAGAATAGGGTCTACAATGATACATGCCATTGTATGTCGTGCCTGGAATCTGAGGATTTAAATTCAGTACATGGTTTGGGCACCCACCATGTTTTCCCAGATTCATATTTTCTTCATGTAGATGAGCAGTACATGAAAGGTGCTGCCATGCAGTATGTATAATGTATACACTGCGGGATTTCTGACTGGTTCCAGACAGAATTGGCATCTTCTGGGTATGCATAGGTAACAGGGGTGAGGGTATCATTAGGGCCACAGTGATTTGGCACCATCCTCGATGTAACTTTTAGAAACAGGGACTGGATATCCAATAGTACATTTAGTAACTGACATGGGGGGGGGGCATTCCCTGGGTATACATAGGTAACAGGGGTGAGGGTATCATTAGGGCCTCAGTGATTTGGCACCATCCTCAATATAACTTTTAGAAACAGGGGCTGGATATCCAATAGTACATTTAGTAACTGACATGGGGGTAGCGAACCACCAGTCCCATCAGTGTTACTAAGGAGTCATCTCCCCGTCAAAGTAGTCACCAATTATAAAAGAATGATCAGTAGTACTGCACATGCAGGCTACTTAGGGAAGGTGGACTGGCAGATGAGGTATTAGAGAATAGATCTTTGCTGCACAGGTTTGATTGTATTAAATACCTGACTGTTCATTATGTGCTTGTTTCCAGCAATGCTTTCATTAAGACCCGGGAGAGAATCAGCAGCTCACTGTTCGTGGGCAGAGAGGAAGGGATAGGTCATAACTTATCTCCATCTCTCATTAGTTTAGAGGCCTATTTCTCTATAACTTAGTGGCAAACGTATACGTAGAGGAAATGTATATTGGACGGGCACACACACACATGCACACGTAATTGTTTTGTTAGGTATATTACTTGCACATGCACATTCATTTTCATTCATTTGAATCAATTCATCTGAAAAAATTTTTTCTGTTGAATAGGGATGTGTCCATGTAATCTTTCAGTTTGCATGAATTTCTTCCATTGAATTGTGTCAGGAAAACGATTAAGACAAACCAGTAAGGAACAAATCAGTGCAAAATATTAATATATATATATATATATATATATATATATATATATATATTTTTTTTTAATTTTACAGCTTGTCTTTATTTCACTCTATTTGTCACTTCTCACTTAAACGGTGAATAAAATCAACATTTCATGGCTGTTCCCTAACGATCAATCATATTTTTTTCCCATCAATCATTGAAACTCTGAATCAAACAAAAACTGTTCATTCATTGTCCATTTTTTTTCTTCTTCATAATTCAGTCATGTAGAGATTTGGAGTTCAAACAGACTGGAATCCAGACAGCTCACTGATCGCCCCAAATTCGGACGAATCGCAATTCATTTAAAACTGAATGCACAAGTCTGATTCATATACACACAGAAACATATGTAGAGACACACACATTGATATACATACACACAGACTAACACACAAACACAGACACGACACACGCACAGATACATATAGACACCTACTCATACACAGACACAAAAACATTCATACACACACTACACACAGAGACTCACATTTAAATCCACACACACATGTTTGTACACAGACATACATACACACATTCAAAATATATACTGACTCATACACACACATTCATGAACACATTTAATTTGTATTTCTTTTTTATGTATATGAACAAGTTCCATACAGCCTCCCTTTTCTTACCTTGAAAGTGAGCTGTAGCGGAACCTTATCTCTGGGGTCCAGTTGTTTACTGTTGGGATCTCCTTCTACTGATTGGCTAGCTCCCTGCAGCTTGGAATTGATGACATCACATCATGGCTCCAGCAATAGGACAGGGGTGCACTAGCATGCGCAGGTAGGAAAGTACCAGCTCTTATGAAAAGGGGGTGCTCTGTGCACCACTCTGCCACTTTTCACCAAAGGCAGACAACCGCCACCTCTCGGGTAGAATGCCCATGCTTGGTGGAAGTTATGGCATGGTTAACTTTCTGCACCAATGCCTCTTTTTCCAACCTCATGGCTTAGATACACCATTGTGTGCATACTTTTGTGTAAACTTGTCAGTTGTGCCAGTTGATGACAATACGCTCCTGTGTGCACAAGATCATCTATGGAAGATCCCAGGGTCTGGTATTCTTCTTGCGTGAACCTAATTTAGTGATACGGGCATTGGGAGATGAAACCACCAGGAGCTAGAAGAAGTTGGCTGGGCAGAGGAAAAAGAGAGGTTCAGGTAAGTAAATTTCCCCTCCCTATCATTCCTTCATGCATCATCATGCAAGTAGACATTTCACCATGGAGTGGCCTTAGCCAAATTGGCAGCTGAATTCTAAATTGTATTCTTGATGGCAGGTAGAGGTAATGGAAGGTTTTACATATTGGTCAAATAGAAAATGAACAATGTGTAAGGAAGACGAGTGAAGTGGAAAAGGTTTGTATATAGTGGAGTTGAATCAAATAAGCAGAGGTTTCATTAGCCAAGATGGGACACGAGGGGAAATGTAGCTGGATTATTGTAGTATCTTCAATGAGAAACAGATTCAAACAATATTTTAAGAAGTTTTGTAGGACTTTTTAAGGTTTTAAATCGGAGGTGTTATAGACACAACACAGAGCACTCATGCATTAGTTGGGATATATTGGTGCCATTTGTAGACAGGAAGAGTTTAGATAATGAGGGGAAGATCGACAAATACAATTTGATATTAATCATTGATTTCTTCCCCAGGAACATGTTTCCATCAAATCTTGTTGAAGCTACATTCAAGCAGGTCAGTGAGAAAGTGTGTTTGTACATGGATATATTGGGGGGGCTGGGGGAGACGATTTATCAGAGTGTTGCAAACTCTTTTCTGTATAATTTTCAGCAAATTTCAGATCTGTCAGGTTTGTTTGCTCGCTAACTGTTGTTTTTGAATATGTACCATTTTTTTCACTGACGCAGCAGATTTATAAATGTGTCCTATACTTTTTCAGACAGTTTTCTGATATGGGAATGTCTGAGAGAACTGGCATAATATACTATTAAAAAAACCGATCACTTTAATAAATACAATGGAATTTATTTTTCACAAAACACTAAATTGTAAATTGAAAACCAGATTGGAGAATTTTCTTAAAATAATATATTTTTTGCCTACATTTTGAAATTTGGTACAACTTGATGTGCAGTGATTAAACCACACAGCGTGATTCAATAAATAGAGCCACGTAATTGCAAATTATAAGGCAAAATAGACCCCAAAAAATTATTTCTTAGATATTTTTCCAGCTCATGATTTTTTACGGAATCTGTTGGCGCTATATAAATGGCAATAATAATAAAATAATAATATTGAATATTCAAATTGGCTGGCCAGTCCCTCACAATATTTGATCCAGTGAGTACATCTGTCATGGAATTAACCTGTGAAATGTAGTATGACCATGCTTGTTTTAAGTTAGAGGCATCTCCTATTAATTTATGAGCGCATGCATGCCAAAGTTAATAGGGCTGGGTGCCCGACTCTACAAAGGGCACAGAAAATATGTTCGTTGATTTTGTGTTCATCACTAACTTTAAAATGCCTGAACAATTTGCTGCTAATTACTAATTGCTAATAATGTTTAATGCCTAGTAAAAAAACAAATCTAAATTCTAAGCAACAGTTCAAGTATATTAACCAGCTTGCAGCATAAGAACTACATTGAAATGAAGATGTTATTGTGCCAGGAGCCCCCTGGGCGCTTCCTTACCTTTAGGGGTTAAACCGTTCACAAACCTGTAAAGCATGCTGAGTTTTGGGTCCTGTCCTGTTATCCCAACTAAGTTCCCTGGTGTCATGCTTTTTGACGCGCTCGCACTATGATTACGGCAATAGGACTTTGCAGGGAGCACTGTCTCAAAGGGCTGGCCCGCATGATTGACAGGCAGCCTGGCGTGCAGTCACGCCAGGCCAACCTGTCATTAACAGTGGCAGACCGCCCATTTGGGGTTGAGCTAGTGATTTGGTCTCTTCACTGGCCTGCCCCTTTACCTCCCTCCCTGCAGCATCCCGTATCCCAGAATGCCAGCGTTGGGAGGTATGCCTAATGGTATATATGTACTTTTTTTATGACTGGCGAACTACTGATTGGTTTAGAGCCTCAGCTGATCACACTAAGCCAATCAACCTCGAACCCTGCCCAGTGGCAGGCCATGATTACTGGGAAAGAATTCGAGAAAACGGATATGGATAGTTACAGGGAAGAACGGCCTGGAGGGATGCGTCAGGGGGTTGGGGGGTGGGGGGGGCACATAGCAGCAATAACTTCATTTCGATGTTATTGTGCCTGGAGTTTTCTTTTAATTGTAAAATCCATTGACATTGTCATTATGTAAGTAAACAGCTTGGCTCAATCATCAGGTTAAATAGTGCTTCTAATGCTTACACTATAACCACCTGCCTGAATCATTGTCCAAACTGTTGCAACATAGTATATGTCAATAGTATTAATATTTTACCAGGTAAATAAATGATTCTACAATCCAACCAAACTGCATGATTTAGCAAACAATGACACAAAAACATAAAATAGAACAAAAGTACAGAAATTTGACCACACTGCTCATATATAACCTGGTGTAATTTAGCATCTACAACTGTATCATTGTATATAATAGACCTCGTGCTGGGAATCTCTGTTCATTAACCTGCACAAGCTCTAAAGACATAGAAGTGTCTGTCCTACCCCCTACACCAGGGGTAGTCAACCTGTTAATACCTCCCGCCCACTTTTGTATATTTGTTGATGGTAAGATTTCCTTACCACCCACCAGTGCCGCAGTAACGAATATTATAGCCTATGTGCGTTTTGTTTTGTTTAAGGAAAATAGTTTTTTTTTAAATATGTACTTACATTTATCTATTTTTTTCCTTTTTTTCTATTGTATTTTTTGTATGTGAGTCTGTGAGGTAATGTGTGTGTAAAGGGTGTAGTGTGTGTAAAGGGTGTAGTGTGTGTAAAGGGTGTAGTGTGTGTGTGTGATAGGTGCAGTGTGTGGGAGGAGACAGTGTGTGAAGGGTGCAGTGTATGTGTGAAGGGTGCTGTGCGTGCGTGAGGGGGCAGTGCTTGTGTAAAGGGTGCTGTGTGTATGTGAGGGAATAGTGCGTGTGTGAGGGGGCAGTGCTTGAGTGAGGAGGACGGTCTGTGTATGTGTGAGGGGGACGGTCTGCGTATGTGTGAGGGGGGCAGTGTGTTTGTTTGCGAAGGGTGCTGTGCTGTGTGTAGGTGGGTGAGATGTGAAAATCTACCTTAATGTCTCCCCATCCCTTCTTCTTACCTATTACCAGGGAGAGGGATCATAATACTGCAAGTCCTGGTGGTCCAGTGGTGGCATGTTCCTCCTCCGGCTGCAGGTTGACTCTCCTGTACTCCAGTGAGCAAAGCACTGTATCGGAGCGCTGCCATGGTAACATGTGGAAACTCTCCGACCAGCCTGCTTACGGGAGGATCACAGAGCTTCCCAGGCCCTACCCGACTTCTGCTGGAACTAAGTGCCAGTGGGTTGGTGATGGAGATATTTCATTTCCTCACCAGCCCGGGAGGGCTTACAGCAAGGCCGGCAGGGGAGATGAAAGGATCTCCCGAGCCGGCCTTGGTCCACGGCCACCAAGCCCACTGGCCACAGACAGTTGGTCACAAGAACAGGGTTAGCTCTCTGGTTACTGTCTATATATTTTGATATAACATTTTCTTAGAAGTCATGTACAGAAATTGGAGCCTCTGTCAACAAACAGCTGGGCACCTGCTGTTGGGCATGTCTGATATACACTAATAATATCAAGTTATATGCTTATACCAAAGTAATTAATCAAATAAACTAAAATCACATTTAATCCTCTCTCTCACTGAAACTGGCAGCTACCATGAACGGCAAATCTAATTGTATTCAAAAGATTTCTAGGGATTTAAATAGAATTACAAAAAAAATATAGGGATTTACCAACTGCCAATTTCAACAGCTTGATTTGCACAAAGTCTTAGATATGAAATATGTTTTAAAAGATTAACGATGCACAGATATTCTATATTTTGTTTCTTGATCTTTTTTGCTGTCATATTGCTATTTAAAAAAATCTTGTTTAACGCTATTTGTGTAAAATAGATATGTCTAATCCTATACCCCCAAGCTGCTGAAATGCATTTCCCATAATCCTCTACTATCCGATGGCTAACAAAGAATTATGGGAACTGTAGCTCTGCATCAACTGATGGGCTGAATTTGATAACCCTAATATAAGTTATGGATTGAGTCCAGATGGCAAACTCTGGAACTCTGGAATTGTAATCTGTATTTCAAAAGTAATAATGTAACATTTGTTCTCTCAGTACCGCACTAAGAACGTACCAGTGGTTAAAAGTGGGAAGACGGCTTTATCTGAAAGCATTACTCACAGAATCCTCATTTATGGGATTCAGGATGAGAATGGATCACACATACAGAATTTTGCCCTTGACATCACGCCATCACCAGATGTTATCTACAAGTCAGAGCCCGGAACCAGTGATGGCATGAATGTGTTGGGTATTGTCATCTTCTCGGCCACTATGGGTAAGGCATGGTACTTTACAAATAGAAGAGATAGTTCTGGTGTGTGGAAAATCACTTGCAAAATATCCTTGTTGGAAGTAAATTTTATTTTCAGAAAAAAATACATAAACCGATTCTGGCTCCCACCTGTTGGAGCTGCTCATAGAAATTGTTCTGGCTTCTGGCTTTAAGACCTGCTTCCAGGACCGGTTCTGGCTTTTGAGGCTCTGTTCCTAGAGAACATTATGGATCCTATTTGTAGGCTGTGATACCAGAGTCTGCCCTGGTTCCCATTAGGAAAACCGTCTGACAGAGTTTGTTCTTGCTTCTGCTTGTTGAATCTCCGTACTGATCCTTTTACTGCATTCTCTTTACATTCTCTTTGAGAACTTGTTCTAAAATTCTATTTGCAGAATAGTAGAACCTGACCCCATATACTTTAGTGCATGCCAATTCTTTGATGTTCAGTTCTGTAAGATATGGTCTTGAAATACTTTCTTTATCCCACGACATACTTGAAAACAAGAGAAATCTCAATGTATCCTTCCTAGTAAAATATTTTATAAATAAATAAATAAATATCACTTTTTTTCTGAAATAGGTTAAAATCCTAATCAACTTTTTTACCTTTGTGGGACACTTTCTTAGCCTTGTTGACGTTTTAAATGCATGTTCTGTTTTAATGATGTGTGCTTGCACCATTACAAAAACAATGTATTTGACTAAACCTGGTCCAGAAAGAATTAATGAGATCTCTTTTTTTTTTTAATAGTCTTATTCCACTTATGCAGCTCCCAATTCTATTATTTATATGCCATCCAATGGTCCTCTAGAGCTGTGGTGAGCACATTTTTTGTTAAGGCACAACAGGACAATTGGATTGTGTCGGTATGTGTCCTAGCACCCAGAATGTCATGAAATGTCGTGTAATAAAACAATTGCTGTCTATATATGCAGGAATAATGCTCGGACGCATGGGGACCAGTGGAGTTCCAGTTGTCAGTTTCTGCCAGTGCTTGAACGAGTCTGTAATGAAGATTGTTGCAGTTTCTGTGTGGTGAGTTCCGATTGAACAGCATTATTTTATAAATACAAAAACATAAGTCCTGAGCTTCACTCCCATCACTCCTGGGCGGCAGCAATGAACACAGTACATATCAGCCCCAATAGATAGTTAAAAACCAAAGGGGAAAAAGTTACCTGCGGCTGATGTGTACTGTGGTAGTTGCTGCCACCCAGGAGTCATGGGAGTGAGCGCAGGACTTATCTTTTTGTATTTGTATTCACTTTTTGTATCACACAGCTTTGTTACAATGCAGCCGCCCATCCCATGTGTTCCCTTTTAGGGGTTAATAAGTATATAGGGGTGTATATAAAAAATACCCCTGTCTGTCTCATTGGAGAGATCGTTGCCAGAAGCTCAGGGAAGCAGGGTGAAGAGTCAGTGTAGGACCCACTTTAGGGGGGTCTGCCTTGACGTTGGCAGGCGGGCATTCCCTCCAATGGCCATTGGAGCAACGAAATGACCTCCATTTGTCTAAATATACATAGGGATTAAGGAGAGAGCGCAGGTAACTTTTTTTTCTTTAGCATTATTTTATAGTTGCTTTGATTTAATATTTTTGTGTAAGCTTTTCAAATTATCACAGTTTGTTAGAAAAACTTTTCAAATGATTTATCTACGAGAGTCACCATTAAAGTCTAGCGTAATTTTTGTAGTTAAATAATTTTAAAAGTTTTTCTAACAGATTGTAATTATTTTAAAACCGTATCCAAAATTATTAAATCAAGGCCAATGTCTGTTTAAAGGATTTCTCAAAGCCTGGTGCACTGTGTATTTCTCCTCACATCTTACATTGAATACTGAGTTTATCTTTGTATTCCAACAGGTATTTCCCATTTGGAATTGTTTTCCTGATCGCAGGGAAGATCCTGGAGATGGACGATCCGACCTCTATTGGGAAGAAGCTAGGATTTTATGCTATTACCGTAGTGTGCGGTTTGGTGGTACATGGACTCTTTATTCTTCCCATCATGTACCTGTTTATCACTAAGAAGAATCCCATCGTTTTTATAAGAGGAGTGTTACAGGCTTTGTTGATAGCCTTAGCCACGTCCTCCAGGTATTGTACAGGGATAGTCAACCTATGCCTTTCTATTTAATGCCTGAATTCAGGAAACAATGTTCTAACACATTTGACTTGTGTCTTTCCAGTTCTGCCACTTTGCCAATAACATTCAAGTGTCTACTAGAGAACAACCACATAGACCGCCGAATCGCCAGGTTCGTGCTGCCAGTGGGCGCCACCATCAACATGGATGGAACAGCTCTGTATGAAGCTGTGGCTGCCATCTTTATTGCACAAGTCAATAACTACGAGTTGGACTTTGGCCAGATCATTACTATTAGGTGAGATGTGCTGAATGAGGATAGTGTTTACTTTACAGACCTTCTGAAAAGTTATATTTTAGATTCAGGCCATATCATTCGGTTCACATGTAGATCCCCTTATATCTTCTCAGACAACGAGATAGCACCAGTCACTGGTGGACACTTTAAGTCCTTAAGGCCTACTGGGTGGCCAAACTAATAAGAAGCTTCAAATCCAACAGAGGTTTGAAGCCAAATACCAGGGGGACAACACGGACTGTAAAAAGGACTTAACCCTCATGTGAAAATGATCAAAGAAAAGGGAAATGAAGACTAATCATGTGAAAACATGTCCAACCTGAAAATTAATATATCCTTTTTTAGAGTATACACAAAAATAAATGTTATAAATATGTAAAATGTAACTAAAGAGTAAAACAAAGATCCTGTTCACAAGGAAAGTAACAATGTGTGAGTGATACAATGTCTCAAAAACTTGTGAGTCACCTTCAGTCTTTACTATCTCATTACTTATGTGGTTCCCCAATTGGACATGTAAGACACTTAATCAATCTGCTCTATATAGTGATAGCACAGGGAGGGGGTAACATTAAGTAGCTGAATACTAGATTTAAGGTTTGGCTAGTAGAGGTAAGTATCTCTCTCTTAGTATTGGTAAAACAGCAATTACTGTTTAGTCCATATATGTAGGTAATATCAACTTAGTATTCCAGTACTTCTATTGCCATCCATCGAAGTAGTTCTTGGATTAGCATATAAAGTATGAAAATAAGGCCCATCCACGTGGGATGTAAAAAAATGGATAAAGTAGAAAATAATACCTCGGCTGTAAGTGAAAATCACTGACAGCCTACAGAGAAAAGGGAAAAGAACACCTCAGCTCTCGAAGAATTGAGCAGCGGCACTGCTGATTGGTCAGCTGACGCTCTCAGCCAGTCAGTGATTCCCCATTCATAAAACTGGCTTGAAAAAGGGAAGATTATTTTTAAGAAAATGTTATGAATGGGGATTCACTGATTGGCTGAGAACGCCAGCGGACTGCTCTTACGCAATTAGCAGCACCGCTGCTAAATTCTGCAGCCCTCCGGTTTAAAGACTTTGAGAAAATGGAAGGACAGAGAGACAGTGAAATCTGGTGCTGAAACAAAGACTTTTGGTTAAACCGCTCTAGACCAATTTAACCCCTTAATGTGAGCCAGCACCAGGGATCTTCTGGCACCATAACAACTATATTTTAATGGAGTGTTCCTTTAATTCTTGACTTTTGGTGTGCAATGAGGACTGATTTGGGTACTAGTCATGTAGAAATGTTGTGTCTAAATGTGTCTAATTCTATCTAAAATGGATCTAATTGCTTCCCATTCTTTACATGTTTATCTGATGATTCTCCCCAGTATTACAGCTACTGCCGCCAGTATTGGGGCTGCAGGGATACCCCAAGCTGGCCTGGTAACCATGGTGATTGTATTGACCTCTGTTGGCCTGCCTACTGATGACATCACACTTATCATTGCAGTTGACTGGGCTTTGTAAGTTTATGTTTTGTTTTCTGACTCCTGTTATGAGATCTGTGTTTGACAATTCGGTTTCCTGTTAATAGTCCAGCCAGGGGCTTGATTTGTATAGTATTAACCCCCCTTCCCTCCCTCCCCCACCCTCCTGTAGGTAGCATTGCAGACCAGGCACTTGTTAATTATAACCCTGACCGCCAGCATGGGAAATACTCCCAGTTAAATATAATTTGGCTGCTTGTGTTATTTCTCTGGAGGAAAACTGTGACAGACCTCTCTGTCTTTTAAACTGCTTTATTTCTCCTTGGTTCGTCTGTTTGTTCGGCTAGTTCTTTGTCCGTACAGCCCGTATGTTTATTCTTAATTTTACCGAATGAACAGCCGAACAGCCAGCCACCCAGCATGGAAGTGTGCTGCTGGTTAACCTCATGGCCTCATTAGAACATTGTGGTTAACTGCAGACACCTCTTAATTGTCGAATGTAGGCTGGGTGTCCAACGTTCGTATAACGAACACGATGCGGTGGCCATCTTGGACATACGAATACCCAGCGGTGTTCGTCGACGATTTCATGGAACTAAAAACGGATATTATTTTGCATGAACACCGCTGAAGCCTCCGCCCTCCCTTCTTCTATTTCTCCATCATACGAACGCCGCTCTGTTCGGTACTTTTCTGCACGAATGGACTTACCCCAGATAGTCATGCCATGGAGCCTATTCGTATAACAAAAGACTTTGTCTCCATGGCGATTGAACTGTATGTATGTGATCTGAGTGCCATTCGCTAATAATGTGCGCTCAGATCTAAGCTATCTGGGGATACGTTAACTGTACCTAGTGCATTCGGTAGTTTTCATGTTATATATTTTTGTGTTTTTTCTGCCATGTATAAAATGGAGTTTTGCCTCTATCCTCGGAGATAATTGAATTACTTCCCAATTATCTCCAGGATAGAGAGGAGGGTCCCTTACAACTAGAGGGGAGTGTTTATGTCTGCAACCTTGTGATTGGCTACTGTATTACTATTGTCACAGTTTTCCACCAGGTCCCCTAGGGGAGTGTCCACCTGGTGGAAGACCTGCATAAATACCGGGCAGGTAGCCCACATTAAACCAGATTCCTGCTGACCCTCAATACAGAGCCTTGTCTCGTAGTGGGGGGGATTTATTCGTATGTTTTTTCCTGTTCAGCTTTTTGGAGTATTCATATGGTGTGGAGTATTCGTATGATTCCTGTTCGGCTGATTGGAGTGTTCGTTAGCTGCCTTGGCATTCGGAAAGGGAACATCCTAAACAGCTTTAACCCTTCGTATACCTGGGGGTGCCGTTACAAAAACAATAGTGTGATTGCCAACACTAGCCCCCTCCACTTGGAAGAAGCTCCTTAAAGGAACACCATGACAACTTCACCGGAATTAAGTTGCTATGGTGGAAGGAGGTTAACAGTTAACCCCAAAGTGTTGAATCCTGCGCTCTATTACTCTGCCCACAAACACATGCCTCAGTCTGAGTCTTGAATCAAGAAGCCATGGACAGGAGCGCTGCTGATAGGCTGAGAGATATTTTGTGTATGGTTTGATACTGATAGGTTGGGAGCATCAATTGAGCATCAAATCAGTGGCACCTCTATCCAAGTCTTCCTGATTTAAGCCTGGGACTGCGGCGGGTGCTAGTTGCAAGAGCGATCTAGCGCAGGATTCAATACTTTGAGGTAAAACCGTTTATTAAGGTGTCCAGGGACCTCCTTGCACAATAACAACTTCATCCCGATGAAGAGCCTAGGGCAGTGATGGCGAACCTATGGCACGCGTGCCACAGGTGGCACGCCGGGCCCTTTCTGTGGGCACGCGGCCACAGGTTCGCCATCAATGCAGAGAAGGCACCTGCCCGACCGAAACGGCAGGCGCCTACTCTGCTTCCGGGTCGGGAGGCAGGGGGAGTGCTCTGTGATGCAGCTCCCCTGTCCTCCCGCGCGATGCTGTGTGGAGCGTTGCCGCGTGTTACCATGGCAACGCTCCACACAGCATGGGAGGACAGGGGAGCTGCTTCCTGGAGCCCTCCCCCTGCAGTGCTTACCACCACCGGACCACCAGGGATCGCTGTGTCCCCCCTCCCCCCACTTCATTAAAGGTAAGAAGGAGGGAGGGGGGTATACTGACACAGCACCCTTACCCCCCCCCAGCAGTAATCCCTACCCTCCCCAGCAGTAACCCCTACCCTCCCCAGCAGTACCCCTAACCTCCCAACAGTACCCCTAACCCCCCCAGCAGTAACCCCTAACCCCCCCAGCAGTACCCCCTACCCTCCCCAGCAGTAACCCCTACCCCCCACACACAGTACCCCTACCTCCCCGCAGCACCCTTACACATATAGCACACACACAGCACCCCCCCACACACACAGCACCCCCACACACACACACACACAGCACCCCCCCACACACACACACAGCACCACCCCACACACACACAGCACCCCTCACATACAACACTCACACACACACGCACCCCCCACCTCAATGCAGTATGTGTGTATTCAGCAGTCTGTGTGTGTGTGCGTGTATTCAGCAGTCTGTGTGTGTGTGCGTGTATTCAGCGGACTGTGTGTGTGTACTCAGCAGTCTGTGTGTGTACTCAGTAGTCTGTGTGTGTGTGTACCTGGCAGTCTGTGTGTGTGTGTATTCAGTACTGTGTGTGTGTGTGTATTCAGCAGTTCGTGTGTGTGTGTGTATTCGCAGTTCGTGTGTGTGTGTGTGTGTGTATTCAGCAGTCTGTGTGTGTGTGTGTGTACTCAGTAGTCTGTGTGTACTCAGCAGTTCGTGTGTGTACTCAGCAGTCTGTGTGTGTGTACTCAGCAGTCTGTGTGTGTGTATTCAGCAGTCTGTGTGTGTACTCAGCAGTCTGTTTGTGTACTCAGCAGTCTGTGTGTGTGTGTGTGTGTGTGTGTGTACTCAGCAGTGTGTGTGTGTGTACTCAGCAGTCTGTGTGTGTGTGTACTCAGCAGTCTGTGTGTGTGTGTATTCAGCAGTCTGTCTGTATGTGTATTCATCAGTCTCTGTATTCAGCAGTCTTGTGTGTGTATTCAGCAGACTGTGTGTATGTATTGCATTTGTTGGAGATACTAATAAATATAAGCTTAATTTTATCTATTTATATCATTATTTAAAATTTGTATCATTGAACTCTCTGTGTTCTTTTAAAACAAAAGTTATTAGTTCGGACAACAGTACGAGTTGTTTTTTTCTAAACTTAAACCTCAGTATTTGGGTTTAATTGCCGTGTTGGCACTTTAAGGAGAAAAATGTTGGCATGTATTGCGGTTTGGGCACTCGGGCTCAAAAAGGTTCGCCATCACTGGCCTAGGGTGTCCCGCTTTCCAGCCAATTTGCGCTCTGGCTGTTTAATTCGCATTTATCCCTTAATAAGTTATAAAAGCTGTATGTGTGGCTTTTATTTTTGGAGAAATGTGTGCATCAAACAAGCCAACATCCTAAACCAGCCATGAGTAATATGTTAAATAATCACTACATTCTCTTTGATGCACAGTCAGGCATTTGACTGACTTTGCAACATAGGGGACACAGTCCGCAGAAGCTGAATGTTAGTTATCTCTATTGGAAGTTATGTCACTGGCGGAAAGGTAACCATCTTGTTCTTCCTTTATTAGGGACAGATTCCGGACTATGATTAATGTACTTGGAGATGCTCTGGCTGCAGGTATCATGGCCCATGTTTGCCGAAAAGACTTCGCCAAGCAGAGTGATGAGGTAAAAATGAGCCTTAAGGCTATGAACACCCCCAATCACCCCCTACACTGTAACCATGAGCGGAGATCACTGTTTTACTGAGTACCTTCACTGCATAGCAACATCCTTTCTACTAAGCCCGGTGGGGAATATGGACCCATATGTGGATCTTTTAGACTACATCCCCTGACCCAAAGAGACATCACATCTGTCCTGCCAGTTAGGGATGGACCTTAATAACAGCGACACACTGAGCCATGTAAATATACATGACACATAACTTTTTTAACTGCACCAAATTTTGCATAATGTCACACTGGTACTAGAAAAATGAACAAGAAACATTGCAGAAACCTTTTGCATGTGTTGGCTGCATACTGAACTTTCCCAAAAGGGTCTATCCACTGGTATCCAAAAGGTGTCAAAGGAAATACCTCAGAACAATATTCTATTTAGCAGTAACCTCTTTGGGGTCTTTATTTCTGTGATAGCTTGATCAAGAATGTAGTCCTGCAAAAGAAAAAAGAAAAAAGGAGAAAGATAGGACAGACTAGTACCAATAGTCCTAGTAGAGTGGGTTTCCCTTAGAGAAAAGGGAAATAGTGGCGGGAACCGTTAGTGTCTAATAGCACAATCCCAAATATAAAATGTAGCTTTTAATAATAACTAACTAAAAAAACACAAATAATGGTGGATTCAATTGCCCTCCAAAACAGCTATGTCTGTATATAGCCGAACAACGGCACCTCCAGGAGCGGTCAGAAAAAGAGTCCCTCTTGGGGACTGGCAGCTATTAATAGCAGAGTGTAAAAAAGAGGTAGAACAATGTTACAAAATAAGTAACCACACGCTACTTGATACTGAGTAGTGTAATAAGTAACCACACACTGCTTGATACTACGTTGTGTGGATATATTGGCAAGACAGTATCCACTGTGAGTCTATATTACCCTCACAGGATACGATAACGTATCAAGGTGGAATACTGTCAGGATAAATAGTAAATTATATGGTGTGATTACCAATACACCTTACAGGATCATGTTTGATGCTGCAAGTGAGAACCTGTCCAATTATAAAGCTAAATAGCTGACACAAATTAGGGAGAGAGGAAGCTAATGATAGGTGTGGCAAAAAAAAACAAAAAAAAAACTACTAAGCACTCAGTAGATATGTTAGATATATAAGAGCCCTAGCCGCTTGTGCCTTCGAGGGCACCCCTTAACCCAAAAAGCCTAATAGCTCCTAATACTTATCAGTAGTATGCCCACCCCCAAATTTTAAAATGCGCTCAAAAGATATATATCGATGCCGTAAATGCTCCTAAACGGAACCCCCCAGGTTCGGAGTTGCCGATAGGTATAGATTATCCTGTCTAAGTAGCAGGGTAGCAAAGTATTAGGACACTGATGGTGCAGTAAAAAGGAGAGGATAACGCCGGGTACAAGCTTGCCAGTCCCCAAGAGGGACTCTTTTTCTGACCGCTCCTGGAGGTGCCGTTGTTCGGCTATATACAGATATAGCTGTTTTGGAGGGCAATTGAATCCACCATTATTTGTGTTTTTTTAGTTAGTTATTATTAAAAGCTACGTTTTATATTTGGGATTGTGCTATTAGACACTAACGGTTCCCGCCACTATTTCCCTTTTCTCTAAGGGAAACCCACTCTACTAGGACTATTGGTACTAGTCTGTCCTATCTTTCTCCTTTTTTCTTTTTTCTTTTGCATTTTTGGTGAAGCTATTCACTAGGGGTTATTCCCCACATAGGAGATGTTTATTTAAATCACCCCTCCCCCTTTTCTTTCTTGTTTTTTAAGAATGTAGTCCTTTTTTATCAGAAGAGCTGCTAGGTTCCTATTTCCTTATACTCTCCTTGGGCTAATATGGGATGTATTTTTCCCCTTCAGTGTATCCTAAAATAAGGTTCATCACTGCATTAGAATGACATTGTAGTAGTCAGTAGCAATACAATAGCTATTTGTAATTACATCAAAGAGACTGAGGTTTAAGATTATTAAGCAAGTTGTTCTTATGTTGGGATGTTGCAGGTAGCATAACATGCACCAACAATCTATAATTCAGCTTTAGTGGAGGGATTAGTGTGAGCCTGGTTTAGCAGAGGTTTTTCCTTTTTCTTTGCAAATCTCTTTGGATTAAACACGAGGATGATACAAGTGTAGGAATTTAGATACGTTGTATCCTCTCTACAAAACATTGGACTCTAAAAGGTGGAACTAGACTTGGACATGGCAGAGAATGTCAGTTCTTGCAAATAGATTCAGACGAAAATGAATTTTGTTTCGGCGAGCCGAATTTCGGTCTCTATTTCATTCCTTCTATCGAAATTTGGTCCATAATGCATTTCATAGGTTTTGGCCTCATTAATATGGTGTATTTTTTTTAATGCTCAAAACTTTATAGTTTTTGCATAAAATAAATGTTTTGCAGAAAGCCGAACCATATGCCTGCCTCTTTAGCCACTCCAGAAAAAGACTTCCTTTTCAAAAAGGTATGTACACAGTCACTAGCATTACTGAATGTTCTGAACTACAACACAACCTGCATTAGAAGGATAGAACACCCAAGAAGGGATATAGTAAGGATATCACTACCTGTTTGCGGTTTCTCTGACTGTCTGCACCCAGGTTGTGAATTAAAATCCGCTCACTCAGTGCTGTTGGAGCTGAGACTGTGTACACAAATTTGATAAGGAAGTCTTTCTGACATGAAGGGCATAGCTACAAAGGCAGGCCTGTATTGCAGCATTCTGGAAAACATTTATTTATTTTTTTGTGCAAAAGTTAAAAATAAATTGACTATGCAAAGAAATAATAATAAACATAACAATAAGGCCAAAATCTATCAACGGCATTAAAGTTGTATTGGTGCCAAGAGTGTCCCTTTAAGTACACAAGTCCCTAATTTGGTACCCTTATGTGGGATGGCTATATTTAAGGGTTCCAAATTATGGAGTGAGTTGTAATAATAGATTGCTCCACATTTTGGTATCCTTAAATAAGGCAATGCCACACAAGAATACCAAATTATCTAGTAAGCAGCTAAAAGATCAAAATTAAGAAAAAACATTTTCTTAATTTTGCTCTTGTCGATGTTTAGTAGATAACTACCTAAATAAAAATTGATACTCTATTTAAGGGTACCACACTAGGGAGCTGTTAGTAGATAGCCCCTTATGTTGGATTGACATATTTAAGGATATCAAATAAAGGAGCTATCTACTAAACACAATAGGTCCTATTTTGGTACCCTTAAATATGGTAATCCTACATATGGATACAAATTAACTAATAAACAAATTGTATATTGAAGATTGTAGTTTATTGCACAATTAATCCATTCTTCCATAGTTAATTCTTCCATAAATCGATTTTTGTCTGATTTTTTATTCTTCCAAAAACAAATGCCCGTGTCTTGTTGGAACACTGTTGTATAAGGCAAGTGCTAGTTACAGTAAGAAACATTTGATTTAGCAGCAGAACCTGATTATGTTTTTTTCCAGGGAACTGGGCAGGGTGCCATATTGGGGCCCCTCCTAGAACCCTGTGCTCTGTTTCTGTGGTGTGTGTGTTGACGGAGTGATGTGCGTGAGAGTGTTGTGTGAATGGAGGAGGATGAGAACTGTATGATTGAAGGCTAAGTATGTCTGTAAGTGTTGTTTGTGTGGTGGCTGAACTGAATGTGTCTCTGTAGAGGAGTTTGACTGTTGTGTGCGTATGTTGATATACCCTCCTGGGAACAGAGGAAAAAATGGTCTTCCAATATGCCATCCATTTTTGGTGAAAAGGAAGAGTAAGTTCCCAGGATGTCCTCTTTACAATACAGCAGGGATCGAGAGAGTATTTTAAAAGAATAAAAGGAGATGCATGTGACCAAAATGTCCAGTACAGAGGGCACAAGTTAATGGACTAGGTCTCAGGAGGGTACGATAGATTCCTTGTGGTCTTGTGGAGGGTGAGCTGGATCCCTGGTGACCTTGGGAGGGAGCTCAATCCAAAAATACAGAAAAAATATCAAGTGAAAACCGGTGCCCTGTTTGAGGCCGTAGCCTAAGCGACCTGACTTGGTCCCTAAGCGACCCGACTTGGTCACCTAATGGGTAAACTGGTTCTGTTTGGCTGCTGTTTCTCTATTAATTACATTTCTCTTGGGGGGTGGACGGGGGACATTTAGCTGCTCTGCAGGGTTTCAGTTTTTGCACTGTTATGTCACAATATCAGACATATTTATTTTCTGGGGTTGGCTGTTTCCCTTATTTCATATATGTATTTAATATAGATATTTAATTTTCTTTCTTTTAATAAATTGAATGTCCCCAACAGCACCCTTTTACATGGATTTTTTGTTTTGTTTTGTACTTATACCAAAAAGAAAACTAATTAGAAATTAACATCAGTGTTAAATACATAAATATAGCAACTACTGATATAGATCCAAATATTGATATTTGTTATATTCAGAGGAAGCCCAAATTATTATTTAAGTGCACTTGGAGAAGCGTGAATTAGACACCAGACGCGTGTTGGTTATCAAAATAAGCCTCTGTCGTTTATTTTTCAGTTGGGTTTTTATACATTAAAAAGTAAGTGCTTACGTGCAAATACTCATAGGACAGTAGTAGGAAGGGAGTAAAAGGGTTAAAGGAGTACAGATAAGACCTAGTAATGAACGTCATGTACACACAACAAATAAGTTCAGAGAAAGAGAAAGAACAGACTGATTGAGAAGACACAGCTCAGGTGGGGGCTATCTGCTCCCTGAACTAGATATATATGGTCTTAAGTGTCGTTTTAAGCATCAAGCATTTCCTGAGTCCAAGTTAGTCAATTTTAATATAGGATATCTAATATGACACCTATAAGCTTGAACCTTGGAATCAAAGTAAATTCTATCACACTGCTTGTTAATATCTATATTTTCTTCTCCCTACATGTGATCAACTCTGTTTGCTGTTATTAAATCGTTTTTTGTTTTGCTTGTTCTTTTCCAACATATATCATAGAATATCTGTTCATAGATTACACTACCCCTGTCCCCCTCCTTGTTTATCCATTTTCCATAACTGTACTCTCGTTTTTTTTTTTTCATGTTTTTTTTTTTTTTACTGAGCTTTCAACCTGTTAACGGAAATCTGGAAATTCTTTGACTCTGGGCGTTTCTGACAGGAAATCAAGATATATTTTTATTAACCTTTTAACTCCAATGAAAGCTCTTTAGTGCATGGAAGCTAAGAACCAGTCCTCAATGTCAGGATGTGTGCTGCTGTACACACTTTGGCATGTTGCACGATTTGTGTTATCCCACAAGTTGGGCACTGTATTTGTCATTTCCCTTCATTCCCAATCAGCCTTCAGTAATGTAGACTTACCGAGCATCATGGGAAATAAAGTCCAGAAATATCTAAAGTGTCTATATATCCATCAATGTATCAGCTCTACCCTGTTACAGGGTATTGAATTTGTATAATTATTCCTTAAGGACAAATCCTGGCAATGAACAGGTTAATCCAGTCTTCGAGGGGTAGGAAGGAAATGGAAAGGGCTGTGCACTAATGAGCTGCGTAATCAACCATACATGTTTGGCCGGGGCACATTTTCCAGATTAGGGAAAATGTTTCCTAATTCTCCCATTTTTTTACAGTAATTTTTTGTTTTGTTTAAGAGCTGAATTTAAATGTTTATAAACGTCAGAGCAAGTAGATATCCCACCTACAAAACAATACTTCTCTTGATTAATTAGAATACTCTGAGCCCTCTCTCGCTTAATTAGAATTAATTAGCTTTTTTCATAAACAATATTAACTGTAAACTGTAAACCTGTATAGGTCACCTATCAACCAATGTTCATCTAGGTACACTTTATCAATAAATCCAAAGGTATATGCAAATATGAATAATCCCATGTAATTAAATAATTTGCAAGATAGGCAGAACAGCATGTGATTACTTAACAAGTATATATGTATACAGTATGTTCTATCTATCGTTTACTGATACCGATAGAGCTGTCCATTAATTATACCGCCCAGCTCAAAGAAGCAAAGTGTGATCAGGAAGCAGGTAAATTATTTGTGACATCTGGAGCCTCTAGTTCAAACGTCCTTATGTCAGATGTCCTGTTATGTAAAGGCTGGTGTTGTAGGTGGGGAGATTTGATTGACACCTGAATCACTAATAAAGTATATATTTTAATTCCAATTAAAGTTGAATTATTGGAAGGGTTGGATATCAGGGGAGGAGATAGTTGCTCCTTCACTAAGTACCAGCTGCAACACTTCATACAATGACAGGCATAGATAGAATAAAGCCATGAACTGTATTCGCTTGAATAATTATTCTGTCTATATCAAGCAGGTCCCTCTGATATGTGAAACAAAGCCAATCAGTATCCATCAAATCATGGCGTACCAGCGGAATGGCTGTGTGAAAAGTCGGAGCGCACCTCACCTCTCCACGTCCCCACAGGAGTTTCACCAGGTACAAGTAGATCCCGAGACAGAGAGCCCTGAACCCTCGGGAAAATGCTCAGACAAAGACCATTGCACAATAGAGATCAGCGAGCTGGAGACGAACGTCTAACAAAAAACGATGTAGGACATTCACCAGCAAATATTCATTAACTGCCCTGCAGCTAGTGGAGAAATACGGCCTTTTCTTTTCATTATCCGTCAGGAAGAAGGTACACAATACATTATAATCATGAACCAGCATCAAGAGAAAGAAACTATTTGTAAAAACTTTTATTTGTCTTTGGAATGATCCAGGGGCTGGCAACCATACCCACAAGGCTGGTGACTTATACCACGTGCCACAACTCGTAGTTATCAACAATCCACAAAGCTAACCACGGACGTTAAAAGTTTCATTTCATTCACCACCACATCTTGTTTTTCCTTAGTCATCTATCCTGTCATTTCCATTAGTAGTTGAATTTTGATAAAGATCAGCTGATGTATACTTTACGAAGGGTGGAAGAAAAGAGCAATACAATTATTGTTGGTTGGCATGCTTAATGGAACAGAACAGGGAAATGGAAAATAATTAGGATGCAAAGCATTGCTGTGGAAAGAACAATGGGAAACGATTGAGAAAGTTGTTATTGTTCCCCCACGTGTGCGTCTGATCTTCTGATGTTATGGCGTACGTTACATAACAGTTTGCACAATGCTGAATAAGAATTGGCACAAACTGCCAAGTGATTTTCCAGAAGTACAGAAAATAGAAGTGACAAAGAAATCACCAAAATATGGTGCCAGGACTATTTGGCAATTGGTCAAATCAAAACACAGGCTTCACTACAAAGTAAAAAAGAAATGGAGACAGTTTATAATGGAAAATGCTTCCAAAATAACATTTTAGTGCAATTGAGTAGCATATAGATACAGGGATTTATTCACTAAGCTGGAATCTTGGAGAAATAAGGGATTTGCAATTTTTTTAGGCTGGACAAATTCTTTACTTCAGTGAATTGGCTATTTTCATCTAAGATTTGCAAGTCTCGATGTCACTTGTCAGCAAAACACATATTATCTGTCAAAGCAGAAATGTTTTAAAATCTGAGGTTTCACCACATTTCCAGTTGATTAATAGATTTTACTAGGACAGTGTGCCATGTGAGTTTACTGAATCCAGTTGAATATGACCTCCCAAATTCGCCAGTTTTGGCAGGGCCACCCTGAATTTAAGATCCTGCCATCCCAGTATAGTATACCCCCAACATCAACTTCCTGAGAAGCGAACGCTGGTGGGCAGAATAAAAGGGGGATCGTCAGTGATGCAAATATCTTCACTTCTGCTATCCAAATAGGACAGATCCTCACTTTCTTGGGAAAATACCTGGTGTCTCCAAAAATGGGACACCAGAAACAAAGTCTAGATGGAGGGACAGGACCCTGAAATAGGGACTGTTCTGTTGACATCAAGACTGTTGGAGGCCTAGGTTAGCTCCCTGGAGTGGAGTCCTGCACTCTTTTGAGTATCACTAGTGAGGCAATGGATGTTACTTGCATGCCCCCAAAGGCCTGCCCACTATGTCCCAATGTCATACCTGTCAATGTTGAGAGGTTTGCATCCCTGTATCTTATAGCTGCTTATCGTGTGCTTCCAGTGCTCTCTTACCATATTGCTGACTGGCACAGCACCCATGGCATGAGTATGGACCAGGAAGTAAATTATCTAACAGTATTAATTGTAGGAGTATAAATATATACCAAAGACTCCAGTGACTCCATAATTTATTGGGTCAACATTTTAATTTAGTGCATACACATTCATCAGCACATATATCAATGGGTATGTATACAAAAAGAAAAAAAAATCACATTTTGCCCCTTTAACAAATTTCTTGTTCAATTTTTATTTATTAGATGCTAACAATAGCTGAAAATAACAAAGATGTGACCTAATAATATCCTGTTTTTGTATTGTGTAATATATATATATGCTTACACTTATGTGATATATATGTACAATAATAACCTCAGAAAATTATTTCTATAATAATTTTTTGCTAAACATCTCGGTGATAACGTTTCTTAAAAGGGTGGTTAAAGCAGAGAATTCATGGGAATTTGCTTGGTACTGTCATATAATAAATTAAAAACAACATATACCTCATGATCATTATTTTTTTTAAATGGAATGGTCACTCCCATGATATTTAATATTATATTTACTCATCCCAATATATAATACATTTGTATTTGTAAAGGTATTAAAAATTAAAATGAATGAAATCCACACATCCTTTTCCTGCATCCTTGCACCTCCATCTTAGCCCCCATAAATCTGTTCAGCAATAATTATTATTTTTTTAAACTGAACAAAATAATTCTAGCTTTCCATGATTTCAGCTGAGTATTGAAGGCTTTCAGTATCAACAGTCATGTCAACAAACAGTTTAATATTCTCTGTGAAGTTGATGGACAGGAACTACTAATCTGTTCAACGATGGTAACGTAAGATTCTGATTGGCTGTTGACACCATACAAAAATAATGATGTAATGCCACGATGGCCATCCCTATTTTGAAATAACGGCCTACACTAACTAGATGAAAATAACATTTATCTAAAGGAGATATTCTTTTAAACTGATTTAATTAAAGTTTTATTTCACAGAGGAGCAGATACACTGTGTATTCTAATTTATCTTGTACACTTTAGGACAGGTGCAGGGGAAACAGGGAAATTGTGCTAGAGACTTGCTGATTGTTTGGCAGGGCCTAGTTGGACAGCTTGGTCTCTTAAAGGGAAGCTCTGGTCACCATAACAACTTAATCAGAATGAAGTTGTAATGGTGTGAGAAATTGTCTCAAAAAATGTACATTTTTAACTCATTTTTCTCAATGCGATCCTACTGATAGGCTTAGAGCGTCAGCAGACATTTTCAGCCTATCAGTGGCTTCCTTGATCCTTGCGGTAAACCGAGCCTGGGGACCTTCTCGCACCATAGCATCTTTATTAAGCAGCAGGCAGGGTGATACTTCAGTACCAGGTGTCCAAGGTGTAAAATAAACGGAATGGAGAGAAAAAAAGGATTCTGTAATGATTTAGTGGGAACCAATTAGATTATTGGGTATGTTCTCACAACTGGTGCCATGCTGTTTGAGTCACACTGAGTAAAGGACTGGGGATAATAGGAGCCATCTTCTGCTTATATATAGGGTGGTTACCTGAGAAAAGAGAGTTCTTCATAATGGAGGGGAGTTCCCCCAACTTGAAGATACTATTGAGCAGCTTTTCCCCTAAGCTACCCTGTAAACAATTCCAGTTTACCACATGCACTGGGAATCAGCGGGCATTTATAATGTTGCTGCCTCTCCCCTGTCCTTGGTGGCTGAATAATGTTATTTGCAGCTCCCGAGGAGAGCTCTGGGATAGATACTGCTATGCCAACAGACGTTAAAAGAGAGCCTGCAAGGGGAAGCCAGTTCTCCCCTCCCTGTGGGTGCTCCTTACCACCTCCCTTCTTTGCAGGCAGCTTTTATTTAAAAAAAAAAAAACCTCCCTGCCTCCGCCTCTCTTACTTCCCCTTGCTGCCCCGGTGTGTGCGCATGCCCTCCGAGCTAAAAACTGGTCCAATCACAGTCTTCTCTATAAGAAGCCTGTGATTGGGCCGTGACCCAGTAAAGTAATAATTGGGCGTGGAAGTCAGAACTTCGTCTAATGCTTGGTTCAAGGTTTTACTGCAATCGGAGCCGGGGGACCTTATACATAGTACCCAGTAGTGCATTTTACACAGACGAGGTCCTCCCCCACCCCCCGCTCCAATGGGTTAAAATAATCATTTAACATAATACAAATGCCCTAGTCCAAACCTGGGAAATTTTCAATATGTCAATCAGTATCTTTACAGTTTTGCTGCTTTGGGACAAAAATTGAATTCACCTCGAGTGTAACGCATTCCTCACTTTACTGAATAACGCTGTGTGTGGGGAGATTCAGACACAGTGAGAGAAATCATAGTGGATGTGTTAGTAAATATTATAGCAAATTATATCCAAATTGCAATCTCTAGGCTAAACCAGCCAACCGGTAAGACTCAAGCCAAGTAAGAGAATTTTTCCAAACCTGATTTTTGCAATTTGGGTTGAATTCATAAAAATTCACAGTTTAGTAAATAACTCTGTATGGGATTGATTACAGTGTGAGGTTCATATGGGAGCAGGACATCCAAAGGAACATTTTATTATTCTGTGACCTGGCATGGCAATGCAGGATAAATTAACCTTAATTTATTACAGAACAAATGAGTAGGATGTGTGCTCCTGTCTAAAATTACAACATAATACTTTCCACTTATGAAAAGCCAACTGTTAAGGATTGAAAATAAAAATATTCCGCTTGTTTAATATTCATTTGCCGCTAATGGAATTTTTTTTAAAAATGGAACTCTAAGATGGGTGGAAGCAATGTGTAAAAAGGGACAGTTGAAGGCTGTTATGGTGGAGGCTAGCAATATCTCTTTTTGTTTCATTTTAGAGAATAAACTATTTGGAAAGATTTTGTCTCTGTTTCTTGAAAAATAAATAAATGTAAAAACTTAAAAAAACCTATTGACTGTGTGGTCTTTTATATATGTCAATCAATAAAGCCTTAAAGGGTTACTTTAATTAAAAAAACAAAAAAAAAACCCACAGCTTTGATTTGCCTCCCCCAAGTACCAATTTTGAAAAAATAAACATTTAAAAGGCTTAAACTTACATTTTATTCCTCTCTCAGAGAACAAGTTCTCCCTCAGTCTGATCCTCTATAGCTGACATCACTCCCGGTCCCAGGTTTGGGCGGAAGGGGTTTAGCGTACTGGCGTCAGATGCCAATTTTGCACAGAATTGACAGTAGCCAGCCTTTTTGTCTGGGCTTGCTAATGACGCTGTCGAAGGTGGCATTATACCTCCAGCAGTTAAAGGTTTAACTTCTGTATGTGAAACAATTGAAGTGCTGCTTTCCCAAAGAAAATGTCATAGATAAAAGGTACATAAAGGGTTACAGCTTTTGCCTTAGTTAAGTTCTTCCACGTCTGCAGGGGTTAAAAGCGAAATAGTTTTGTCTACAGTTTCTGCAGATGGTTTTTCTGTTTCTCGTGAATGTTACAGTTTGCTTTAACCTTGCATAGTTTAGATAACACTTTCAAGTAAGTCATTGTTGCTTTGACACATGCGTAGTAGACTAATGCCAATTTATATATACAATACTCTCGCAATTAAATGATGAGATGGTTTGGAACCACAAACAGAGTCTGTGGTTTTATTATCGGTTCTCCCGAGAGCTCGTATATCTAATTAGGAACCTCTGGTTATCTTTTGGATGATTTATCCATCATAAATTTCTATATCAAGAGATAAACATTTAAGGAGAGAACATAAATGGAAATTAACAAAATACTCTCTATTCACTGACTTATTTATACTGATGCTGCTGTGCTGGTAAACATCATTCCGAAGTCAGTTCAAATAAATAAAAAAGTATTTTACTGCACTCAATGACACGTCCAAGGAAATCAGCAGAAAATTATCTTGCAATAGTAAGTGTAGAAAAAATAATTCACAAAGCAGAAACAACCAACAACAAATATATGTGGGCAAACAATACGTCCAAACACAAGCAGGGACGAAAAAAGAAGGGATGGTGGACATCACAAAACAAGAAAGTAGTGAATAGGATATAGAATAGAACATGGAGTTGTTGGAGCTCAGAGGGGCAGTTACTGACAGATGTACCCGGCGTGCTGTGGTCCATATGGTCAAGGAGAGTCGGACACAACCGAACGACTAAACAACAACAACAAGAAGAGACGCTTCCTCAGCAATTGTTGGACGCGAAACGCGCTCTGTTCACTATTTTCTTGAACAGTACAGATGAGTAGTAATGAAAGACCTGGTTAAAGGAAAAGTGTTCTAAAAATGTAAGGTTTACTGAAGGTATTATCATGTTTGTCATTCAACCTTTCTTTATCTAAAAATTTTATTCTTATCAATAAACCACACAGACCCTCGATTTAATTTGTTTGGATCAGAATCAGAAATCATTCAATTCTGTTACACAAAAAAAAAAAATGAAAATTTTTTTTTTTCCTAATTTCCAAATTAAATTAACGCCATAGAGAGATACATTTTTTTTATTAAAACTTATCATTTTATAAATAGAAAAAATAAAAAAAGTAATCAGTCTTGTCTGGTGTTTACTTAAATGGCACGTCAAGCACCATAACCACTACAGCTCTTTATAATAGTCATGCCGAGGATAGCCTTTTAATTTAGTCAAACATTTTTGAGCTGTTTGACAATAATACAAAGCTATCACAGCACCTAAAACCCAGTTCTTACTGTCTCTCAAGTGATGTAGACAGCTGTATATACGATTTTTCTAAACTTTTGCATAGTTTAGTTTTATGATATAAAAATCTTTTTAAGCTATCATCCTAATTGTATGTAATTGTGCAGGCACGTGGATGGAACAAAACAAGAGTCATTTTATTGAATTTGATGATTCATTTAAAGAAATCCGAGTTTTACAAACATTTTCCACAATAAAATCTCCCCGGGGTAAGGTTGGTTTTCTTCACGGCAGAACGCATTTGTTCTTCCACTAAACCTTCATCATGTTAATGCTGCTATTGGCTGTACAACCAGGTCATTCGGGGACAGCGACAGAAATGACCATCATGCAATGACAGTGAGGATTCCCCATCAATCCAGCCTTGTCCAGGAAATATCACACAATAAAACGGAATTAAATATGTATTAATACAGGAAAATAGATATATCAGGGCTCATGGAGGTATTAAATGCTTTTAGTTGTAATTTCTTCAGAAGATTTTTTTTTTCTATTCTTTATTTTTCGTGTGGAAAGATAAGTACAGGTGTAGGGCCACAAGAGCCACTACACGACATTCAAAATCAGTGCACATTAAGTATAAGGCATGTTAAGGTTCTATTCACACACTTTTTATCGTTATAATAGGTTGTAATGTTATAATGAGGTAATTAACAGGTAAAACCTTGGGGGTGAAAGACACCCGTCCGATGAGGTCACCATGAGCGTTGTGAGGTCATGAGTGGAGAGGAGAGGGCGGCTTTAGCTAAGTCTGTTAAATATATCTGTTCCCCGTCATGTCTCTCAAGGTTAGGGCAGTATGGTGTGCCCCATGGCCCCTTTGTGTATGGACGGGGAATGGGTTCGGGTGGTTGCGGTATTTCACCGTGAATTCCCCTTCTGGAACTGGGCCCGCTCCCTTGTTGGCTCCTGACTGTGGCCACCGACTTTCACCAATGTGTGTGGTGCTCTGTGAGTCATGAGTTGTCATGCAGTCATAGAAACGGCTATGTGTGGACATATCTAGCCCTCCCACCCCCGACACCTCTAAATGTAGTAAAACTCATACCTTTACTTAAGTCTGTTGGTGCTGGCTCTGCCACTGATCTACCTCCTTCCTATAGGAAAGCATTAGATTGGCTGAGATAGTCAATTCTGATGAGCACACTGTCACACTGTGCAGCACTGGCCAAGGAAGCACCTCTAGCAGCCATCTGAGGAGTGGCCAGTGGAGTTATCACTAGGCTGTAATGTAAACCCTGCATTTTGTCTGAAAAGACAGTATTTACTGCAAAAAGCAAAAAGAATAAAAGAATGATTATACTCATCAGAACAAATAAAATAAGCTGTAATTGTTCTGGTGACTATAGTGTCCCTTTAAATGTATTATGTCTTGTTTGCAGGAATATGTTGATTTCCAATTTTTTTTGGACAAATCTTTAACAAAACAGCTACAGTGTAAAATCTCTAGTGGTTTTTATTTTGGTGGGGGATGGGGGAGGGGGGAGAGATGAGCTGCTTTTTTGTGCATAGTGAAAAATGGCAGAAATTGCTTGGAGTGGGTTGGGATAAGAGGCCTCAAGATGGGATAGCATGAGGATAAAACATTTAGGTGGAGGTATGCACTGCTTGGGAAAACGAGGTGTGGCAAGATCAAAGGAAGGGAGAGGAAGAAATAAACGTGTTATTTTAAAATTGAAACGTATGCCGTATAGATTCCATGCATACTCTCTTGCAGTTTGTGTCTCAGTATGCGTAGCAAGGTGTTAATTCCATAACAAATAACACCGTTATCAATAATAATCTCAAAGAGGTCACTTTAATTTTTAGTTTAATTTTTTAAAATTTATAATCAGGAACAATGTATCTTACTTACACAGACTGATTTCTAAACACATTTATTGTAGTTTAAAGACACATTACTGGGAGTATTATTGCTGTGGAGCTCTGTAGAGTTATACACCGAGACACATTACTGGGAGTATTATTGCTGTGGAGCTCTGTTATACACTCAGACACATTACTGGTAATATTATTGCTGTGGAGCTCTGTAATACACTCAGACACATTACTGGGAGTATTATTGCTGTGGAACTCTGTTATACACTCAGACACATTACTGGGAGTATTATTGATGTGGAGCTCTGTTATACACTCAGACACATTACTGGGAGTATTATTGCTGTGGAGCTCTGTTATACACTCAGACACATTACTGGTAATATTATTGCTGTGGAGCTCTGCTATACACTCAGACACATTACTGGGAGTATTATTGCTGTGGAGCTCTGCTATACACTCAGACACATTACTGGGAGTATTATTGCTGTGGAGCTCTGTTATACATTCAGACACATTACTGTTAGTATTATTGCTGTGGAGCTCTGTTATACACTCAGGCACACCAACAATACAGAGCTCCTAGAAAAGAGGGACATCAGGATAGAGAAGAGAGACAGAGGGATTTGGGCCTAAAATAGGGACTGTCCTTTCTAAATAGGGACACCTGGGAGTTATACGTGTGATGTGATTTTATTCATTATATCATAATGGGGACATTTGGAAGGTAGGGATTTAGAGTAGGATGTACTGGGGTGCTTTATTCTAAAAGAAGGTTAAGCTTGATAAAGGCACATGCATAATGATTCATGCCATCTATTTATTTATGACTATTTATCAATCTATTTTAATAACAACATAAAAATAAATTGATCTGTGGTTAGGAAGATTGTCAGTAGAACCCCATAGCTAATGATTGTCTATACTCACATGTGACAGGTGCAATTGCAGCGTAGAAGACCAAAGTACAGCAGGCCATCACTTGTCCCTACATGATAAATATGCAGATTAACAGTGTAAACCTCATGGGCGCTACCTATGTTATACGAGTTGCTTTCGTTAAATTATATCTATTCATCCAAAAATGAGTGCTTTCTTATATTGAACACAGAACGGGAAAACAACCCAAAAAATAAAATGATGCAATATAATGCATGAAATCTGGCTTCAATTATATAAAAAAATTCCAGTTTGTACTTTCACTAGGGGAGAATAAAGGTGTAGATGTCCCTCATTAATTCTCAAAAACCTGAAGGTGATACAATGATGGTTAATACACACAGTCAGGAGAATTATCATGTAGAATATCTTATTCCATAATTAACCTTGTGTAACTCATCCACGCTATTGGCAGCATCCCACAAATTGAAAGAAACCAACAGGTGAGCATCTTCTCATTTATTCTTAAATCTGAAATAGATTATAAAAATACAACAAAAGCCAGCTTTTGCAAGGTCCATGGATAGCTGTCCAGAAAAAGAGCTCTTCTCTGGATCTCTTCTAGGGTTTCTTAAAATGATCACCTCCAGAGGCAACTGCAGTGCACAGCAAAGCAAAATAAAGTAAGGAGCAAGTCAACGTGGGGCAGGTCCTCTGGAATGCGGAGGGTGGTAGAATGTCTTCTCATTGTCTCAGGATCTGTCCCTCTGCATTATCAACAACCTGCACACCAGAAAGCTTAATTTTAGCTACGTTCTGAACTGGAATTACAAGACTGTACAATAATGTAATGCATCAAAACGATCCAAAAATATACATCATCATGCATACATCACAGAGCACACGTGATATAATCACGTTATGTTTCATAAAATTAAAGCTGTTTCTAGTATCCAAACTCTATGGTACTTACTTTATTAATCCTGCAAGATTAAAATGCAGAGTCAACCTTTATTAATATGAATTAGGCCTGCAACCCTGAGCGCTGAACACATAATTCAGTTGGTGCACTAACCAACTGAGATATCTCACCAGCTAAGGTAGGTATAATCTGCAAAGACGGCAAAATACACGATGTGAAGATGCTTAGTTTGCTTACTACATACATAGATATTTCCGCTTTATCTCATCCACTCCTAGTCTTCCTCCTCTTCCTCTTGTTCCTCCTCCTCTTCCTTTTCTTTCTCTCTCCCAGCTTCCTTCTTATTAAAGACTTTGGGCAGGGCCAGGCTGCTCTCAATGTCCAGTACCTGCAGTTTTTCTAGTCCATAAAAGGCCCTCTCCTTCACAGTTTCAGGGGTGAGAAGGTTGAACCTGCCAGAGAAACAGACACATTGATCATAAAGGACATTTTCCTAAAAACTGCATCGCTAACAGGTTTCTTCACTGAACACTTTGTCTCTTTTTCTCTCCAAATCGGTTATTTTGGCATAATATTCAAGGGTCACTTTGCTGCAACTCTCTAGTTAGATCTCAAATCAATAGTGATCAAAAGGTAGGTCCCCATCTCCTGCAGAAATGAATTAAAGGAGTGCTCCAAGCACCACGATCACATTAATATTTTGAAGTGGTCTTGGTGCAAGGAGCCTGTATGTTGCACATGTACAAATATTTGGCAAGCAGCGTCATTAGCTAGCCCGAAACAAGAGTTAATTTGAGGCTCAGCGGAGAAGGAAATTTGGTGATTCCAGAAATATTTGCAAATAAGTTATTTTGGCCTAATATGTCCAATAGACATGTGCACCAGTTAAATATTTGTTTCGTACAAATGAATTCGTACTTAATAAAAATGTCATTCGTCCATTCCAAATTTCGTCCGTAAAACATTAGTTTTCAGACGAAATTCGGTAAAAATCATTTGTTTTCGTCCATTAGGATGAAAATAACACTGCGCATGTGCAAAAAAAAAAAGCAAGGAAGGAGCCAGCAGTGATACCTGCTCCCTACTTGTAATAATATTAACAATTCCCTATGACCCCCATATTAATAAAAGGGAGGTTAAATCATAAATAATGGGGGGGATAAATAATGGGGGGACCTAAAGTCCCTCTGAGGTCCCCACCCATGACCAGCGGTTGGGGACCTTAAATAATTAAATAAAGGGGGAGGGACACCTAATGAATGGCGAGTGGGGACCCTAACAGTCAATGGATGGGCACCTCTTGTCCTCCTCCACATGGCCCCCACCCATGAGCGGCGGGTGTGGGCCCTAAATGACAATAAGGGGGGGGACCTATTGTCCACCCGGCCTTTGGAATTCTCCCACGCTGTTTAAAATGACTCAGAGCACTCTGATTGGTTGTATTCCAAGCAGACCAATCAGAGTGCTGTGACAAGTAAATGTAGAGACTTACCTGTCAGTCTTTTCATTTACCTCTGAGTCAAATTACATAAGGCTTCCCTCGCCCTGCAGAGCTCATTCTGCGCGGAGCCCACTGTGGGTGAACATGGATTTTTTTTTGCTGTGGTTTTTTTTGCGCTCCGTTTTCTTATTTTATTTTAACCGTTGCGACAGGACAATTATTGATTTTTATTTGGCCTTTATTGGGGCTGAAGAAAGAAAAGAAAAGAAAAAAGAAGACATCTAATGGTAAGTGACATTTTATTTTACAGGGTTTTAGTTTATTGCCCCTCCTTCACTATTATTAGGGTGAGGGAGGGAGGTAGGGTGAGATTTTAATCTCCCTTATGCTAATATGGGGGTCATATTAACCCTCATAGAATGATACGGGGCATGGGGGGAGTAAGGAAGTGGCGGGGAGCACTGCTCCCTGCCCCTTCTATTTTCACATATTTTACAAGGAGGGAGCCGCGAGCCGGTTAAACTAACTGAACCGGTAATGCATTCGGCATTTGCCCTTTCATTTTGTATATAATTCATATGTAGGACCTTCGTTTATGTTATAGTAAACAAATACGAAAAAGTCAGAAAATCGTATTTGTCCTAAAACGAATGCACATGTCTAAGGTACAATTTGCTTGCAACTCTCCACAAATTCACGGCTTAATGAATAGCCCTGCTAGGTGACAAGTAGTTTTAGGATATTGAAGAATTCCTGATATCACAATCTTATTTATTTAGGGTTATTATTGGTACTTTTTTGTTGCTCTACTCCCTGTCCTGTTTTTCTTTTCTTTTTTTATACTTTTAATAACTGAATATCGTGTTCTTTTTAACATACTAAATCTGGCCTCGATTTAAAATTATTGGATAAGCTTTTAAAATTATTTAATATTTTTGGTTAAACGTTTAAAATGATTTAATAATATGAAAAATATTTTAAGGGGACACTATACGCAATATTTTAAGGGGACACTATACCTAAAACACTTCATCTCATTGAAGTGGTGTGGGTGCAGTGACACTGTTCCCTTAACTCTACAATGTAAAACATTACAGTTTAAAAAAAACAGCAATGTACATAAAAGGGTTAAGAATGCCTCTAGTGGCTTTCTACCAGACAGCCACTAGTGGATCTTCCTAGAGTTTAACAGACACCAGTGTAATTAAATCCCTCTTAGGAAAGCATTGGATCAATACTTTCCTGTGGGGAAGGCCAGATGTGCTCACTGCGCATGCATATTAGGGTCCCCCAGATTGCTGACCTTTTAACCCTTAATTTGGCACAGAGGGGAAGGTGGGAGGGGAGATTGTAAAGAAAAACAAAACAGGCTTTCTATGGAATTGAATCAATCCTCTGGGTTCTGCGTTCTCTCCGCTTTGTACCCTCTACCTGAGAAAGATCCTCTTTATATTTGGGGTGGACTCGAAGGCATTATCAGTCACCATTACAATCCTGTTGTTCTGAAGGTACAGGTACTCTAGACTTTCAGGCAAATCAGGGGGAACATATGAGAGCTGATTCCCTGCTAGGTCGAGCATCTGAAAGACAGCAAATGGAAAGTGTCAGAGAGACTGTTACAATCTTAAAGTGGCCAGATCTAGTAAGTTATGCTACAAATTAGGTAACCCTAATCAATGTGCACATTATAAGAATGATGTGTATAACAATGCATTGCCCATCATTTTATATTACTAACTTCATATATTATTATCTATGAAAAACAGAATGTTTAAAAATATTTTTCAGAAAAAAGTACTAAAACCTTAAAGGGACACGATAAGGAACAAAACAACTTTAGCTTAATAAAGCAATTTTGTATATAGATTATACCCCTGCAGTCTACCTGCTCAATTCTCTGCCATTTAGGAGTTACATTGACACTATAGTCACCAAAACAACATTAGCTTTATAAAGCAGTTTTTCTGTATAGATCACTGCTCAATGCACAGTGTGTTTACTCTAGACGTCTTATCTACTGCTCTGTTTATTGAACTTTAATCTCACACAGCAGGCTCCTGCAAGTTCTAGCATGCTACTAACAGAGCAGGAGATATTAAATTCTAAATTAAACAGAATGTGCAATAAAGAAAGTTTAAACATTGGATCTCTTTTTACAGGAAGTGTGAGTCACAGCCAGGGGAGGTGTGGCTAGGACCTCATAAACAAAGTGATTTAACTTCTAAAAGGCAAACAATTGAGCAGTGAATCTGCAGGGTCATGATCTAAACCCCAATTTCAGTACACTAAGCTAACGTTGTTATAGTGCGTAGAGTATACATTTAAATGCGTAGCTAAAAATATTAACTTTATCAATTGGTAAAACAATGGCGTAATATATGTCTCTACAATAATGGGATCAACATAATTAGAGAAGGAACTAACCTGGAGACTGCTGAGTTCTGCCCAAGCTCCTGTATAAACAGAATTGATCTTCAATTTATTGTTGCTCAGATAAAGCTCCTTTAACTTCGACAACCCGGACAGTGTGTCTTGGGGGATTGAGCTGATATCATTCTCTTTCAGCTTCAGAATCTCCAAGTTTTTCGGGAGCCCATAGGGCACTGACTTTAGGCTGTTTCCCGACATTTCCAGAGTCTTGAGTTGTCGTAGTTTTTTGAAGGCATCTCTGTGGACTGTACTGCTCATTATCTTGTTGTAGCTGAGATTGAGGTCCTCTAGGAAGTAGGTGGTGGCAAAATCACTCTTAGAAATACTGGATATCTGGTTGTGGAGAAGCATTAGTGTCTTTACCCGGCGGGGCAGGCCAGCTGGCACCTTCTCCAACAAGTTATTATACATATGCACAGTGTGCAGCTTCTTTAAGCCCAAGAAGGCATCTGCATGAATGCCTTTGGCCCTCAGTTTATTATTGTGAAGGAGAAGATACTCCAAGTTCCTTATCTGGGTCAGGACATCCTTGGAGATGGACCGGATATTATTCTTTTCTAGATGGAGTATGACAATATTCCGTGGTAAGCCTCCTGGGATATGTGTAAGGTTATTGCTTGATAGGTCTAGGTATTCCAACCTGTTCAGTTTTCTGGAACCAGAGAGATATAAAGTATCAGGAGAAGTATCAGTGATACATGGAGGGGCACAGTGGGGGTTATTTACAAAACTGGGACCCGGGGATAATTGGCAGCGAACAACAAAATTTAAACTTTCCATTTTCTTGTCACTTTTGGATAATTTCCAATTTAGAGACAAAATTTTATGATTTCAAAAATTGATTGGTACCAACGCAAAATAAGAATCAATAAATTAAGTTTGTTTTTTTGTAACTTAGGGATCAGAAAACGAAAGAAATAGTAATACAAGATCTTCATACACATTTTTTTTCATGAAAAAAAAGCAGTTAACAATCTAATTTTTTTTATAGTACTGAATAGATCATAATAGAAATTTAACGGATGTGAACTTTATATAAAAAAAAAATATTATATATTTGTAAGTGGTTATGTCATCTGTAGACTCCAACTGACATATTTCACTGGAAATATGATTAGGACTCAATGCCTCTAATATCAATACCTTATCACACCTATTATATATACATCTATCTATATAATACATTATATTACATCTGTTACCAAAATAGTTTAGGGCTTATAATAAGTAAACCAAGAAGGGTCTTTTTACGTTTTTACAGTATGTCCTGGGGTTTAGATGTCATTACCCAATTTAATGTCACTTTTTTTATTGACCTCAGAAAGTCAATATACTGTAACTGGAACCCTATCCATTGAGCTACCTGATTGGTGCATAATATATCTTTGTCATCACACCACAATTCCGGCAAGGCATATACTGGGGATCATTTGGGGTTTACAACCCTAGAATGTTTGCTCTTGAGATCCTACATTACTGAGACTTAGTTAATCTACCTGGGACCTTCCTACCTGGTTCCTCATAGTCCGTAATTTATTAAGCTTCCCAAATGTTTCAATACTGCAAGAAAAACATATCAAATGATTTATTTACAGAAGCCATCGATTAAGTCTGTGGTTATTTTTGTAGAGAAATCATTTTGAAAAATGTTCTAATGGGATTGAATTATTTGGAAAGCGTATTCAATCAAGTCTATAACCTCTTAGAACAGTGGTTCTCAATCAAGTCCTCAAGTACCCCCTACCAGTCCAGGATTTAGGGATTACCCAGTTGTGTCTAAGGTGTTTTTAGAAAAAATCAAAACAAAACACTTTAGACACAACAGGGTAATCCCTAAATCCTGGACTGGTAGAGGGTACTTGAGGACTGGGTTGGGCTTAGAACACCACTTGCAATCAAGTCTATAACCTCTTAGAACTCCACTAGCCTCCTCACGATGGCTATTTGGGGCCATCTTTCCTCCTAAATCAACCTGCCAAGTCAGTCCATTAGCTCACAGTATTCAGACCTTGGACCTATGGACAAATTGACATCAACAACTGCATGCACAATTCTTGAGCATGGCCTATTCTAGCCCGATGTCTTCTCACCCGAATGTCTCATTGTTCATGCCTTCGTTGGTTAGAAGGTTGTTCTGCAGATAGAGCTCCCTTAAATCTGATAGAGTGCTGAACGCCCCCAATGGGATCTTTTCAAGCTTGTTGTTCTGGATAGAAAGAAGGCAAATATTCTATTAGTATTCCATAGCATTGTACGATAGCATGGGATATAAGAGCGCTTCCCAAATAATCATACAGAGAGAATATAAAAATAACTAGGGTCTTGAGACTATTTGACTTGACTTCGACTTGGGTCTTTTTTCTACCTATATTATGATGTTTCAGCTTGAAACACTGCACATCCAGAGATATTTATAATTGTGTTTTGGGGGCTAGTTGCACCCCGAGCACACGTGACTTAAGTTGCCCAAAACTCTGTTCTGGGCTGCGTAATGTCAATTCTGTGCATACAAAAGTCTGTCGGCAGTGCGCACTGCATGCTGACAACAGACATAAAGTTCCCCCTTCAAAGCTTTGTCCAGGCTGGTTTAAGGTAAGTTAAAATTAACTTAAAACGCTATTTGAACGTTTATTTTGGGGGTGGAAAGGGGATCGATAATATAATTTAAAAAAGTAATTATTGTATTTTTTTCCGCAGAAAAAGAGTTGGAGAAACACTTTAACATACATTTACATTGACCAGATGTTTGAGTGCCTATTTAATTTGAAACTGAACTAATTTTGAGAACCCAAAATGGTAGATATTATGAGCGTATTCTAAATTTTCATTGTGTTTTAGTTTTTAAAGAATATTTGTTGCCGTCATTCAATAGAAAATGTCTCTTGCATAACACAGCACACATTGTACCTTTAGGATTCCAAAACCCACATTGCTCTCTTATCCAGAATTCATAGCACATATATAGGAGTCTCAAATCTGAATCACAACTCTTAGATTTTTCTTAGATTTTGATTGAATTGCCCTAATGTTTATTAAATAAGGTTTGTGTTGCTCTCTGTGTCTGGTCTGAATAAATCTAGATACTAATATTTTCATTAATTAATAAAGATACTCTATTATAGCACCCTGTGCAATATGGCGTACATTTAGGAATATTCACTAAACCTGGGAATTTAAGTGAGTATTGACGGAAGTGTAAATAGTAGATAAATGTTATTCGGGAAAATGTCTCCAACTCAGCAATTTTCCTCGCCTGGTTATTAAAAATGTGCACATTTCTGCCTATTCCCTAATTAGTAAAACCCCAAACAAAGTAATTTGTAAATACATTTTTGCCCAAATTAACGGACCTAGTTTATTGCCCATTGGGTGCTGGTCATACAACGCTCAGACGAGGAGTACAGTTGCCTATGTACCTTTAGGTGCAGCTTGTTCAACGCAGGCGGCAGGTTCCTTGGAACATACTTCAAAAAGTTGCTGGACATGATAAGAACCTCAACGTTGCGGGAGGAGTTAAACATGTCGTCTGGTAGCCCTGCGTCGGTCAGCTTGTTGTTGTGTAGATACACAGATCTTTTTAAAGAAACCAATCATGTTTACATAACTGTAACACACAGTAAGCATAGTTTAATAGTGTGACAGACCTCTATGTCTTTGAATTACTTTTATTTTATGCTGGTTCGTCTGTTTGTTTGTGTATTGCCCTGTCCGTACGGTTCCTATGCTTTATTCCTCTTTTTGCCGAAAGAACTGCCGAACGGCCGGCCACCCAATAGGGAAGTGTGCTGCTTATTAACTTCTTGGCCTCATTAGAACGTTGTGGCTAACCGTAGACACTTCACATTGTCGAATGGTCGGCTGGGCGGTCGTCGTTCGTATGAACAAACACGAGGCGGCAGTCATCTGGGACATACGAACACCCAGCAGTGTTCGTTGACGATTTCATGGAACTAAAAACAGACACTATTTTAATGCGAACACCACTGAAGCTGCCGACCTCCCTTCATCTGTTTCCCGTTCATACGAACGCCGTACCGTTCGGTACATTTCTATACGAACAGAACCACCAAGATAGCTATCCCATGGAGCCTATTCGTATAACGAATAATCTATGTGAAAGACTTTGGTCCTATGGTGATTGAACTGGATGTATGTGATCTGAGCGCTATTCGGTAATATTATGCGCTCAGATCCGGGCTATCTGGGTATACAGATTGTGGGGTTGTAATTTGGTAGTTTGTGAGTTATAGATTTTTATGTATTTTTATTATCTTGTATAAAATGGAGGTTATGCTCTATCCACGGAGATAATTGAGTTACTTCACGATGTTAGATAGTGTCACGTATCCTAACTATATTGGGCTTTAATGCTGTAAGCTGTAAGGGTGTATTGCCACGTCCTAACATTTTGACAGAGGAGTTGCATGCAGTGCTCACAGTGAGTCCCACAAACAGCCCTTTAAATGGGCGTTTAAATTCCCATGGCTAAAATGCGATGTGAGCAGACTTAAATCCCTGCTATCACACCAGGAGACACAGTTATCAATTGATACCTGGGACTACCCTATGTCAGCTGGTGCCATTTTCAGTGGCCACAGACTAGCAGATGTACTGTATGCAACGCTCAAAGCGAGCGCTATTACAGCCATTTAGAAAGCTTGAACGTTTGGTGTGTGCAGAGTTAAATCCCTGCTCACAAGAGAGTGTCCATTGGCCTCCGTCAGCTGGAGCCACATGTAGGGAAGCCAGCTGCCATGACCTCCTTGCACCATAACAACTAATTCTGATGAAGTTGTTATGGTACTCAGAGAGAAACTTTAAATGCACATATGAGAGGTAGTTCAGTATAATGTAATATGTAACATAGTGTAATTGTTTCTGAGATACAGCACTGCTTATATTGCTCTGTTGCCATACCTCTAGAAGACAGGCATAACTTAAGCTTTCCCATTGGTTCGTTAGATTTCTAAATTTCCTTACATTCAGCAACATTGCGCATAGCATGAACGTGGCTGAACGTGGCTTTGGAACATTGCAGGCAGCTTGCTGTGAGTGTGTCTGCATGACCTGAATAAATGGCATGCTGAGCTACAATTCCGCTCAAGAAAGCCCACACTGCATGCATGCACGGTACAATATTCCGAACTCTTTGAGAAGTATCTACTGGACAATAGTTGTGAAGCTCAATGACATCAGAGTAGGCAAATCAGGCTGTTTTGAAGAGGGTGTCTCAGTGGTGGAATATCGATAACATTATGTGTTAATTTTACATGCAAGGACTCAAAAAAACAAGACGTAATTCTAAATAAATGATACATTTAAACAGAGTATTCCTTTAAAAAGATACTAATTTAAATGTAAAATTTTATTTAAAAATAAATAAATTCAAAAATATATTTCTTTGCTCCAGTGTAACCAGGGCATATACAAAGTCTTGATTTCTTTCTTCAAAAACATAATATGCTAAGCAAAACACAGACACCTCTTGTGCACACATTTGAACCTGCAATGAATGTTTTGCATAACAGCCTAGTATTCTGAAAAATCAGTTTGAGTCCTATGGTCATTTTTTACACACCTGTGCCATGTGTGTACAGTTAGATACACCTAGATACAAATGCATACATCTATACACACCTGTATACACCTGTATACATCTATATGATGCTGCCCAGCGCTCACCGTAAGTTTGGTTTATGCCCAAACGTCATTCCGTAGATTTTAGTGATGTAATTGGCTGCGAAATCTGCACTGATTAGCGAGCTCGGAAGGAACCTGGGAGCCAAGGTCAGCTGAAAATAACAAAGAAATATATATTGTGTTAATTAAAGCCTAGTCAATGCAGGGGTTTATTAACTAAACAGTAACTTGTGGAGCGATGGCAATGTATGTAAAATTTTCAGCAAGAACAAGTCAGAGTCCAAATTGCAGAGGCCATTCATTGGATTTACTGTCCTCTGTAATTCACCAGGCTGTGTTGAAAAAGATCTGGATGAGTTAAAAATTGGAATCCTAAAGAATAAAATCAGCAATGAATTTACACACAATGTGTGAGCTTTATCACAAAACTAATGGCACATTTGGTGGGGGTTTTTTACACTTTTTAGCAGTCAAAAACTGTATTTTTACAAAAGGACAGAAAATACATGTACCACATGCACCATATAGTGTAAATGTCAGAGACTGAGAACAAGGCTTAGTTTTGTTAATTGAACTTTAATCACACACAGGAGGCTCCTGCAGGGTGATAAGGCTATTAACAGAGTAGGAGACAATAAATTATAAATTAAACTGAATGTGCAATAAAGGAAGTTTAAACAGTGGATCTTCCTTTACAGGAAATGTTTAGGATGGCTGTGTAAGTCACATGCACAGAGGTGTGGCTTGGGCTGCAAAAACAAGTGATTTAACTCCTAAATGGCAGAGAATTGAGCAATGAGACTGCAAGCTAAAGCTAAAGTTGTTTGGTGCCTATAGTGCCAATATAAATACAAAAAATAAATAAATACATTGAAACAAATGGTAGTGTCAAGGTTAATAATAAAATGCTTACCCATCTGCACCATTTTTAATAATCACTAAACTGTCACAACACCACTTCCAGTTTAGATGAAAATTCAAAAATATAATGTCATTGTTAAATCCTTGCTTTCCACATTGATTTAATTGAATTATCATGTATATGTAAATAAAGTAAAATATATATGTGTATTCTACTACATGTATATACAAAAACATATTTTTCTTTTCATTTAAATTTTTGGACAATTATAAAATAGATTTATAAAGTGCTACGTGACAGTATATGGAATCATGCACTCACAGCGTGAAATTAACCAATAATGGACCCAAGTTTCAAAGTAAATATTGTGATTAATGACTTGATTTCTCATTGGGTTTAAAGAAAAAAACTGCAATTACATCCAACCTGTTAATTGCCTTCATTCGCCCACATGAGGCCATTACACTGACTGATCGGGTTTAAAAAAGTATGGAACATGCGAAACGCGTTGAAATTGTATCTCTGTGAAGTGGAATTTATTTTCCCTGAGGAAATATTTGTGGATTATAATCACACTATATTGACGAATAAAGGAATGTTTTTAACACTTGGGAGTGATGATAGTTTTTTTGTACCAATCTCACCCATGGTTTGATGCAAATTAATTATGCCCTGTCTTGTTTTGTGTCAGCTAAACTTTAGCTTTTGAACCAAACTTTGGTTCATAATAAAATAATTCAGTGTAAGAATCTAATGTGCAAACTGTTTGCACTTACAAGCTGTAAAGTAAGTGTTAATTCTGTGACACATACTGGTTAATCAGACACTTCATTCTAGTGCTAGTCACAGGCCAAACATAACACAGGCTGGACCCAGCCAGACATCGGTACGCCGCTGAGTTATCTGGATTGGATCTTTGGATCTAGATCAGGGAGAGTTGAGCCATGAAACAGCATCATGCAGTTGTTACAGAAACATCCCACAACTAGCATTGCGGCCTCTACACAACTCCGAGCCAAGGGAGCGTGGCTAAAGCTACAATTCTCGATGTTGGGCAGGCTGGATAGAAATAAATATATGTATCGATGACGAAGATTGGTAATTGATTACTATGATTTTGTGCAAGATGAAACAAAGGAAAAGAAAACTTCACATTCTAAGCACCACATTTTATTTACCTCAGTGTATTCATTAAATGGGTGGAACATTGACAAGCGAAGTACACATTTTAGAATAAAATAGACTAATTTTGTTAGGGCTGGTCGCTTGGCTCATGGGCCTGGATCCCAAATGGAGGCTGACAACACAGTGAAACCCTGCTTTCAATGAATGATTGTAAGTATGGACGGGTCCAAGGGAGTTTGTGGTAGGACAGGACGATATTAAACAGGAAACAAAAACAGGATTTCTAGGAAACCAGGAACTGCAGTGTAAAGGATAGAAAGAAACCAGAGTCAGTCAAAATCCAGAAATCAGGAGGAGAAAAGAAGCCAAAGATCAGTAATTCAGGAGATCGGTGAAGCAGGAAGGAGGCCAGGAAACAGGGATGGAGCTGCTGGCCTTCTGGCAACAAGGCTAGAGAATAACCAGGCACTGAGCCAGGGGTGCTCTGGGTTTCCTAAGCAGAGACTGTCCAAGGGTGCACGTGCATCCCCCACTGAATAGGTGATGCAGGCAGAGCAGAATCTGTATCACTTAACCATGTAGAATCGTACCAGGGGCATTTCTAAATGCACAGGTGGCTTCCACAACTCAAGCGAAGTAGGCATCAATAAACCCTTTATGCATCACCAGCTGCCATATATTATCACTGTTTATTAGGTGCTTTTATTATCACACTTGTTTGTGTTACTATCATTAAACCCTTGTTTGCTGAAACCGGCGCAGTCGTCATGACACAACAGTTTGCCGTTAATTCAGCCTTAATGCAACACTAGAAATGCTCCATATCACATAGACGCTAAGATGTAGGTAGGGGAAGCCCCCAACGGGCACAACAAATTTTCAGTTCCATTGTCAATTCTGCTAAATTCCTAATTTAGTAAATAAAGCCCTAAAAGAGAAATTGTAGGAATAGGCCCATTTTAGGTCAAATATTTGTACTGGGAAAGGAGTCAAAACTTTTTTCCCCCAATTTCGATATTTTGAACTAAAATATACAATTCTTATGTCAAATTCCCACAAATTTTAGGTAAGGAGTATGTCTGGCAATATTGTGAATATAGATTTGCTGCAGAGACATAATTGGATAAGTAATTGGATAAGTGTGTGTCTTGGAAGAGACAGTTAGGAGTATCTCTGAAAGCTTACATGGAATTTCCATTACTAAATCGGTTAAAACGGAGACCAGTAGTTTTACCACACTAAGGACAGATTCAGGCAGCTGGTCAAGTAGGCAGCAGAAAGTTCTCAGTGGGAAAAGCTGACAGTATGAAGACAGTAGTCTGCAGATCTAGATGCTATGAAAGTGGTGACATCCACTATGCGTGTGGCCAAACCCATCTGTAGGGTTGCTAACAGAGTAGTACTAAATATATTGTGTCATCAATTAGAAACAGTTTAAAGACACTTTAGAATTTCCTACGAAGAAACTTTCCTAAGGATGAGTTTCGTAAGTAACATAAAACAGAACATTCATAAACACCATTTTTGGAGTGCGGTCTCATAGTGTGTCTAATTGTGCCTTGTTTTTCACCAAAAACACTTGAGTAGTGTTACATCAGTGCAGATGGAAGACAAATGGATGGTTGGTTGTTGGACACCTTTTGTTTGGAGAGCGAAAGTCCACCGTGTAACTGAGTCACTTTAGACTTGCGCGTAAGATGTCGGATGGAGAATCTATTGTTGGACTAATTTTGGAAGATGTCTTTGTCCTCTTAGAGAACAATGAGAATCCATGCCATCATCCAAAGCATGGGTCAGGGTCACTTGGCATAGATGGTCTACTTGCCTGCCATGCTAGTCATTGCTGATGCTTGCTTGTCATGCCATGTACCTGCTGCCTTGTAAGGCCTTGATTCATATCCAGAGAAAGCTATTCTTAAAATTCTGAAAGGGGGGCTTTGGACATCATGCAAACTATATACAAACAAAGCTTCGTAAAAAACACTTGTTGACCCCATCCTTTGTTCCGGACCCTATTAACTGCTTACCATGTTTCTGGACTACTTGACCATCACTGGCTATCTAGCCTATGTTTTCTCAACTCCTGCAATGAGTTTTTCACCAGAATTGATCACAATATTGCATTCTGTGCTTCCCATTGAAATTCACAAACAAATACCCAACATACATCGGCTTCCTAAAGCAGTCCTCTTCCCCTTTCCGTTTATTTACATTTTTCTCCTCTGTGCTTACAATCATTCCCAGCCTGCCTAATGCAAGGGTACACTTCTCTCTTTGTTTGGGTTTAAGGATCAGCATGGAATCTTCAGATTATTATCAAAAATTCTATTGAACCCGGCTAACACAAAACGAGTAGGGCGTCCCATGCTAGAGTAGGCTTTTTCCTCAGGCAAGAGTGATATGACCAAAGTGAGAATTTTATGGAAATTACACCATTGGTTAAAACATTGAAAATCACCTATAGCTTGAATTAAAGGATCACTATAGGGTCAGGAACACACACATGTATTTCTGACCCTATAGGGTAAAACCACCATCTGTTTGCCTAAAAAAAACAAGCAGTCTGCTGACATCATCAGAAGTGGTAGCCTGATCTAATCACAATGCTTCTCCATAGGATTGGCTTAGACTGACAAGGAGGCAGATCAGGGGCAGAGCCAGCATGATTCAAACACAGCCCTGGCCAATCAGCATCTCCTCATAGAGATTAATTGAATCAATGAATCTCTATGAGGAAAGTTCAGTGTCTGAATGCAGAGGGAGGATATACTGAATGTTTGGATGCATTTTAGGCAGCCATGACCCAGGAAGGATCTCTAACAGCTATCTGAGGACTGGCCAGTGAAGTTATCACTAGGCTGTAATGTAAACACTGCATTTTCTCTGAAAAGACAGTGTTTACAGCAAAAAGCCTGAAGGTAATGATTCTACTCACCAGAACAAATTCAATAAGCTGTAGTTGTTCTGGTGACTATAGTGTCCCTTTAACCCTTTTTATGGTATGCTCTATGTTCTTATTGACATCACAATCCAGTTCAATCCAGGCACAGTCAAGGCACAAATTGCAAATGAGAAGAAGAAATAGAAACATTGTTTCTGTTCCTCACTGTATGCTCTCTCTTTGCGGACTGACTGGTTCAAAGAGGGCGGATCTTAAAATAATGATTGACAGGGAGCCAAGATGGAGGCATGCAATCCAGAATAGAGATATAAACAGTGCCAAATGCTTTTAAATTTAAATATTTGTTAAATATAGGGTACAAGTAAGTGTAATATGAAAAATCCTGGAAAGTGACATTAACCCTTTAAAAAAAAAAAACAGAATTACTGAAATACAGACTTTACGACACATTCAGATAGCGTTTTGTAAATGAGCGTTGCTTCCAACACCTTCTTGGCCCATTGCTTGTGTCTTGTCGCCAAGCATAATTCGATGCCCAGAGTAGGTTTTACTAAGCACATCAGAATTATATTTCACTGAAGCACTAATAACGTTGCCAAGCTGAGACGTTTTGCCAGTTCTCACTGAAAGGGGCCTAGCTTTTCTGCTCGCATAAAATTTTCAGCTAAGCGCCAAATCATGTTTTCACTCTAAAACATTTCCAGGTTTGGCAAGCAAACCAATTTAGCGTGTTTTCTATTAATAATTTATTTTCTTTGGACATCATGGCTCACATGTTCAAGAACAGAAAATATGTCTCATTTTAACTGCCATCCCCCTGATTTCTGTTTGCATTTTGTTCCAATAATAAGTAAAATATATTTAATAAACCATAACTTATTTTACTGTCCAGTGCTGTAAAGAAATCTCTAAAATAGTGCTCCAATCAGTCCCGACACATTGTGCTGAGTCCTCTTCGAATCCCCACTCAGCTACGGTGTGCACATCTCCGAAACAACACTTTCCTAAAAAACAACCTCTACTAGCTTAAAATACAGATGCCCAATTTCAACCAGTTAGCTTTATTTACTGTATATGGGCATTCTGCCCCCCAAAAGTAAAACATGTTCTGCTTTGATATTTTGCTTGTTTTTAAGAAATCTGCATTTCCAATCAAACCGGCAAGTTATTTACAAATATGGCTAAGCATAGTTTATGATGATTTAAATGCATTTTACCTACTCTATGTATTAATGTGTATATTTGCCTTCATACTCTAATTTCTTTGAACCTCTCGGAAGGGTTGTGAGACACAGGAAACAAAATAATTTCTAAAATTTCAGATACTAGCGTCCTGCCAGTCTGCTCAGCCCATAGATATTCGTTCATTTTAGGGAGGATTTTCGTATTCCATTTCTAAAGCTTTGCATCGCGATTATATTGTCCATGAGTAGAGTGTACACAGTACAGTCATAGATGAACCTCTTGAGCATGGAGGAATGATGCAGACCAATAGCTAGTTTCTGCATGTTATATAAACATCCCTTTGCTTGCATTGCCCAATAGCATATTGAATTGTGTTGTTTGCTGTGCAATTTTGACCTTGTCTGGTTTTCTCATTGACTTCTCAATTACTTGACTTCTACACTCATTGACCTCAGCTGGTTCATTTGACTATTTTACTGCTTGCAGTTACCAGCATTTTGTCTTCCTGTAGGCCTTCCATTAAGCTGTCACTCTAAGGGGCGTTAGTACGGACTCTCCTGTATTACCTTCTCTTGGAGAATCCCTTAGGATGCAAGCCCTGCATGCTGGGTAGGGTACACTACGTTAATGTAATACTAGGTCTTTGTAAGAAAGCAGCTCAAACACAACTTGTTGCAACGTAGAATCTAGATTTTCATTTTTCAAGTCAAAGGGTAGGTGGTCTGAGTTTGGGGACCACAGTTTAAGAAGAAAATAGAGAAATTTAGAGGGGTTAAAAGGTAAGCTTTTAGGGAGAGCATCCTCGTACCATACAATAAGGGGTGACATTACCATAACATGTAATTAAACAATCAACTGTAATTAAAACGATAAGCCGATGTGGTTGTGGTGTTTGGAGTGTTCTTATCTAATTAATTAAATTTATAGAATGTTTAATGGATGGGTGTGCATATTTCTTGGCTCCTAACAAAACTCAAAGGGGCTCCTAAACAGCTCTGTCTCCTACAGTCTATAAATATATACTTGCATATAGGAGATATTGAGATATTCAAAGGACAGGTCCAGAAATTACCAAAGGCTGAAGAGAACAATAGTATAGAAGATACTTATTAGTCCTACCTTATTATTTGCCAAATAAAGGTAACTTAGGCTCTCTAGCTGCTCGAACAGGTCATCACGAAGGCCTAGAAAGACAGAGAAATATTATCAGTGCACAGACATAGTATCAATGACATCCTGCAGCCCACATCACTGCAATGTAGCAAGGCCATTTACACAGTGAAGGCGACAAACTCTGTACTTAAACTGCAGATGCGCTGTCTTTATCTAACCACGGGCTGATTAAAGAATTTCAGCCCAGTAGTTAGGTTGATACAATATATCAGTAACCAAGTGTTCTAAAATATTTTGACACACAGACTATCACAGAATAGTCAAACCAGCTAAGTACATCAGAAGGGAAATTGACCCACTTGGGTCGAAGCAGCTTACAGTTTTTATACATGCATTACTTTTTATTTCTTAACGTCCATGTCACAGAGCTTTCCAATAACTAATCCTGCCAAAACTAATTCCATCAGCATCTCTCTTTATTATCATGTGCTTTTCACTACAGATATGCGCCTTGGTCACAGTCGATCATTTGAAAATTATCTACATGTTAACACGCTTTCCGAGGACCTGTTAAGTAAGTCACATGCTCAAAATCACAACTTCCCTATGATTTTAACACCATTTTTGGCAATTATCAGTTTGCCAAAAACAGCCTTATATCGTACGCTAAGTATAAGCAATCACAAACACTGTTTTGGGATGGCTGATACCCCTGTGATGTTGCCAAAGGCAAAGTAAGACCCCCAGCAGCTAAGGAGAATCTCTGTATGTGTCAAAGTGAAATGCTGCACATACAGACTCCAGGCACCATGACCACTTCAAAACACTGAATTGGGAATGGTGCTTGGATTGACCCTCTAATGAATACCCCAAAATTTAGCAAAATTAACAACAGTTTAGGAATTGAGCAAAACAGGCACTCCCTACATCTAAAATGCTACCTTGTTGCTGGGGGTTTTCGTAGCTCCATGAACAGGTCACATAAGCATATTTTAGCTTGACTATTTTGTCTTGAAATTTGTAATTCCATAGTCACTTTCAGGATTATCACAGATTAGTACATATCCATTTTACCGCCCTTTTAATCACTGTAAGTCTGTTCTACTTAATAAGCCAACTCCACCTCATTCCACAGTGTAGGAAGTCCAATCTTGGCTGTCTTGTTGTTGTTTGACTATATTTCCCAGAATTCCTAGCAAGCCACACTTCTGGGAAGGCAACAGGATGCAGCTGGGGTGAACCAAGATAAAAACCACCTGCCATAGTCAGTACCACTGCCAGAGTGGACTTCATGGCTGACTAATCCTCTTAACTTTGTCTATACTTTAAGTCACTGAATTGGATACATTTCAGTTTCATAAAAAAAATGGAAGAATCCCAGATCCAATGCTGTTACATTGTTACAACTGACTGTATTTCAACAATTTCCTGGCTTCCTCATAAATGGTCCATACTCGCTGTGAGACACCTACTTCCTCCTGTCACGACATCCTTTATAATCTTTGATTAAATCTACTGCGGAGTATTTTTAAAAAAAAATCACTTATTTCCATAGAATATTGCCACAAATTTGATCTGTGTTTACATTGTGTTGTTGAATAAATTGACACATCTAAAGCACAATCATTTGACTAAACAGGTTTTTATTCTAATATAACAAGAAAATATCAATATTCAAATTATAAATCACAAAATTTACTAGATTAAATCCCACATTGTCTGCTTTTTGTAGACTCTTTTGAGCAGATAAGGGCACAAATATAAGATGCAAAATGTATACAAAAGAATAATTCAGTGTAAAAATATTTATGGAATTGGCCTTGATTTAATATTTTGAAATACGCTTTTCACGTGATTTAATATTTTTGCATAAACCTTTAAAATATATATTTTAAAATAACATATAAAAATGTGTTAGTATATATAATATATATTATTTTTACTATAGTTATACTATATTTATATAACTATAAATATTTTTTAAAATATTAAGTCATTTTAAAAGCATATCCAAAACTATTAAACCATTTGAAAAGCATATCCAAAACATTTAAATGGACACTATAGTCACCTGAACAACTTCAGCTTAATGAGGTTGTTCAGATGAGAACTATAGCTCCCTGCAGCCTTTCTCATGTAAACACTGTATTTTCTAAAAAAAATACAGTGTTTAAGTTGAACACTAGGAACACCTCCAGTTGCAGTCACTAAGAGTGAACCAGAGGGACTTCGGAGTTGATGGAGGCATCCACTCAGATCTGCTGTCAGCAGAGCACAGGGCAGCATTGTGCACAGCATCCTGTGATTCACTATCTCCTCCCTCTGCATGCAGACACTAAACTTTCCTCATAGAGATTCATTGATTCAATTCATCTCTATGAGGAGATGCTGATTGGCCAGGGCTGTGTTTGAATCATGTGCTCTGCCCCTGATCTGCCTCTTTTTCAGTCTCAGCCAATCCTATGGGGATGCATTGTGATTGGATGGGGCTACCACATGTCAGCAGACTGCTTGTTTTTCTGAGTCTAACAGCATGCAGAGTTACAGCTTCAGGCTTGAATACAGTAAGATTTTGCTATATTTATGGAGGCATGAGGGGCCCAGGGGGGCTAGATGGTGGTTTTAACACTATAGGGTCAGGAATACATGTTTGTGTTCCTGACCCTATAGTGATCCTTTAAATTGAGGCCATTATAAGATATTTAATAGATATGGGCCCGTCTTTTTTTGTGAAACCATCATAACATAGCAAAAATATATTCTTGTTTTATTGTTCTAAAATTATGGTGTTTATATTTGTTTATTTTTTTGTGTGTTTTTGACTTTCAACTTTTAACATTCTACGCTATTCGGTTTGTCCCTAATGATACATATAGCATTCTAAGACCTGCGTAGAGACTGTGGATATGTAAAGATTGTACTTCTCTACGGAGAGGTCACTAAACCAAATAAAGCCCATTGCCCCTCCACTACTTTCAGATATATAAATTGTGAGAGATTCACCTCTTGATGTAAGACGGTTGTTCTGTAAGTTAAGTGTTTCCACCTTGTAAAGCCTTATGAGGTCTTCAGGGGGAATCTCTTCAATCTGGTTATTCTGTTATAAAAATATAACATATTAAGGAGAAAAGCACATCAATTTATAAAGAAGCACAGGGAGACAATTCCATTTTCAGATACCATTGGATAACAAGGTTGTGGCTGGCCTGAAGGATACACCGAAACATGGTACGCTCCTGAGATCACCTAGCCATCCAACAACCAGACATAAGTGATGTATACATTGCATCTGTCCAATAAATAGTGGAGTTCTGTAGGACTGAATATATACAAATAAAAATAAAATAATAAGTACACTAATTTTAATTTTATTTCTCAGTTTATTTTTGTCTGAATCTGACGGGCCTGGCAGATGTTATTCATAGTGTCAATATTTTATTAAAGCAGTTACAATGGGACCTGCAGCTACTGATTTATCCAGTACAGTAAAATACAAAAAAAGGGCAGTTCAGCCTCGGTGACAGGAAGACGTGGGTACGGGGCAGAATGGGGAAGCCTTACTTCCTAGTGGAGAGCAGGAAGTGCTATTATATCTTCATGTTCCTCTGCTCAGCCTGTTAGGGCTGCGTCAGGCTCCAAGAAGCTGCCTGAGTCAGGAGAGGGGGTGGTGACGGAACATCATATTCTGTGCTCTCTCCCCATTCACCACACATTCTGTGAGCCAGGGTTGGCCCTGATGGACTGGGCAGAGAAACATGAAAATTCTCTGCCATGGTCCTGTTCTTCACAATACACATTCAGACTGGGTAAGTGGATGAGAGACATAAGAGGAAATACACAAGAAGGTGGGAGTAAGGGGAGACACAAAATGGGGTGAAGGGGTAAGGAGAGACACAAAAGAGTTTGAGGGCAGTAAGGAAGCAGAAATAGGGGGGTGAGGGTAAAGAGTGACACAAGAGATGGAGTGTGACGGAAATGTCTCTGCCATGTGTTCCTGGAAGGGCCTGCTGGCTAGCCTCCTGCCCAAAGTCTATGGGCCCTGCAAAAAGCCTATTAAAAGACTTAGTTCGCAACATTTTCCTATGCTGTTTGGGAACCGAACAGGCGCACGAACCATGGACCACCCGGGAGCTTGTTAAGCCCTATCATCACCTCTTAACAATTCTAACCGCAGTGTTCTAAATGTTCGTCTGGGTGGCTGTAATTCGTATGAACGACCATGAGGTAGCGGCCATCTTGTTCGCATAAACGCAGGCTGCGCTGTTTAGTTGTCGAGTTCATGGAACTCAAATCGGACACAGAAACTCCCGAACAGCGCTGGACTTCCACCATCGCCTTGACCGACCATTAGCACTGAATCATGGACCTGTTTTGGGCATAGGACCATGTGCACAGTCAGTCAAATTAGGACTTTCATTCAAATCCCGAACCCCTGAACCGATCTGGGTGATTTTTGGATATGTTGGTCACCCAAATCGGGCCTATCAGGGGATGTAACTTTTGTGCGGTTTTTATGTGTTTTGGTGGTACTTTTGGGGTGTTGTAAAAGTGTAAATTGTTCTGTGCCTGGAGATAATTGAGTTTAATGCGGATCCTGACCCAATTATCTCCCAGGCACAGAAGAGGAGTTTGTGACATGTATAAATTATGTGACTGTGCTTCCATTAAACAGACTACTTCCCAGAATTAAGCCTTGGCTCATGTTTGGGGGGAATTGCTATACTGGGCTTTGGATTATTATACTCTCTTGGAGGAGAGGTCTTCTCACTGGGAGCTGGATCCAGGTGTTGGTCCAGGGTGGGAAGGGATGGCGAGACCCCAGCCAAGCTGTGGCGGCTAAGGGGGGCTATGGTGGTTGTAGTGTCTGGTGCAGTGCTTATAGTACTCTGTGATACTAGGAAGCGTGATTGGCAGAGGTATCCAGTCGGGGTACCAGACGGTCCGCCACATGGAGTTTAAAAAAAAAAAATTATTCGGGGGGTGCCAATGACCTATTCCATCACAGGAGTCTGATTCTCTAGGTATGTGTCAGGGCCAAATTCTCTAACACGCAAACTTGAGACAAAAAAGAAAATAGGACAGTTACTGGTACTCAGTCTGAATACCTGAAAAGCAATAATGCAGGAAGACTAGTCAAGGTCAGTACAGAGAGACAGCACTGCAAGGAATCAGAACCAAGGTCGGGATAATAGATATCAGAGTAGTCAGGATAAGTAAAAACAAATTCAAAACTGGAAATACAAACTCAGTAAATCACACACTCTTAGGCTCATAACCCACAACTGAGTGCCACAAGGGATAATGGGATTTATATAGGTACAGAATGTCCCCTAATGTTCCCTCACTTTCCTACACCAGAACGTACATGTGGCCTAAAACTTGACATTGACTTTGTATCGACTTCACAGCAGCTCACATTTCTTTGAAAAGCCCTATCTGTATTGCATTACTGGGCAGACTGATAAAATCTTAGAAAACCAGACAGAGTGAGTGAAACCTTCTGTCTTCACATGAGAATGTATTTAACCCTTTCTGAACCCAAGCTGACACATTGGAAGTAGGTCCAGAGACAACGCAGCAAAGGGCAGAGATTATTATTATTATTAGTAGAGAATGCCTGCAATTGGTGTATATTTTTTTAACCCCTAACCTCCACTGTGGGTCTGCTTTAACCCCTTGTCTACAGGGTATATGTGTGTTTCTGTTTGTATAATTTTAACACCTTGCCTTCAGACTGTTTGTATGTGTGTCAGACTGTTTTCCTGTAGTGTGTATATAGATGGGTGTGTCTTAGGCTCTTGTGTATGTTATATGAGTTTAAAGGAATGGAACACTATAGTCACCAGAACAACTACAGCTTATTGTATTTGTTCTGGTGAGTATAGTCAGTCCCTTTAGGCTTTTTGCAGTAAACACTGTATTTTCAGAGAAAAGGCAGTGTTTACATTACAGCCTAGGGATACCTCCACTGGCCACTCCTCAGATGGCTACTAGAGGTGCTTCCTGGAGCAGTGCTGCACAATGTGACTGACATTTAGTGTCTCCACCCTCTGCATGGAGACACCAAATCTTTCTCATAGAGATGCATTGGTTCAATGCATCTCTATGAGAAGATGCAGATCAGCCAGGGCTGTGTTTGACTTGTGCTGGCTCTGCCCCTGATCTGCCTTCTTGACAAGCTCAGCCAATCCTATGGGAAAGCATTGTGATTAGCTCAGAGAATCACTCCTGATGATGTCAGCCAAGCAGGCAGACAGGGGAAGAGATAGCAACTGCAGACTTGAATACAAGTAAGATTTTACTATATTTAGGAATGCAAGAGGGATCAACGGGGGCTAGATGGTGGTTTTAACACTATACAGTCAGGAATACATATTTGTGTTCCTGACCCTATAGTGTTCTTTTAATTGCTTGCCTGTATTGTGTATGTGTGAGTTTTGCCTTCTCGTCTGCCTTGTACACGTCTTGAAAGGACACTGTTAAACGTGCAATAAAATGCAATGATTTTCTACAAATCTCCATGTGCCTTTCCCTGGACAGAAAATGGTTGAAACATTGGTCAATTCTAACCATTATGCTGTTTTTATCAGGATAGGTAAACATTTCATATACCTCACTGCAGGGTTTAAAGGATGTGTAGCATTAATTGTGTAGTGAATTTTGCATTCAAGTCAGTGTGCAGCAGGAGAAAGTGATAGATGATTTATGATGGGGAGTGTCACAAATTACAGAGAAAAGACAGAATGACAAAGTAAACAAAGGAAATAAATAAACACTACAGTAGATTAGAAATGTACATAGGCGTGCACACGGGGTGTGTCGGGTGCCTGGGCACACCCTAATCCCCGTGGCACGCCTATGGTTTGAGTTCCTGCAGCCACTCAGCGTCCCCGTCTCACCTCTTGCCCCTGTCATGGGGGGGGCAAGAGGTGATGGATTCCCCCCCTCTCTGCATCTCAGCCGTGGCGAGGGAGCTGTCTGCTGTCTGCAGTCTGCTGTCTGCTCCCTCTCGCCGCGCGCTGATGCCGGGAGCCGGAATATGACGTCATATTCCGGCTCCCAGCTACAGCAGACAGCCCGCGCGGCGAGAGGGAGCAGACACCAGACAGCTCCCTCGCCGCGGCTGAGATGCAGAGAGCCGCCCGCCCCACTGGACCCCAGTGAAAAGTCCACGCCAGCACTCCAGATAGGAGGCTGGGTGGACATTTTTTTTTATTAAAATGTAATAATTTGTTCGTGTGTGTGTGTGTGTCTGTGTGTGAGTGTGTGTGTCTGTGTGTGTGTGAGTGTGTCTGTGTGTGAGTGTGTCTGTGTGTGAGTGTGTCTGTGTGTGAGTGTGTCTGTCTGTGTGTGAGTGTGTCTGTGTGTGAGTGTGTGTGTGTGTCTGTGTGTGAGTGTGTGTGTGTCTGTGTGTGGAGTGTGTCTGTGTGTGAGTGTGTATGTGTGTGTGTGTCTGTGTGAGTGTGTGTGTGTGTCTGTGTGTGTCTGTGTGTGAGTGTGTGTGTCTGTGTGTGAGTGTGTCTGTGTGTGTGTGTGAGTGTCTGTGTGTGTGTGTGTCTGTGTGTGGAGTGTGTCTGTGTGTGAGTGTGTGTGTGTGTGTGTGTGAGTGTGAAGTGTGTCTGTGTGTGAGTGTGTGTGTGAGTGTGTGTGTGTCTGTGTGTGTGTGTGTGTCTGTGTGTGTGTGTCTGTGTGTGTCTGTGAATGTGTGTGTGTGTCTGTGTGTGAGTGTGTCTGTGTGTGAGTGTGTCTGTGTGTGAGTGTGAGTGTGTGTCTGTGAATGTGTGCCTGTGTGAGTGTGTCTGTGTATGTGTGTGTCTGTGTGAGTGTGTGTCTGTGAATGTGTGTGTGTGTCTGTGAGAGTGTATGTGTATGCGTATATATATATATGAATATGAAAACAAAGAAGTACACAGTGATAAAAAATGTGGTAGCTCTTTAAACACCTATAAAGTGGTACCCCTTACACCACTATAAAAACAAATGCAATACATACGAAGTAATAGGTGGAGCTGTGTAATGTCCTATATCTGTAAAACAGAATAAATGCAAATAGCGTAGAGAGTCTGCACAAATAATAATAGAAGTAAAAATAAAATCGTTGAACTCACAAGGTTGGAGTCATACCATCATATGACTCTAGCGGTATGTTCCTTTGGACCATTAGGGGGTTGTCCAGACCCTTCTATCGTTGGTTACTGGATACTCCTCTTTAGTGGTCCTTTTTGTGTCCCCCAAGGAATTCTCAGTATGATGCTTATTCTTAAAATAGATATTTCTTTATTTCCAATATAAAATGTTAACAAAAATTAACAGTAAACAAAAATACTATACCAATAAATATTGGATATAGATAAAGCAGGTTAGAGTGTCCAAAACGCGTTTCGCCTGATATACAGGCTTCCTCAGTTGGCTCTGTGTTGTTTCCTTTCTATTAAAAGAATTTCCAGCTGGTTTTGCCGCTTTTATATGATACTTCCGGGTTTCGGCTTCTTGGAACGCAACGTGCGTTCCATAACTGTCTCTCATTTCAACATTACGTTGAGATGGAACGCACATGTGTTCAGATTAGTCAGCTGATGGTTTCATCTGTCGGAGCTTCTCTGTCCAGCAGAGCTATAGAGCATCCTTCTTTTGTACTTCATAATAATAACCAATCATGTATGGGAATTATATATATAAACATAAAGAGGGTTATATATTACAAATCTTTCTCATCCAGTTTTATCAAACATACCTATGTATACCTTGTGAAGAAAAAACATGTATAAAAAAAAAAAAATAATAATAATATATCATAAATAATACCAATAATATTTGTATTGATAATATTTAATGAAAAAATAAGTGATATTGTACTTAAACTGATAAAAAATGGGCTATTAAATCCAATAAGCTATAATATAAAAAATGATAAAGGACTAATCTCTTAGTGAAAATACCTAAGGTCTATTATATCACAATGTGCTTCTAATAAAATAGGTAAGAAAGATTTGTTATATATAACCCTCTTTATGTTTATATATATAATTCCCATACATGATTGGTTATTATTATGAAGTACAAAAGAAGGATGCTCTATAGCTCTGCTGGACAGAGAAGCTCCGACAGATGAAACCATCAGCTGACTAATCTGAACACATGTGCGTTCCATCTCAACGTAATGTTGAAATGAGAGACAGTTATGGAACGCACGTTGCGTTCCGGCGGCCGGAACCCGGAAGTAAATACCGGCGCCGGAACGCACGTTGCGTTCCAAGAAGCCGAAACCCGGAAGTATCATATAAAAGCGGCAAAACCAGCTGGAAATTCTTTTAATAGAAAGGAAACAACACAGAGCCAACTGAGGAAGCCTGTATATCAGGCGAAACGCGTTTTGGACACTCTAACCTGCTTTATCTATATCCAATATTTATTGGTATAGTATTTTTGTTTACTGTAAATTTTTGTTAACATTTTATATTGGAAATAAAGAAATATCTATTTTAAGAATAAGCATCATACTGAGAATTCCTTGGGGGACACAAAAAGGACCACTAAAGAGGAGTATCCAGTAACCAACGATAGAAGGGTCTGGACAACCCCCTAATGGTCCAAAGGAACATACCGCTAGAGTCATATGATGGTATGACTCCAACCTTGTGAGTTCAACGATTTTATTTTTACTTCTATTATTATTTGTGCAGACTCTCTACGCTATTTGCATTTATTCTGTCTTACAGATATAGGACATTACACAGCTCCACCTATTACTTCGTATGTATTGTATATATATATATATATACATATATATATATATATATACACACATACACGCAGAGCCGGCGCTATCTGAGTGCCGGCTCTGCTCTAAGCCTCCATGGGCCGGCGGGGAGACCAAAGATCTACCTCACCGGCCCACAGCAGCATGGAGGGAGGCAGGAGAGGACCCAGGGAGCTCTAGACAGAAGCTCCGCCAGGTTCCTCTCGCGATATCTGAGCGTTGCTGCGGCAACGCTCAGATCTCGCGAGAGTTAACTCTAGCCCCGCAGGCTAGAGTTCACTCTCCACTGGACCACCAGGGATGGCACATGGCAGCAAGGATTTACTAATCTGCCAAATCCCTCCAAACATACAGCACACACACATACAGCACCTACACACATACAGCTCACACACACACAGTACACTAACCGCACCCTCACAAACACACACAGCACCTTTAAAAAAAACACAACACCCTCACACACAGCACACTAACAGCACCCTCACAAACACACACACACACAAACAGCACCCTCACAAACACACACACACAAACAGCACCCTCACAAATACACAACACTCACACAAACAGCACCCTCACAGGCCAAACATACACACACAAACAGCACAGTCACAAACACACACACACACACACACACAAACACCCTCACATCATACTCACAGCACACTAACAGCACACACAGCAGTGTGTGTGTATATATCTATATGTATATATAGATATATACACATACATATATATATAGATACATACACACACACACACACACACACACACGGCGTGTGTTTGTGCTTTAGGGTGCACACCCTAATGCAATAGGCTGCGCACGCCTATGGAAATGTATGTAATGCATCAAAACTCTTGGCCGGCCCTGTTTATCATCTTAGAAAGGAACAAGCATAATCTTTAACTAACATATATTTCATTCTAGAGCTACAAGCAAGTTACGATTAGCCGTAGGTTAATAGACACCAGCACTAGGGTGGTGGTGGGGTAAATAGGAAAAGACAGAAGAGTAGAACATATGGGGGGATTTGTTTCTGCAACCCTGTGTGGACAAATTCTAACCCAGCAGTTTGTAGAGAGAAGACAAGACATTAACATTTCGTTTACCACAAAAATGCAGAGAATGCAATGCGGATATGACAATATAACTATCTGAATTCCATAAGGAACTAGGAAGGCTTACTAACTGAATGGGAAATCATGTTCTAATCTATTCATAACTCTTCATCTGCTGTTTTAATTGCACTTGAGGATCAAGGTTTCAAAATTCTTCAGGAGCTTGGATATCCATCCATTGTCCCAGAAGCTGGATTTGGGGTACAGTTCCATAATTCTATCCCAGCTGACCTAAAGAAATACATATACACTAGTGAGTATCTCTGACCTGCAGGGAGAGGTGGTTAGTATATTCAGGAAGATCGGCTGGAAACTCCCGTAGGTCTACTCCTGCACAATCCACCACTCCTTCCTGGGTACAGGTGCAGTCCTTGGGACAGAGCATGGTGGGAGAGCTTGGTTTGATTTCTTCCAATGGTCTGTCATCATTGTCCTCATCTGGCGGGACCTCTCCGTAATACTCATATTCCTCTTCTTCCTCTTGTCCATTGGACCCATGGGAGCAGACCATCAGCCACACAAAGAAAAAGACATGAACACAGGGTCGCATTTCACTGAAGAGGAAAAGACATGAAAGCAATTCACTCCTTGGATTAAAAGAACAGAGTCCAGCAAAATATTTATAGGATATTTATAGTGCGTCAATGCCCCGGAGAAAGGGTCGTGTACAAAGTGAAATCATTACACAGGAAGTCTTACAGCTATGTACCAATTCGGATGAATAGACAATGGTGTTTATTTTGGAATAAAACTACTTAAAGGGAGCAAGATTTTAAGTACGCTGACAGCATTTGCTTTCAGAGTGCATTTACGGCAAATGCAGTTTTACATATTGGAGCTAATATTCACAAAAGAACCAATCTATATATTAATTGAGAATCAACATTTCACTGGAAATAGCAGCGTTGAATTAAAAACTGAAAATCACTATAAACTAATTTTAGCCTTTTTTTCATGTGATCTCATGTTTCATGTTCAATGTCTTATAAAGGTATATTAAGGATTTAACACTTTACATCACAGCCCAGTCTTGGCACAACAAGGGCACATAATGCAATCAAGGTGCTTATGAGAATGATTGACAGGGGGACGAGAAGCTTATTTCAAGGACAGAGATAAATATAGTGTTAATTATTACATTATTTTAGACTTCAGAAATTATTATTTGCATAACAGCCTTTCCAACTGTTAGGTGACTAAATGATGTCCCCAGGCGCCCGTAGACCTGGCCCCAGCTGAACAATGTCATAGGCTCAACTATTGTTCTCAGTCTATCACTGCTGCCCACACATGTTCCAGCTGATGCATTAGCTTTGGCAGCAGAATGGGGCTGGATTTTGGGTGGTCAGGGACCCTCATTCAGTTTAAACTTAATGAAAATGATTTAACACCGAATAGTGGGATAGTGCCAGCGGACTTCGGAAATATTAACCACATCAATGAGATGAAGTGCCTCTTTGCACAGTGGTTTAGAGGCAGGGCCGTTTTAACATAGGGGCTAATGGAGCTGCAACTCCAGGCCCATGCCTATGGAATAGACCCATTGATAAAATATATATATATTTATTTATTTATTTATTTACTACTCTTCACATGCTTTTGCTGAAGTATGGAAACTTAAGAGGGATGTAGGGGAACAAAACTTGTGTGGACTGGCTGACAAATAAATCAGTTAAGGTAAAGCTGACTTTGCGCACTATGCAAATACTGTTGCTTCTTCAGTCTCTCTAACACTGTGGCATGTTCCCTTTCTTCTACACGCACCATACACCTTTTCTCTGTCCCAGACTGTATAATAGGAGCCTCTGCCTGCTAGTAAGAAGGATAGGAGAGGAGTGGACAAGTAAGTGGTAGAGGACAGTCCTTAGAAAGCGTAGAGCGAGCGCATCATTAGACGCATTTATGCCAGGCTAAGGGGGCTTTCTGCATAGGATGTCCTTGGTTGGTCATCCTGCATGATTGGAAGGCAGCCTGACATGCATTCACACCAGGCTGACCATCTTATTCTTCATGCAGACACACACTCTGCTATCAATCATAGAGGGTGAGTACTTTGCATATAACCATTCAAAGTACACATGCCACATACCATAAACACCCCTCTATAATCTATAATCATTATTTTATTCTTTTAGTGATAAGCCTCCAAAGGGAAGATGATTTCTAAAGCGAGTCTAAGATTGAAATACTTCTTAAAGTCACTAGAATATCCTGGGGGCATACAAAATTTATGCATTTAAAAGTAGCGTTAACTTTTTCTTATTTAGCTTGTGTTTATTTTCTGTTTTACTGAAACATTGACCAGCAGTAGTCACTATAATTTTAATCGGCTGCAGGTGTAAAAAAAAAATAGTAAAAAAAAAAAACCCCAAAAGACTGCAAGCTAACTGCTTTTCTGTTGAAACTGTTTCTTCCGGAGGCAAAATAGAGCTCAGTAAAATCAACACCAATGGCGAAGACAAGCAATCCAAAAACCGAACTGGACTCTGCAAGCCTCAGCTTTCAGAACCGAAACTTCTTACCTATTTATACTTAATATTCACCTAACCTTCTCAGTGCTGCAGATTAGAATAAAAAAAGTTACACAGACATCATACATGGAAAAAAAACAAAGTTTTTGGGGTCTGTAAGATCCCAATAAAACAGGGTGGGGGGAGGGGGTCAAGCAGAAGGTTTTGGACATTAATGATGTAGTACAGCATCTACAAAATAAAACACAAAAACTAAAATGAACTCATAGCTTTGACGAGGTTTGACAAAGACTGTTGCAGTTGAAAGTTGCTATTGTAGGCTTGAGGCTCTGTGAAAGAGACTTAGCTCTCTGATCAGTAGTGCGAAAGTGTTCTTAATTAGTTTGGGGGCCTTACCCAAGGGGTTAAAAACAGCCGGTCTAGTGCAAGACATAAAAACCTGATAGAAACATGTCTGCACATTACTCTTGCAGATGCAGACTATCCACTTGTATGGTGACTGTGACGGTGGATTACACACCGAGTAGTCCCAGCTGTTTTTGCAATCACCAGATTTTAGTTTCTTGGCAAATATTCATGAGCAAAAAAAAAAAAGAGAACTTTTTTTCCGTAAGTTACTAAGAGTGCATCGCATTTCGCTTGTATATTTTTGCGAGCAATGCTGGTGGTTTCCACAGTGCACTGGGGCCCCCTTACTGCCTTAAAAAAAACACTAAACCAGATGGAACGCTCTGTATCTATGTCACTACGCAGTAATTACTGTGACAGATTGGCAAATAGAATGCGGGTTAATGAGCTATGTCGGAAAATGCGCTCAAGAATGCACGATGATCTGGGATAAATCACGCTTTGACCCAACAATAAATTTCACATGGGACTGAGTTCATCAATACTCAATGGGTTAAAACGATTGCGCAATACGAGACCACCTAGCGTATACGCAGTTGTTTTTTTGGGAGTGATTTTCTTTTATTAAAAAAATAAGCTAGCTTTGGAATGGCTCATCCAGAGACACCTGCACATTTCTGAGCACCGGACTTATTTAAAAGAAATGCTTGGAAAATGTTTTTTTTCTCAGATGTCCTTTCACACATGACGGGGCCTAGGCCTTAAAGCTGTGTAAGGGGCCTCAAAATTTCTGATGGCAGCCCCGGCATGCATTCACACAAAGCTGACCTGCCTGTTTTTCTGGCAGACCTGCCCCCTTTCCAAGCAGGTCCACCACCTTTTACCTTGACACTTCTCGCGTCACCGATGTTGGGGGGTATGCAATCATTCCAATATTGGTACTGATAATGAGGAAGCAAAATTCCTAAATATTTTTTTTTCGTCAAACTTTTTTTTAGGACTTTGAAAAGGACTGTTCCAATTGGAGTCCTTGCACCATAATCACTAAAATTAGCTGTAGTGGTTATGGTACTTTGAGTATACCTTTAATTTAGAGTACCCTGTTACCTAACTAATTTCAAGTCACAAAAGGAATTTAGGGTCTTGTTTGTAGTTTAACTTCAAAGATTCGTGATGAAGTTGTACTTTGCATGTGACTAATTTCGGTTCTAATTAAACAAATCATAAATGGCAGATAAATGTTTGATAATACTCTGCAATGCTTTAAATGAGCTGACCTTGTGACATTTAACTAATATTTAATATCCCAGAAGGGCAGGAATTTGGCACTTGTGGTTCTTCAAAATTAATTTTGATATTGGTCCCCATGCAAACTGTTACAGGTCAAGCTCATTAAGTAATTTAAAGGGAAACTTCGAGCTCCATAACTGCTACAAATAACAGGCACCATCCCAGTGTAAATTGTTAAACCTTTTAGAAACATAGAAACATAGAATGTGACGGCAGATAAGAACCATTCGGCCCATCTAGTCTGCCCAATTTTCTAAATACTTTCATTAGTCCCTGGCCTTATCTTATAGTTAGGATAGCCTTATCCTATCCCACGCATGCTTTTAGAAGAGTTTTACAACTTACCTTGGTCCTGGATACCTAGGTAGCAGACCTTGCATCTGGTCTACTCCTGCAGGAGAATATGTTAGTTTTACTGAGCTAAGTAGACCCGTAGAGGACAGCGCTCCTTATCTGAAAGAGTCAGTGTTCTCAACCAATGAACGTAGTCCTGTATTGACTGTGCTTATCTGCTTCGTGAAGACTGGATGCAGCGCAGCAGGTGCCTGACAAAAGCCAGGTAAGTTGGCAAACTTTTCTAAAACAGTTTGACTTATTATTCTGCAAAGGTACCAGGACAATCCTAGCACCACAACCACTGCAATGGGCTGCAGTGGTTATTGTGCATTAGAGTTTTTCTTAAAATTTTTAGGATCAGGAGCTATGAGGTCAGAATAGAAGTTAGATTATATGAACGCTTTCCAGGCACTGAGTTTTCTTGTATGCAGAAAATGTATTCACGCTGATGGGTAAGGCAGGAAAAATGCTGCCCTTTTGGTATTAGAATTCACGTTATGTAAGAGATAAACTCTCTCTAATATCATTGTCAGATTCCCAGTAACTCTCTCTCCCCATTAATGTCAGATTCCCTGTAACTCTCTCTTTTTCCATCAATGTCAGATTCCCAGTAACTCTCTCTCTCTCCATCAATGTCAGATTCCTAGTAACTCTCTCTCCATCATTGCCAGATTCCCAGTAACTCTCTCTCTCCATCAATGTCAGATTCCGAGTAACTCTCTCTCTCCATCAATGTCAGATTCCTAGTAACTCTCTCTCTCTCCATCAATGTCAGATTCCCAGTAACTCTCTCTCTCCATCAATGTCAGATTCCTAGTAACTCTCTCTCTCCTCCATTGTCAGATTCCTAGTAACTCTCTCTCTCCATCATTGTCAGATTCCCAGTAACTCTCTCTCTCCATCAATGTCAGATTCCCAATAATTCTCTCTCTCTTCATCAATGTCAGATTCCCAGTAGCTCTCTCCATCAATGTCAGATTCCCTGTAACTCTCTCTGCATCAATGTCAGATTCCCAGTACTCTCTCTCTCCATCAATGTCAGATTCCCAGTAACTCTCTCTCTCCATCAATGTCAGATTCCTAGTAACTCTCTCTCTCCACCATTGTCAGATTCATAGTAACTCTCTCTCTCCATCATTGTCAGATTCCCAGTAACTCTCTCTCTCATCAATGATAGATTCCTAGTAACTCTCTCTCTCCATCATTGTCAGATTCCCAGTAACTCTCTCTCTCCATCATTGTCAGATTCCCAGTAACTCTCTCTCTCCATCATTGTCAGATTCCCAGTAACTCTCTCTCTCCATCAATGTCAGATTCCCAGTAACTCTCTCTCTCTCCATCAATGTCAGATTCCCAGTAACTCTCTCTCTCCATCAATGTCAGATTCCTAGTAACTCTCTCTCTCCACCATTGTCAGATTCCTAGTAACTCTCTCTCTCCACCATTGTCAGATTCCTAGTAACTCTCTCTCCATCATTGTCAGATTCCCAGTAATTCTCTCTCTCCATCAATGTCAGATTCCCAGTAGCTCTCTCCATCAATGTCAGATTCCCTGTAACTCTCTCTGCATCAATGTCAGATTCCCAGTAACTCTCTCTCTCCATCAATGTCAGATTCCCAGTAACTCTCTCTCTCCATCAATGTCAGATTCCTAGTAACTCTCTCTCTCCATCTTTGTCAGATTCATAGTAACTCTCTCTCTCCATCATTGTCAGATTCCCAGTAACTCTCTCTCTCAATGATAGATTCCTAGTAACTCTCTCTCTCTCCATCATTGTCAGATTCCCAGTAACTCTCTCTCTCCATCATTGTCAGACTCCCAGTAACTCTCTCTCTCCATCATTGTCAGATTCCCAGTAACTCTCTCTCTCCATCAATGTCAGATTCCCAGTAACTCTCTCTCTCTCCATCAATGTCAGATTCCCAGTAACTCTCTCTCTCCATCAATGTCAGATTCCCAGTAACTCTCTCTCTCTCCATCAATGTCAGATTCCCAGTAACTCTCTCTCTCCATCATTGTCAGATTCCCCCAGTCCTCCCCCCAATCATTGTCAGATTCCCCAGTCCCCCCCAATCATTGTCAGATTCCCCCACTCCTCCCTCCCAATCATTGTCAGATTCCCCCCCATCATTGTCAGATTCCCCCAGTTCTCCCCCCCAATCATTGTCAGATTCCCAGTCCTCCCCCAATCATTGTCAGATCCCCCCCAATCATTGTCACATTCCCCCAGTCCTCCCCCCAATCATTGTCAGATTCCCCACCTCACCTCCAGCCCCAGTGTCCCCCTCACCTTGCAGGCAGAGATGCGGTGGAAGGCTGAGGGTTAGATGAAGGCTCACTTCATGCCATGTCAGGTCTCAGTAAACAGGATCCAGCCCAGATGTGGAAGTGGGGGCTGTCCTGCTCTCCCTGGCAGATGTGAGGGGGTTTGGGAAAATCTCAGGAAGCCTAGAAGGGGAGGAGGGAATCAGCTGGAACTGAGACCCACTGGCTGACTGCTGCTGGCTCCAGGCTAGTGTGCTTGGCTTCAAGGAGGGAGGGTAGATAGGGGAGAATGGAAAAGATTAATTGGACTGGACCTCATACTGAACCCTAGAGACTGGACTGAATTGCATTGTACAGTAATGGACCCAACATACAGTGCTGTGCATGGAGTGTACAGTGATGGACCTGATATACAGTGCTGTGCATGGAGTGTACAATGATGGACCCAACATACAGTGCTGTGCATGGAGTGTACAGAAATGGACCCAACATACTGTGCTGTGCATGGAGTGTACAGTGATGGACCTGATATACAGTGCTGTGCATGGAGTGTACGATGGACCTGATATACAGCGCTGTGCATGGAGTGTACAGTGATGGAGTACAGTGATGGACCTGATATACAGTGCTGTGCATGGAGTGTACAGTGATGGACCCAACATACAGTGCTGTGCATGGAGTGTACAGTGATGGACCTGATATACAGTGCTGTGCATGGGGTGTACAGTGATGGACATGATATACAGTGCTGTGCATGGAGTGTACAGTAATGGACCCAACATACTGTGCTGTGCATGGAGTGTACAGTGATGGACCTGATATACAGTGCTGTGCATGGAGTGTACGATGGACCTGATATACAGCGCTGTGCATGGAGTGTACAGTGATGGAGTACAGTGATGGACCTGATATACAGTGCTGTGCATGGAGTGTACAGAAATGGACCCAACATACTGTGCTGTGCATGGAGTGTACAGTGATGGACCTGATATACAGTGCTGTGCATGGAGTGTACAGTGATGGACCCAACATACAGTGCTGTGCATGGAGTGTACAGTGATGGACCTGATATACAGTGCTGTGCATGGGGTGTACAGTGATGGACATGATATACAGTGCTGTGCATGGAGTGTACAGTAATGGACCCAACGCATGGAGTGTACAGTGATGGACCTGATATACAGTGCTGTGCATGGAGTGTACAATGATGGACCTGATATACAGTGCTGTGCATGGAGTGTACAGTGATGGACCTGATATACAGTGCTGTGCATGGGGTGTACAGTAATGGACCCAACATACTGTGCTGTGCATGGAGTGTACAGTGATGGACCTGATATACAGTGCTGTGCATGGAGTGTACAATGATGGACCTGATATACAGTGCTGTGCATGGAGTGTACAGTGATGGACCTGATATACAGTGCTGTGCATGGGGTGTACAGTAATGGACCCAACATACTGTGCTGTGCATGGAGTGTACAGTGATGGACCTGATATACAGTGCTGTGCATGGAGTGTACAGTAATGGACCCAACATACTGTGCTGTGCATGGAGTGTACAGTGATGGACCTGATATACAGTGCTGTGCATGGAGTGTACGATGGACCTGATATACAGTGCTGTGCATGGAGTGTACAGTGATGGAGTACAGTGATGGACCTGGTATACAGTGCTGTGCATGGAGTGTACTGTGATGGACCGGATATACAGTGCTGTGCATGGGGTGTACAGTGATGGACTGGATATACAGTGCTGTGCCTTTAAGAAAGAATGTGCTGAAAGGATGCAGTTTTGGTGATAAGAAATCGAACCCCTCCTCCTCTCCCCCAAGAAACAAGTCTGAATGTCCAATGAGTAACCACCAAATTGTCATGTGAAACTAGTGATTTCTGTTTGTTGCCATAAAGCCTTCTTTGTTTGAGAAGCACTAACACAGCACTAACACAGAATCAATCATCCCCATACAGAAAGTTTGGTGTCTGTATTATTGATTCTCCGAGCTAGTTACTGCCAATGCCAATTTGGAACCTTAAAACATACTGACAGAAAACATGTTATCGAAACCCGAGATCTAGTGACTGCTGCTCCTCCGGCCCCCCCGAGGAAGTTGGACCCTCCAGTGACTGTGAAATAACAGCTGCCATGCGGTAAGAACTTTCCTCTTACAATTCTTTGTTTCACACTCACGGGAGGGCCCTCTTTTCCGGGTGAGTGTGCATGTTTTAAAATCCTAGGTCCCAAGGATGGGTTACTGTATGATTTAATATGATGAGTTATGTTCAGTCTATTCTCATAATGGTGTCATGCCCTCATTGTTGTGCTTCCTTGAGTTAATCATAATTATTTGATTGGTTACCTATTGCAAATTTAAAAGTAATTTAGAAAAAAGGGCTCCCTCCTGCAGCAGGACCTCAGGGCCCATAGTGTGCTCATAGTTACTTTTTGGTATCTTTAAGATTCCGCTGCCGGGTTCTCTTATTGAGTAGGACACTGTTTTGGAATAGTAACATCGTTTTGTATAAATAAGATACAAAGATGGGGAATACTAGGAGTGTTCCCGGAGCCGGGGAGAGCCGGGCGAAAACCGCCATAGAGATTGTGAGGCAGATGCATGGGAAAACCGCTGTAAAAGGCATTGGAAGTATGTTAAAGAAAGCAGGCATGACACCCTCAGGCAGCTTGGATCTAGACGCCTGGCAGAAATTCAAAAAGGATTGTAAGGGTTGGTTAAAAGATAAGGGATTGTCCCAGAAGGCAAATATTTGGGAGGAAACTGCCAGAATGATATTACAGAGAGGGTGCAGAGAAACCACCAGGAAAGGCATCCCTTATTATGAGTGTTATGATGTAGAAACTAAGTCAGAAGAGAACCCGAATGCAGTGATTGTCCAGCCTGTACCCCCACCTCCGTATCATCCAGCACCCACTCATGCTCTGCCGCTCCCAGAAAAGAACTCAAATGCAGTGATTGTCCAGCCTGTACCCCCACCTCCGTATCCTCCAGCACCCACTCATACTGTGCCGCCCCAGGAAAAGAACTCAAATGCAGTGATTGTCCAGCCTGTACCCCCACCTCCCTATCCTCCAGCACCCACTCATGCTCCGCCGCCCCCAGAAGAGAACCCGAATGCAGTGATTGTCCAGCCTGTACCCCCACCTCCCTATCCTCCAGCACCCACTCATGCTCCGCCGCCCCCAACAAATGCTGGTCATTGTCCCGATGGTGGATCGATATGTCCCATATCTGGATTCGCTAACCCTTGGTGCGTAGATTCATATCGAAGCTGTGACTATCATAAACCACTAGACAAGCCAGATGAAAGAAAGTTCTATTCTGTTCTTAATTTTCCTATCCAGATAGGAGTAATGCCACCCCACTTAACACCAGTCCCTGCCATGCCCGATCTACAACCAGAGATGGACAGACCTTTAGGAGCAATAAGATGGGTAGCAGCTATGCCCCCTCCTCAGGTCACCCCACTTCCCTCCTGTACTGCTGCAAGGGGACAAACTCAGTATTCATATACAGAACGCAAACCTTGGTCCCCATCTGAACAATTGGCCATGATTATGCAAATGCCAAACCCAGCAGATTCCCCTGTGGAATTTGCACGATTCACTGACACTATTCAGAGAACGTGGAATTGCTCTTGGGTGGATCTGGAGTCCCTGGTAAGAGCCAAAGCAGGACCTGTTATATCCTTCCTAATTGCCCAGGTGACTGATGATACCAGAAAGAGATTGATGCGCTCTGGTACAGTCGATGGAGAGTGGTTCATTGAAAATGAAAACTCAGGAAAAAGATATACAAAGGCTATTGACAAATGGGCACGGGATAAACAGGAAGAATTATCACTTAATTTGATGGATGTTACACAAGAAAAAGGCGAGTCAGTTGACAAGTTCTTTGCTAGACTACAACTATTATGGAAAGGCATAGGGTACATAGCTGAAGATTCCAGAGGCCAAAAATTGCTAGGGGAAAGTTTTGTTAATGGATTACATCCCCCACTCAGTACTGCTTTGAAAGTTGCCCGCCCTGAGTGGAGATCACTGCTCCCGACTACCCTTGTTATAATAGTGAAAGCATTTGAGGCAGAAATGCAGAAAAATAAAGTTGTGCGGAACATGAGGTCCCAACGAAGGGGGGGGACAGGCAGAGGTAGGGGGCGAGGAAGGTACCAGTCAGGAACCCAGAGAAATGCCCCAATATGTTGGAATTGTGGCTGGGTGGGTCACATAAAAAGAGATTGTATGTACCTACCACAGCAACAACAGCATCAGGGTAATAACCATGAATATAGAGCAAACACCTATGCCGAAGAATATTAATCAGGCAGGGCAACCCGGTAAATGTGCACAATCTTAAAGTATCTAATGACATGGACCCAACCCCTACTTAGTTACCTGAACACAAATATTAGTGTTTCAAAACAGTAAAATGTATTACAACGATATCGTCAGTGAAAGTGAAATTTTTTGCATTTTTCACGCACAAATGGCACTTACACGGACTATATAATTGTAATACTTTTTACTGTTTTGAAAAACTAATGTTTGTGTTCAGTGAAATCTCCTGAGTATAACAGTACCCCTCATGTACAGGTTTTATGGTGTTTTCAAAAGTTACAGAGTCGAATATAAGGTTTGCGTTTCAGGTTTTTCACATTGAAATTCGCCAGATTGGTTGCCTTTGAGACCGTATGGTAGCCCTGGAATGAAAATTACCCCCATCAGAGGCTGCCCTTTAATTAGGTGGTTTAGCCACCTAAGGCCACGCACTGGCTGGGGCCTAATGGCCGCCTAAACCTCTTGAGGGCAGACTGTGCCAGGTCCTCGGTCAGTGACCGAGGACCCGACACCAGGAAGGGGCCCAGTGGCTTGCTCAGTATGCCGCCGGATGTGAGGCCTCTCCTGTCTGCCGGCCAGCCATCGCAGACACCAGTCTGCAGCTCCGCAGTGAGCAGAGCTGCAGACCATGTGTCTCGCGAGAACTGGCCAATCAAGCGTTGCCGCGGGTTACCACGGCAAACCTCTGACGGGTCTCGAGAGATATGCAGCAAACCGGATTTAATGGCCACCGGACCACCAGGGAGCCCACAGGACCACCAGGGAGCCCACACTGGACCACCAGGGAATAAATAAAGGTATTTATTCCCCTCCATCACCCTCCTCCCTCTCACTTCACCCCCCCTCTCACCCTCACCCACCCCCCTCACCTCACCCCCGCACATCACCTCCCACTCACATCACCACCCCTCCTGCTCACATCACCCCCAAATCACCCCCTTTCCCTCTCACATCACCCCCTTCTCCCCATCACTCCACTCTCCCTCTCCCAATCACCCTATGCCCTGTCACCATCACTCCCTCTCACTGTCACCCCTCCTCCCTCTCACCATCACCCCTCCTCCCTCTCACCGTCATCCCCTCCCTCCCACCACCCCCCTCCCTCTCTCACACCATCACACCTCAATCACACCATCACCCCTCTCACACATAGGATCACCCCCCCCACACAGTATATCCCCCTCACACACACAGCCCCCCAGACACACTGTCATAACCCCTCCATACTGTCAGCCTCTTCATGCATCCACACTAACATTAACCACACCTAATCCTGTTAATCTCACTCCCTCCAAACGCACCTGCCCTCACTCTGCCACACTCACCCTGTCACATTAACCCACCTTAATCCTGTCACACTTGTCCCTCCTACCATGCCACAATTGCCCTGACACACTTACCTCCACTCGTCCTGTCACACTCCCTCATCAAACCATGTCATGCTCCCTGTCCCTCATTCTCTTTCACAACCTCACCCCCCCTCCCTGTCCATTTACCCCCTTCGCAATGTCACACTCTCAGTGCCACTGGTACCCCTTTACTTACCTTGTCACAGTCACCAGCTGAAGACACACTATAAACAGTAACAGTGTGCATGTATTACAACTCATGTTTGAGTTTCGCCTAAGGCCTCATAAAGTCTAGAGCCACCTCTGACCCCATGATGGCATACCATTTGCAATAGTAGACAACCCAAGGTATTGAAATGGGGTATGTCCAGTCTTTTTTAGAAGCCACGTAGTCACAAACACTGGCCAAAATTGGCGTTCAAATTAGTTTTTTGCATTTTTCACAAACAAACAAATATTATCACTAACTTTGGCCAGTGTTTGTGACCAAGTGGCTACTAAAAAAGACTGGACATACCCCATTTGAATACCTTGAGTTGTCTACTATTGCAAATGGTATACCATCATGGGGTTAGTTCAAATTCCTGGGCTACCATACGGTCTCAAAGGCAACGTAACCAATCTGGCGAAACGTAACGTGCCATATTTGGCCATATAAGTTCCCAAACCACCATAAAGCCTGTTCATAGGGGGTACTGTTTTAAACGTGAGACATCGCTGAATACAAATATGTGTATTTTATTGCAGTAAAAGCAAATAGTATTATGACATTCACAGTTAAAATGTCACATAGAACTAAAAAAAGAACATTCTCCCCATTTTTTATATTTTATTCATATTAAATTGTGTTTCATAGCTAAATATTTGATGTTAAATGAAAGCCCTGTTTAAAATGATATATAATAAGTGTGGGTGCACTGAAATAGGTGAATTACGGTTGAACACACATATAGTCAAATTCAAGGTTTTGTTTACGTTTTGTTTTGATCACAACGTGTACATTTGGCTCAGTACTTAAGGGGTTAAACCTGCAGTGTAAACATAGTAGTTTTTCTGAAACTGTTATGTTTTCAGCTGCAGGGTTAAAACTAAGGGGACCTGGCACCCAGACCACTTCATTGAGCGGAATTGGTCTGGGTGCCCATAGTGGTCCTTTAAGGCTACATGATTCTACATGACAACCTTTTGGGCAGTGATGTATTATCAGCCATAAGTGCTAATCTTATTTATAACCAGATGGTACTGTCTCCCTGACATCAGCCCTGTATGAAAATTATTTGCTTCAACTTTCGGAAGCATTGACAAATATCTCTTGATATAGAAATTTATGATGGATAAATCATCCAAAAGATAACCAGAGGTTCCTAATTAGATATACGAGCTCTCGGGAGAACCGATAATAAAACCACAGACTCTGTTTGTGGTTCAAAACCATCTCATCATTTAATTGCGAGAGTGTTGCATATATAAAATGGCATTAGTCTACTACGCATGTGTCAAAGCAATAATGACTCACTTGAAAGTGTTATCTAAACTATGCAAGGTTAAAGCAAACTGTAACATTTCATGAGAGACAGAAAAACCATCTGCAGAAACTGCAGACAAAACTACTTAGCTTTTAACTCCTGCAGACGTGGAAGAACTTAACTAAGGCAAAGGCTGTAACCCTTTATGTACCTTTTATCTATTACACTCTCTTAATGTTTTAACACCTGTTGTGGAAATGAGATATTGACATAATTTTTAGTTAGTAAAATGTCTATTTACTCATCTAATTGAAATCAGAGCATAAGCTATTAACATGTGCTTAGACAAAATGGCCAGACCAAGCTACTTGTATCAATGATATTGTTCAGGACAAACTTGAATCTGTTGAGAAATATCATTCTCCTGCTGATGGGTTTGAGGAGGACCGTCCTGCAGCAAGGTTAAACCGCAACCCCCGGCCTACTCCTCAAGCCAACCCACCCTCCACCTCCACACGCCGTTACACTGGCCCCAATCAGGCCCATTTGGATTTGTTACAATAGGTAACCGGCAAGCCTGTGTCTGACACCCCTGCCATGGCAGTGTCTACAGGGGATGGGGGAGGGCCACTAGCCACTGTAGTTCTACCCATAGAGGGTCATCCCACTACCTTCCTAGTTGACACAGGTGCAGCCCGCAGTGTTCTTAGAGAACAAGACCTGCCTGACCCATCCTTTCTGTCAGACACTGATGTCTCTTGTGTTGGTGTTGATGGTAGCCCCCGCAGTAATCCACTCACTAAACTCCTTCATGTGGGTTCTGATATCCTTTCCCGGTTTGTTGTCTGCTCCACATGTCCCATTAACCTCTTGGGTGCTGATGTCCTGTCTCGCCTCCAAGCATCCATTACCTTCACTGCAGATGGCCAGGTTCAACTAAACACACCCTTGTCACGAAAAGACATTTCAGTTCTTTGCTCCCTCCCCATACTGCTACATCTCACGACTCCTACAGGGAATCAAGGGTCCCTCATGCCCCCAGTGCTCTGGACAAAATCCCTGCAAAGCTTTGGTCAACAGGCCCCTATGATATTGGCCGCCTTAAAGTCCCTCCAGTTGTGGTCACACTTCTACCAGGAGCTGCGCCCCTACGAAGACCCCAGTACCCACTGAAACCTGTCCAGGCCCTCGCCATTTCCAAGCAAGTGGAAAGCCTCCTGGCCAAGGGAGCACTTGTCAAGTGTGTTTCACCATGCAACACTCCCCTTTTCCCTGTTAAGGAGAAAACTGAAAAGGGTCAACCTGATCAATACCGTATGGTCCAGGATCTCTGTGCTGTCAATGATGTCACTGTCAAGGATACAGCTGTTGTTCCCAACCCACATACCCTGCTGTCACAGGTTCCACCCTCTGCCAGATTCTTTACTGTGGTGGATCTTGCAAACACATTTTTCAGTGTGCCCCTGGACCCATCCTGCCAGCAATATACATGGACTGTCATGCCTCAGGGGGCTCAAAATTCCCCCACCCAGTTTGCCCGGGCCATGTCTATGGTCCTAGAACCCTGGCAAAAGACCCACACAGATGTTGTCTTGCTTCAGTATGTGGATGACTTACTCCTCTGTGCTGCTGATCTCCAAACTGCTGAACGTGTCTCTGAAGACCTACTTTGTTTCTTAGCTGAAGAAGGCTGCAAAGTCTCTAAATCAAAACTCCAGTGGTGCCGGCCCTCTGTGGTCTTCTTGGGACAATGTCTTTCCCATGGCACCTGCCACCTCACCAAGAGCAGGATCCTAGCCATTTTGAACCTACCAACACCTTCAGCTCATCAATCTCTCCATGCCTTCTTAGGCCTCATCACTTATTGCAGGTCTTGGATTCCTGAAGCTTCTCAACTGATGCAACCACTGTATGATGCTCTAAAAAGTGAGCCTTTTTAACTCTCACCTCATGCCCTCGCCTGCTTCACTGCCCTGAAGAAAGCAAAAACCTCTGCTCCTGCTTTGGGCCTACCTAATTACCAGTTGCCCTTCAAGCTATTTGTTTCTGAGAAGTCGGGCCATGCCTCCGGGGCTCCGGGGTTCTTACTCAAACACATGGCTCCAGACAGAGACCCATTGGCTACTTTTCCTGCATGCTTGACCCCGTTGCCAGAGGCAGTCCCTCCTGCCTACGGGCAGTATTTGCTGCTAGTGCCTTGCTGGACAAAACCAATGACTTCGTCCTTGGTCATACTCTGATCGTCTTGGCTCCTCATGACATTTCTGCAATCCTACAACAGGTTCAACCAAAGCATCTCTCTTCTCAACGTCATCTACGTCTGCAAACTTCATTGTTACTACCTGACAATGTCACCCTACAACGCTGCTACTCACTGAACCCGGCCACTCTTCTGCCACTTTCCAAGGGGGGAGTGGCACAGTACTGGTATAACATAGAAACATAGAAACATAGAATGTGACGGCAGATAAGAACCATTCGGCCCATCTAGTCTGCCCAATTTTCTAAAAACTTTCATTAGTCCCTAGCCTTATCTTATAGATAGGATAGCCTTATGCCTATCCCATGCATGCTTAAACTCCTTTACTGTGTTAACCTCTACCACTTCAGCTGGAAGGCTATTCCATGCATCCACTACCCTCTCAGTAAAGTAATACTTCCTGATATTATTTTTAAACCTTTGTCCCTCTAATTTAAGACTATGTCCTCTTGTTGTGGTAGTTTTTCTTCTTTTAAGTATAGCTTGGATATCAACCCAGATGCTCGGATAGAATTCCAATTACCAACTCTTGCAGCTCCACATGATGCGCAACCAGAGAACTTGTTACATTGTACCCTGTGGTTCAAAGACACCCCACGCCCTGATGCAGATTATGAAGAAGAACTATTCCACCTTGTGGAAATTCACATCACATTGACAGACTTACTATGGGACTCCAGAGGCAACATGGTCCTGCTGGTGCACCTCCCAACAGAAGTATCCCATCTCCACCGCCACTGGGAGACAGCTGTCCCACACATATCCTTCACCAAGTCTCCTGACCTCTCATGGAAAGATCTAGGCCCACTGGCCAAGTTCTGGAGTACAACAACCCAGGAACAACTTGAATTAATGGGGGTAACCAAGAAGATTATCAACTGCAATACAGCTGGCTATCTCCGATACCATACAGAGATTTGTGAAGATCTCCCTTCCCTGGAACAGGACTCAGAAGCCCCCCATGATTGCTTTGAACAGATGAAGATGGAAACCACTCATCTACCAACTGTGCACGAGACCGCTCTACCTAATCCAGATTGGATACTGTTTGTGGATGGTTCCAGATTTGCTGATGAACAAGGGCAATATCACACTGGATATGCAGTTACCACAGAATGCCAGGTACTACAAGCAGCTGCACTTCCGCCAACCAAATCAGCTCAAGAGGCCGAGCTGACAGCCCTCACAGTGGCCTGCAAACTGTCTGAAGGTTTACGTGTCAACATTTATACAGATTCAAGATATGCCCTTGGAGTGGCACATGATTTTGGCCTGATTTGGAAAACCAGAGGGTTTCTCACAGCTGCCGGTACTCCGGTGAAGTATGGGGCAGCCATTGAAGGACTGATGGATGCCTTGATACTCCCAGCAGAAGTGGCAGTGTTAAAAGTAAAAGCCCACGGGAGGCTGGATTCAGAAGAAGCACAAGGCAACCATTTAGCTGATCAAGCCGCCAAGGAAGCAGCACGGCAAGGGTGGAAAGTGGACAGAAGAGTGGCCACCGAGACAACACCCATCTACACCATGCAAACATTGCCTACAGATCTTAGACTTTTAAAGGAACAACAAGCTGCTGCAACTCCTCAAGAGAAACAAAGTTGGAAGAACAGAGGGGCTATTCTCCGAGATGATGTTTACACCATCAATCTTAAGTTCTGCCTACCCAAGAATATGTATCCAGCTGTTGTCCAATGGGCCCATGGGCCAGCTCACCTGTCAAAACATCTGATGAATGCCCTAATTGATAAATACTTTGAAGCTCCGGGCATTACTACTCTGACACAGAACTATTGTAGATCCTGTACAATTTGTGCCAAATGCAACCCCGGGAAGATTGTTAAAACTGCACCCAACCACTTGGCCAAGCCACAATATCCCTTCCAGAGTATACAGATTGACCACATCCAGATGCCAAAGAGTGGGCACTATGAATATGCCTTAGTCATTGTGGACATGTTCTCAGGATGGCCAGAAGCTTTCCCCGTGGCCAACCTCACTGCAAGGACCACGGCTAAACATCTCCTGACGGAAATTGTCTGCCGGTATGGAGTTCCAGAAGTGATTGAGAGTGACCAAGGAACTTCCCTCACCGCCTCATTGACACGGGAAGTCTGGGCAGCACTGGGGGTGACCCTTGCCTTCCACACACCATATCACCCACAGAGTAGTGGTAAGGTAGAACGCATGAATGGCACATTGAAAGCCAGAATGCTCAAAATGTCTCAAGAAACTAACATGCCCTGGCCCGAGAGTCTCCCATTAGCATTGTTCAGTGTACGATACACCCATAGGGGGAAATACAGCTTATCACCCTATGAGATTTTGTTCGGTACAGCACCAAGGTTGGGTTGTTATTTCCCTCAACAGCTTCAGATTCAGTCAGATGCTATGGTAGATTATGTAACTGCTCTCTCTCTCATGCCTTGACCAAAATCCATGCCCAAGTGTTTTCTTCTATTCCAGATCCTGAGTCGAATACAGGTACACATAAGTTGCTTCCAGGTGATTGGGTTATGGTCAAGAAATTCCTCAGGAATCATACCCTTGAGCCAAGATTTGATGGTCCTTACCAAGTGCTGCTAATCACGGCTACCTCAGTAAAGTTGGCCGGAAAGAGTTCCTGGATACACGCCTCACACTGCAAGAAAGTGCCTGCTCCAGAGGAAACTGTCCCTGCTGAGTCATGAGTTTTCTGTGCTCCTTGTGTCTTCTCTTACTGCTAAACTTTACGAAGGCCCAACAAGTAGCTATAACCAAAGATAACCATGTTTACACCTTTTGGTACAATTCTTCAAACACAGATGTAGCCACATTTACCTTTGATTACTGTGATATTGTTGCTTGTACTTTCCCATAGACACAACATGTTACTATATATAAGGACATACCTGATAAGAAAGACCCATACATTTGTGTGACCGGAGGACATTGGGGACATCACTGTAGTTCTTGGAAAGCGGCTGGGTGGAATACTGGTAGACCATGGGGATACAAACCCCAATGTGCTCTAGATAGAGTTGACAAAAATGGGAAACCCCTACTCTCTAGAATGACCCTAAGTAAACCTATTGGGTCAACCCCAATTAAACTCACCCTAAACATAGAGCACCCCAGTCCGGGAGATGCCGGGGAATATGTAATGGGTATGTACTGGAAGGGGGGTGGCTCATATAACAAGTTGGGGCATTCTATTTGCAAGACATGCTCACCTCACCTGACTGGGTAGGTACGACTCACATGACTATCAACCCACTTAAACCTCACATTAAGACCTTACATGACATGGTTGCTATTGCTAATCCCACTTTTGAAGATACCAGTAGAAACTGGGTTCTCTGACACTAACCTGTGGTTGGAATGGATGAGGTATAATGCTAATTCACACAACAAAACTAACTGTTATGTATGTGGGGGAGCTAGGCCCCACCTGGGTACGGTACCCCTTAATTTACCCCCCGATGTTGAATTGTGTGTGCTGAGTCTCTATGCACAGTCAACCACTAACTCCTCAACGTGTGAATCATGGAAAAAGGTGTATCCAGTCACCCAGAGACACATTAGACCACCTGATGGAGTTACAGTATACCCAGGTAATTACACATGTTACACAATAGCTAAAAACACTGGTAAGTTCATGGGTAAATTCCCATCTGGTTATTTCTCCACCTATCATGACCCACCTATGACACTATTAATGAACCATGTGAAAACAGTCGGGGATATCTATTGGCTGTGTGGGGATAAGCAATTGAGATCCCAACTAACAGGGCTGTGGTGGGGGGAATGTACACTGACTTAAGCCATAATGCCCATCCATATTATCCCGGATGGCCATCAAAATGCGTTTGATCCCACACATACACACTCCAGAGTAAAAAGGGAAGCCCCCATCCGTGGTAGCTTTGATCCACATGTTTATATTTATGCCATTTGAGTGCCTAAGGTGGTGCCCAACGAATTTAAAGCAAGGGATGAGGTTGCCACTGCCATTTGAGTCCCTTATTCCATTAATCACTGTTAATAAGAATGTTAATTGGATTAATTACATCTACTACAACCAACAGCGGTTTGTTAATTACACCAGAGATGCCCTACAGGGCCTGGCAGAACAACTGCAAGCTACCACTCAAATGACATTTCAAAATAGAATGGCTCTGGACATGATTCTAGCTGAATAGTGGGGCGTATGTAAAATCCTCCCCGAAACCATTATATGTTGTACTTTCATTCCAGACAACACTGGGCCCAATGGTAAAGTAACTATGGCAATAGAGAAATTAGAAAGCCTCTCAGATGAATTACAGAAGAATTCAGGGGTCACAAATATATGGGACAGATGGTTTGGATGGATGAATGGTTGGCAGAGAACCCTATTCCAAGTTGGGACAGCAGTTCTTACAATGATCATTATCTTCCTGTTCTTAACTTGCTGTGTGTTACCTTGCATACAGAAATACTTACAGAAGACAGTAGGGAAGACTATAGACAACGTGACGCCCACTTTCTTGCACCAAGACGTCACTGACCTAGAATGTGACGCACCACATACACCTCTCCAATCCCACCAATTCAAACAGACAACTGCATTTTTGTAGGGATAGCATAGGGAAAGCGTCTGTCTCTACGGGCAAGAGTCTCACGTGTGGAGATGTAGTGGACTAGCCGCTGCGGGTTACCCACGGAGTGAAGTGTTCGAGGCTCGTTAAGGCAGATGAGCTGCAGGCAGCTAGGGACATATTAGGGACAGTGGCAGTTGTTATGGTAAATAGCCATTTTAAGGGGGAACTGTTGTGGAAATGAGATATCGACATAATTTTTAGCTAGTAAAATGTCTATTTACTCATATAATTGAAATCAGTGCATAAGCTATTAACATGTGATTAGACAAAATGGCCACTAGAAGCTTCCAACCCCTCCCTCCCTCTAACACCGACTAACTACCTTGTGTAACAAGATGGCACTGGAATCTGGGGGAGACCCTCATGGTTCTAGTGACATCACCCTTAGTAGGCAGAGCAATAAGATAACCACTTAACACCTAACCAATTAATAAAGTTTTATTCCATGTTATCTCTGACAATGCTTGTGATGTAATTTTGCTTTAAAAGGGACCTGCTGTCCCCTCTGAATAAACATTCCTCAAGTTTTTCATCAACCTGAAACCTGTGTCTGGCGTGAATTACTTCAGGGAGCGTGCACGCACTGTTTCTTTAATTTGGCCAGGTGCAGATACACAAAATAATCAATTTATTGATTGATTTCCACTTCAACACCTGCTAAACCTCTACCCCCAGAATGTTCCACCCACATTGTAGGCAAAAGGGAAAATAGATACTGGTATATTCTCGGTTCCACCCGTACAAGTAAAGTTATTACCATATGCAACCCTACCGTGCCTGAGATAATATCCTGTAAGCCCAGCATAAGAGGAAGCTATCAGTAATGCCCTCAATGATTGTTTGCAGTCAGGTATAGTGGTCCCTACCACTTTAACGTGTAACACCCCACTGTACCTAGTAAAAAAAAAGGAAAAGGGGAAACCTGTTGTGTATCGCATTGTGCATGATCTCAGTGCAGTGAATGCTGTTACTGAGCTCATAGCCCCAAATGTCCCCAACCCACACACTCTGTTATCCCAAATACCTCCCTCATCGTAGGTATTTACGGTAGTAGACTTGGCAAATGCCTTCTTTTCTGTCCCGCTTCACAGAGACAGCCAGTATACATGGACTGTACTGTCCCAAAGCGCCCATAATTCACCCACCATGTATAGCATGGCTATGGCACAGATTTTAGAAGCTTGGCCAAGGGATGACCATGTTGTGTTACTACAATAGGTTGATGATTAACTTGTGTTGTGGACAAAGATATTAACCCAATCCATGTTGGTAAAATGCCTATTTACTCAATATAACTACAATCAGCATTATTCAACTTTATATGTGATTTACCTAAAAATGGCTGCTAGGGAGTTTCCCTTTGACATTGACTAACACCCTCATTAACAAGATGGCGCTGGAATCTGGGGGAGACCTCCAAGATACCAGTGACATCACACCCGGTAGTAGATTACAGTAGTACGGTAGTAAATGTCACCCAGTGGTAGATTACAGCCAGAGTTTTGGAGGAAATTGCTTATTGATAAAGAGAGCTTGCTATTGGATAATGGGTTGACGAAAGCCGTGGAGGCTTGGTATCGGGTAGCAAGAGGACTCAAGCGTGATGGTTGGTCAGAGGAAGAACTAGATTTTGAAGGACAAAGATTTATGTATATCACAGAAATGTTTGTAATGATGATTCGTCTCTTGATGTTCCCCGGCCACCGCCCTATGATGGCGCCCAGAATACCGTGAATGAATCTCGCCCCGCCTCTCCAGTCACTGCCCAGTCACCACCTCCAATTAGCATAGGCCCCTCTGTCCCCACCCCTCTGTACCCCGTCCTCGGGGCGGAAGGGATCCTATTATTACCCCGTCCCTCTCCCGACTACCTCCACACTTCCCATTATTCCGGTCCCCCTCCCACTTCCCTCTGATCCCGTCCCTCTTCCACCTTCCCTTGTCGCTACTGATGCCGTCCCTCTGCTACCTCCCTCCATCACTTCTTCTGACATCACCCCTCTCCCATCTTCCCCTGTCATTCCTCCTATTCCTGCTCCCCTCCCACCTTTACGTGTTGCCTCCCCTGACGCCGCTCTAGTTCCTCTCCCTGTCGTTCCTTCTGCTCCTGTTCCCCTCCCGCCTTCACCCTCTGCCATATCACCCTCTTCCCTTGCCATTACCTCTACTCCTGCACCTTCCTCTCCTCTCCCCACCACCCCTTCTGTCCGAGTTTCAGATTCCCCTCCCCTTCCCACCTCCAATCCTGTTGTCCCTCCCTCCTTTGATCTTTCGTCACTCATCTCTGCCCTCTCCGCTCATCTCCCTCAGCCTACTCAGCCCGCCCCCCTCACCCAGTCCAGCTGCGGTCTCCACTTCCCTCATGGCAACTCCCAGTTACCCAATCATGATCGTTGGGTCGAATGAATCTTCCGTGTCGGGACAACCTCATGCTGTAGGCGCTTCTTCCATCCCACTACCTCCCAGTTAGTTACTCCCCAGGCCATCCCTGTCGGTTCTCCCGGCTCCGATGCTCCAGCCGCTCAAGCCCCTAATTCACCAGATGTTGCCAGCTATCATGGTCTCCCATTCCCGGTTGCCCCCGAGGATGACAATGTGCAGGGGCTTAGCCCATTCCGTCCTTCGAATAATAGGGTTTCCCAGAGACAGGCCACCCCAACCAACCACATCCCTGCTCTATCAACAGTGGAAGGGGCTCCCCCGATGTATGTTACTTTCAACCCATCCCAAGCTGCAACCCTAGTAACCTCTCTCCCTGAGAAGCAGCCCATGCCCTTCTTCCGGAGGGTTGCCCAGATTCGTAAGACATACTCAGCAGCCTGACGTGATCTGTATAGTCTGTGTGAGATCAAGGCTGGGGATGCCTATTGGCCCATTATGGAAAGGAGTTTTAATGACGCTCTCCTCACTACCGATATGGATTTCCAGTCGGGTATTACATTCTGTGAACAGCTTCGGGCATGGGCCCAGGATAAACTAGCTGACCAAGCCACTTGTATAAATGACATTATACAAGACAAACTCGAATCTGTGGAAAAATACCATTCATGGTTGACTCAAACTTTCTCCGATCTTGGATTCAGTGTATACAACAAAGCACATACCCAGATGTTATCCGCTGCCTTTGTTGCTGGCCTTAAGGAAGCCATCAGGAAAGGCTTAGTGCTCTCTCGCCCCGAATACAGAATTATTCCTTTGGACACTATCTTACTAGTTGCCAAGGGCCTAGAATCTGCTCTACAGCCACCCCAAAGGAAAAGTAATCCTCTTATGTTTTCCGTTTATAGCCCTGCCACCAGACCCGCCCCAGTCCCCCCAGGATATCCCGTGCTATCTACCTTGTCAGCTGCACAGGGGCAGCACATGACACCCGCCCCTAGGCCTCAGACCAGGGCATGCTTTAATTGTCAGCAACCGGCCCTTTTCTGGATGGAGATTGCCCACACCCCAAGGTGCCTAGACAGCCGAAACTAGACCACCTAATCCTGTGTTCAGCTATCCCATGTAGCCCAATGCCCCTGCAGCCACGTCTGGTGGTCTCCAACCAGGTTACCCTCCACAGGTATATCCTCAGGCACATACATCTAATACTCACCCCTACCCTGCAGCTATGCTCACACTTCCCCTGGTAGTTACGATACAGATGATTTCCAACAAGATGAACACCCTCCCCCTAGTCATTATCACCCTACATGTCAAACCCATCAGGCCAGCCACTTAACCACACCCGCATGTCACTACACTGGCCCTGATCAATCTCATCTAGACCTTGTACAATAGGTAACCGGCAAACCTGTGTCTAACACCCCTGTCATGGCAGTGTCTACAGGGGACAAGGGGGGGCCTCTCGCTACAGTTGTTCTACCAGTTGAGGGTCATCCTACTACCTTTTTAGTTGACACAGGTGCAGCCCACAGTGTTCTCAGAGAACAAGACCAGCCTGACCCATCATACGTATTCGACGCAGATGTTTCTTGTGTAGGTGCCTATGGTACCCCCCGAAACAACCCATTAACTAAGCTCTTGCGGGTTGGTTCTGATATTTTCTCTCGGTTTGTTGTCTCATCCACTTGTCCAATTAACCTTTTAGAAGCAGATGTTCTGTCTCGTCTTCAAGCTTCTATCTCCTTTACTGCTGATGGCCAGGTTCAATTACTAACCCCCCTTTCTCGCAAAGATACTTCCGTCATTTGCTCTCTGCCCCTACTACTACATATGACATCCCCCACCGAGGAGGTAAGGGTCCCAGACGCCCCCAGTGCCCTGGATAGGGTTCCAACTAAACTTTTGTCCACGGGCCCAAATGACATTGGACGCCTACGAGTCCCACCTGTGGTAGTTACACTAATTAAGGGAGCTAATCCACCACAAAGACCACAGTACCCATTGAAACCTGCACAAGCCCTCGCCATCTCCAAACAAGTTGATAGCCTGTTGGCAAAAGGTGCACTGGTCAAGTGTGTATCACAGTGTAACACCCCTCTATTTCCAGTAAAGAAGAAAACTGAAAAAGGTCAACCCGATCAATACCGTATGTTCCAAGACCTCCGCGCTGTTAATGAAGTCACAAACCGTGCTACTGCCGTTGTCCTGTAGCGGTACTTACCCTTTCCGGCGGCCAGCCGGGGTCCTCTGTTCGAGCCGCGCGCGGTCCTGCTGCTGCACGAGCCGCGCACGGCTCATCCGACGACTGTAACAGGAAGGCGGGCAGTGACCGCGAGAAGCAGTCACGTGTCCCACCTAACTCTAAGAGCGCGCCGCGGGTCTCGGGCGCACTCTTAAAGGGACAGTGGGAGCCTAAATTGGAAAAGGCATCCCATTGGTCCCTGTCATGCCACACTCCCCATACACTTACCTTTTGGGGGCGTGGATGTGACAGGGACCAATCAAATTAGATGTTTAGGTATATATACTCACCTTTTTCCCTTAGTTCCTTGCCCTATCGTGGTTTCTGTTTCAGTTCCCTTTAGCGCTTGTTGTGTTCAGTTGTGTTCCTTCGTACTTGACCTTGGCTTTGTTTCTGACTACATTATCTCTTTATCCTTATCTGTTCTGTTTGCCGGCTTGCTGTTTACTGTGTACCAGACCCCGGCTAGTCCAAGTTTACGCTGTCTCTTTGTGCCCTTGACCTCGGATCGCTCCTGACTCTGTATCTCTCTGCTTTACGTCGAGTCCGGCCACTCTAAGGTCCGGTAGATGTACCTTCCCTCTGTGCTGTCATTTGTTTAGCTTAATCCTGCGTGTTGGGCAGGGGAGGGCTGGCAGCCTTAGGCCTGGGGGGCAAAACCAGTCAAGTGGCCCATTGCACCACCAAATCAGTTCACCATCCATGCCCACCTTTTCCTGGTTTTATAACGGATATTGATGTTATGCTAATCAGTAGCTCTTTGCCATACCCGCTCCTTCACGGCTCCAGGCACTGCTTGTTGTGAGTGTGAGCCACTGTAAATTAGGGGCAGAGGGCACTTGCACTGCGGTAAAGATGGGGCTGGACAGGAGGAGAGTGCAGTGCAATCAGTGCACTCCCCTCCTGTGGGTCACCAGTAGACTGGTGCACCTGCCCAGGATCAGTGCCGGTGCAAGGATTTTTGCCGCCCTAGACAAAATAAAAATTTGCTGCCCCCCCATGTGACATCACAATGCCCCACCCATATGAACTAACGCCAGTGCTGCACACAGTGTGTGTTTACATTAAAAAGCCTGCAGGGACCAGCTATAGACACCAGAACCACTTCATTAAGCTATAGTGTCCCTTTAATGTGAGGTACATTATAGATTAGTGTCACTAATAATATACTAGATTGCCTACTTACAAACAGATGAGGATGATGATGGGCTGCAGTTTGGCTCCACTGGTCTGGTGTAGAACAGGATCTCTGGAGGCTGTTTGCAGCTGTGGTCACAAAATTCAATGTTCTGGGAGAATTGGAAGCAGCTCCATTTTTTGGGGCCCCTTACACAGCTCAAGGTCTGGGCCCCAGGGCCTGACGGTGAGTATGCCCATAAGGCCCACTCATAAGTTCCACCCACCCATGAGTTCGCTCACAGGGAGTGGAGTGTGTAGGGGATGTGTTATGTGTTATTGTAGAGGATCTAATATGTGTGCTTATGGTATGTAGTGTATAGGGTTACCAGTTTGTGCAGGTGATGTAGTGTGTTTGTGTGTAGTGGAAGCAGTGTGTATTTGTGTATAAGGGATGTATTATGTGTTTCTGGTTGTGTGTAAGGGATGCATTGTGTGAATCTGTGTTTGTATGCATAAGGGATGCAAGGTGTGTGTCTGTATGTGTGTGCATTGAGTGTAAGAGATGCATTGTGTTTCTGTGTGTATGTAAGAAAAGAAGTGTGTGTGTTTGCATATGTGTGTACGGGTTTGCATTGTCTGTTTCTGTGTATGTGTGCAAAGGATGCATTGTCTTTGTGTGTAAGGGTTGCATTGTGTGTGTGTGTGTAATGGATGCATTGTGTGTTTCTCTGTGTGTAAGGGAAGCATGTTGTGTTTCTGTGTATGTATAGGGATGCATTGTGTGTGTGCGCGCGTAGTGTGAAAGAGCTCCCTGTCTTGGCCCCTGTCCTATAGAGCTGCCCCTTCTGTCCCGTAGAGCTCTCCCCTGCACCTTAGTGGTCTCTCCTCTCCCCCACCCTCCCCTAGCGGTCTCTTCTCACACTCACCCACCCTCCCTGTGCTCTTCTCATCCCCCCTCCACCCTCCCTCTTCTCACTCCTCCCTCTATGTGTTCTCCTCACACCCCCTGTGTTCGTCTTACCCCCCTCCTCCCTGTGTTCTTCATACTTCCCCCCTTGGTCGTCTTACTCCCCCACCTGTTCTTCTTACCCCCCTTCTTCTTATTGCTCCCCCTTCTTCTTCTTACCCCCCCCTTCTTCTTCTTCCTCTTCCTCCCCCTTCTTCTTCTTACTCCCCCCATTTCTTCATACTCACCCTTCTTCTTACCCCCTCTTCTTCTTCTTACTCCCCACTCTTCTTCTTCTTACTCCCCACTCTTTTTCTTACTCACCCCTTCTTCTTCTTCTTACCCCCCTCTTTTTCTTATCTCCCCTCCTTCTTACTCCGCCCTCCCCCTTTTCT